CTGGACCAGAGCACGCCAGGCACTCCTGTCTTCCACTGCCTCCCACAGTTTGGTCAGACTCATGCTGGTAGCTTTGAGAACACTGTCCCACCATCTCGTCCTCTGTCGTCCCCTTCTCCTTGTGCCCTCCATCTTTCCCAACATCAGGGTCTTTTCCAGGAGTCTTCTCTTCTCATGAGGTGGCCAAAGTCTTGGAGCCTCAGCTTCAGGATCTGTCCTTCCAGTGAGCACTCAGGGCTGATTTCCTTCAGAATGGCGAGGTTTGATCTTCTTGCAGTCCATGGGACTCTCAAGAGTCTCCTCCAGCACCAAAATTCAAAAGCATCAATTCTTCGGCGATCAGCCTTCTTTATGGTCCAGCTCTCTCTTCCATACATCACTACCGTAGCTTGAACTATATGGTCTGGCAAGTATCTGTTAAGCCATGGATAGGCAACTATGGGTAGGCAACTAACGAATCCTGCCCAATGGCCTTCTAAATCTGGCCCACGGATGGTGCGGGAATCAGCATGTTTTTACACGAGTCGAATGTGTCCTTTTATTTTAAATGTATCTCTGGGTTATTTGTGGGGCCTGCCTGGTGTTTTTACATGAGTAGAATGTGTGTGGTTTTTTTTAAAAAAAATGCAACTCTGGGTTATTTGTGGGGCATAGGAATTTGCTCATTCCCCCTCCCAAAAAATATAGTCCAGCCCCCAAATGATCTGAGGGAATGTGGACCGGCTCACAGCTGAAAAAGATTGCTGACCCCACTCTCTTAAAGGTAAAGGGACCCCTGACCATTAGGTCCAGTCGTGGCCGACTCTGGAGTTACGGCGCTCATCTCGCTTTACTGGCCGAGGGAGCCGGTGTACAGCTTCCAGGTCATGTGGCCAGCATGACTAAGCCGCTTCTGGCGAACCAGAGCAGCGCACGGAAACGCCGTTTACCTTCCCACCGGAGCGGTACCTATTTATCTACTTGCACTTTGATGTGCTTTCGAACTGCTAGGTTGGCAGGAGCAAGGACTGAGCAACGGGAGCTCACCCCGTCGCAGGGATTCGAACCGCCGACCTTCTGATCGGCAAGTCCTAGGCTCTGTGGTTTAACCCACAGTGCCACCTACGTCCCCGCACTCTCTTTGGGGCACCCAAAAAATGTAAAGCTCTTGCTTGCCACTGTGAGAACAGGATGAAGCCAGCCTAGGATGGTCCTTTAAGCTGTTGCAGAAGGTATCTCCTGATGTTCCAATGCTCTCTCACATCCCATAGACCTGGAGCTCGGTCAGACGTGTTGATTTAGTGACTGAACTCTGCACACAGTCAGAGACAGCTGGTTCCACACCTTGCAGGGTTCTGTGCATTGAAGTCCTGCATGTCTTGTTCTGGAAACAGGTTCCAGGGCTGAACCTTTTATAGCTCAGATCAATCGGTCTTTTAGCTCAGAACCGGCTTCTTCTCCTTCTCCCTGGGGGTGAGGTTCTACTGTAAAACCCCCAATTTGGTCTTCTAGCAGAATTTGGACAAATAAATGGAAGGAAGTCAGGTTAGTTGAGGAAATGCCAGCTGGCTGTCTTCACTGTGTAGATTTGCTTCTTGCGGACTGTGCAGAAATGTGGAACCGGATGAGCCGACCTGGACTTTGCTGGGGGGAAGAAAGATTAGGAGAGGCTGAGTTTGTAGAGACAGATGAGAACCACCTGGGACACCTTGGTCCTTGAGCTGTTATGGCATTTTGGAGTTTGGCCTTTGAAAACATTCATGTAGAGAAGAGAGAGTGAAAGAAGTTGCTTGTAGATAAGTGATCTGGATGCCTTTGGAAAGGACCACAGCAGAGTTTTGTGTGCAGTAGCATACAGGCTTTCATTTATTTATTTTTAAGTACAGTGGTGCCTTGGTTCTCAAACTTAATCCGTTCCGAAAGTCCATTCCAAAACCAGGCGTGTGCCTCCTGGCTGGGGAACCAAGGCTGAGCTTGGCAGTCCCTGTGCAATGTTGCTTAAAAGCTGCCTGCACCTTTATCATTTACAGTGGTACCTTGGTTCTCAAACTTAATCCGTTCCGGAAATTCCGTTCCAAAACCAAAGCATTCCCAAACCAAGGCGCGCTTTCCCATAGAGAGTAATGCAAAACAGATTAATTTGTTCCAGACTTTAAAAAACCACTGGTCCCATCACCTCCTGGCAAATAGAAGGGGAAGAAATGGAGGCAGTGAGAGATTTTACTTTCTTGGGCTCCATGATCACTGCAGATGGTGACAGCAGTCATGAAATTAAAAGACGCCTGCTTCTTGGGAGAAAAGCAATGACAAACCTAGACAGCATCTTAAAAAGCAGAGACGTCACCTTGCCAACAAAGGTCCGTATAGTTAAAGCCATGGTTTTCCCAGTAGTGATGTATGGAAGTGAGAGCTGGACCATAAAGCAGGCTGATGGCCGAAGAATGGATGCTTTTGAATTCTGGTGCTGGAGGAGACTCTTGAGAGTCCCATGGACTGCAAGAAGATCAAACCTCTCCATTCTGAAGGAAACCAGCCCTGAGTGCTCACTGGAAGGACAGATCGTGAAGCTGAGGCTCCAATACTTGGGCCACCTCATGAGAAAGAAGACTCCCTGGAAAAGACCCTGATGTTGGGAAAGATGGAGGGCACAAGGAGAAGGGGACGACAGAGGATGAGATGGTGGGACAGTGTTCTTGAAGCTACCAGCATGAGTTTGTCCAAACTGTGGGAGGCCGTGGAAGACAGGAGTGCCTGGCATGCTCTGGTCCAGGGGATCACGAAGAGTCAGACACGACTAAATGACTAAAGAACAACAATTTGTATTATCCTTTGATTTTTTGTTTGTTGATTGTTTTTTCTTTTTAACTAATAAAGCAATTAAAAACAAAGCAAAAAACCCCCAACAAACACACTTCATATAACTGATAATATTGTAACCAGTCTGTAACATGGCTCCTTACATTTTCTATTGATTTCAATTCAGGTTCCCCCTCTGTAAAGTGTAGCGATTCCCTGTAGACAACACTGGTCCCCATTTTCCTATGTTTCTGTTTGGCAAAAGGCCAGAGCTCAGTGATCCAGCATCTGCTTCGTATCCAGAAGTTCCCTTGATTGATCCCCAAGTGCATCTCCCGGATCGGCTTGGAAAGATTCCCTGTCGAGAACCCTGGTGCGCTGCTGACAGATGTCTTGCCAAATGCTAGACGGTTCTTTTGAAATTAGATTCAGAAGCAATACAAACACAAGTGAGTGAGAAGATTACAGATTTTATTCCAAACAGCAAGCAGTAGATACATTACCAAGCAAGCACTTCAGTCTGCCATGGGGAATCGCTTAAGACGTGGCGAAGTGACCCGCAGGGAGCCTTTTGCACAGCTCTGTGGCCAACTCCAACTGCCATGCTCAAAAGCTAGATATTTTATAGATGGCCAGTACAGGCTCAGCTGCAAGCCACTCTGCTTTGCATCAAAGACAAAAAGCCAGGCCATACAGGCTTTTAAGTGGGGCTACCTTTGAAGGTGACCCAGAAACTACAACTAATCCAGAATGTGGCAACTAGACTGGTGACTGGGAGCGGCCGCTGAGACCACACAACACCAGTCCTGAGAGATCTGCATTGGCTCCCAGTATGTTTTCAAGAACAATTCAAAGTGTTGGTGCTGACCTTTAAATTCCTAAATGGCCTCGGCCCAGTATCCCTGAAGGAGCGTCTCCACCCCCATCGTTCAGCGCGGACACTGAGTTCAAGCTCCGAGGGCCTTCCGGCGGTTCCCTCCCTGTGAGAAGCAAGATTACAGGGAACCAGGCAGAGGGCCTTCTCGGTGGTGGCACCCGTTCTGTGGAACGCCCTCCCGTCAGATGTCAAAGAGATAAACAACTATCTGACTTTTAGAAGACATCTGAAGGCAGCCCTGTTTAGGGAAGTTTTTAATCTTTGGTGTTTTATTGTGTTTTTAATATCCTGTTGGAAGCTGCCCAGAGTGGCTGGGGAAACCCAGCCAGATGGGCAGGATACAAATAATAAATTATTATTATTTATTTATTATTGTTGTTGTTGTGTTGTTATTATTATTATTTACTGACCAGTGCCATTTGCCAACAGACCACACATCAAAGTTGTTGTTTTTTTGTTTTTTACAAGGGATAAGGAAAGTAATAAAGCATAGACAACCAGAGCGAAGAAGACATATGTAGATAACCAGAGACAGGAAAAGTTGACCATGTCAGATCACAAATCTCCTCAAAATCACAATAATCTTCCGGAATAAGTTTCCCATACACCAGACAGTGTTCATAATACGGAGCAAGATGGACCAGTGGTTTGACTTGACCTAGGCAAGCTTGACATCGCTTTCTCTATGTTCTGCTGATAGACTGGAGGACCCGTTGGAATCAAATAGTAGACAGGTGGCTTCCTGTCCTTGTTGTAGGCAAAGGAAGGCCAGCTCCATCTTTGTATTCACGTCATTATCATTCCGAAATGCAAACGTGCAAAAATTAATTATATTCAGGCAGTGCTTTTTTTCTATAAAAATGTTTAGGGGTACTCTCATTTTGATTCAAGAAAATCACCATTTTATAGTCCAAATTGGGGGGAAATAAATACAGTAAATGGACAAAGGTACAAAGATTCACAAAAGGTTTAGGGGTATGCGTACCCCTGCGTATCCCCCCCCCAGGGAAAAAAGTACTGTATTTAGGAAATGTCACTTGCAAAAATATGAATATTCGTCTGCAAAAAAAGAAAGAAAAAAGAGTTCATATTGGTAGAAAATTGCACTAAAATGATGCTGAGTTTTCATGAGGCTGTTTTACATATGTTTCTTAAAAAATTGCAAATGGATATGGAACTCATCTGAAGTTTGGGGGAAGTGAAATTGTCCGATTGGATTCCCCTGATCTGTATTCAGGTCATGATGATTTCTCCTGTTCCAGGAAACCTGCTTGCGGCTGCCTCGCCTGCCCTGCCTTGCAGTCCTGCATGTGAGAACTGCTTCTCCCGGGTCGCCTGGCTGCAAAATATGCCTCCTTTGACATGCGGAGTCCTCTTCCTCGCCATCGACATGTCCTTCCGGCTCATCACAGGTGAGTCCAGGAACTGGGAACGGCAAAGAGGTGCTGCTACAGGCAGTTTGTGCTGGCCCCGGGGGTAACCTGAGAAACGCGATCCAGGTCTGGTCCAGAATCCAAAGGTTCCACAAGGAGTCAGTCCGACAGGGTCAAGACAGGAAACCAGGCAAGGACAGGTACAGGATCTCTGGCAGGATCTGGCATACAGCAATGCTGCTCCCGCAACCTGGGGCAGGGTCCGACAGCCTTTTATCTTTGTCGGGGTAACGGCCGGCCCTGATCCCCCGGTGACTCACCTCCCTGTCTCGCCCGAAGGCGAGCACTCCTCCTGCGATTACTCAGGTCTCTCCTTCTCTCAGACCTCAGTCTCTGCAGCTCGGGAGACGTCGGTGGGTTACTAGACCCAGAGGCCGCCTCAGCCTCCCCTGACCCAACTGGTAGTGGAGCAGCTGTAAGCGATGGCCCAGCTGGAGGCAACAAGGTCATCCCCACATCTGGAGCCAGGGCAGGCTCAGGCCCCTGACTCGGCTCAGCTGGTGTTTGTTGCAGGGGAACCTGTGCAGACTGGGACTCTTCAGAATCAGGCCCCAGACTTGGTTCAGCTGCCGCCTGAGGCAAAGGATCCGGTGTGGACTGAGACCCCTCTGGTTCCGAGTCTGAGCCCCAGGCCATCACAGTCTGGTCTCGGAGGTGCCATGGAGAAAAGGTGACCTTCTCAGGTTCCAGGTGGTCTTTTTGGCATAGCACTCTCGAGCTGCATAAGAGGCTTTTGAGGCCAAAAGCAGCTCTTTGGATTGGGTCCAGAAACGGATTGGCAGTCAGTGGAGTCAGACCAGAACTATCAGAGGTTGGAGTGACGGGAAATGGTGGGGACCGCCTCTCCCTCTTCCTGCACCTTCCCTAGAAGATCAGGACAGTATAGATTAAGAACAGTGGTTTGCAGAAGGGCACAGTTCAGAGGCTGCAGTGGGGAGAAGGTGGGAAATATTGGAGTAGGAATAGCAGGAAGAAGAAGAATCAGGGGAGAGAAAGCTGTCAGACTCAGTGTCTCTAGAAAGCATTCCTGATCCCCCTTTTCCCAGGACCAGGCGTGCCGTGAGAGTAGGAGAACAGAAAGCTCAGAGGCAAAATCACAGATCAGCCAGCACAGGGGTGACGTAGAATGGGGACAATGTGGGGGGGGAGGGACTTTACTTGGAGCAACGGTCATTATCTAAGAGAGACCGCATTCCTTTCTCTCTCTCTGTGAATATTGAATAAGCTACAGTGGTACCTTGGTTCTCAAACTTAATCCATTCCGGAAATCCATTCCAAAAACCAAAGCATTCCAAAACCAAGACACGCTTTCCCATAGAAAGTAATGCAAAACGGATCAATCCGTTCCATACTTTTAAAAATAACCTCTAAAACAGCCATTTAAGATGGATTTTACTGTGTAACGAGACCATTGATCCATAAAATGAAAGCAATAATGTGCTGTACTTTAAAATAAATAAGACAATATTGTAGGTGATAAAAATTAAAATTATTATTATTTTTACCTGCACTGATGATAGTCATTGTTTGGATGGGGGGGGGGCTTTATCCTTTTCTGCAGTCACACAATCAATCAATCAATCAATCAATCAATCACTGAACTGGGTTCCACATAGTCACAAAAACAAAAAGCCAAAAAACAAAAATGCAAAATAAATAGCAAAAACAAAAGCAAAAGCTTAATCCATTCCGGAAGTCTGTTTGACTTCTGAAATGTTTGAAAACCAAGGCGCAGCTTCTGATTAGTGCAGGCGCCCCGGAAACAATAGCCAGCAGCCGCATCAGACATTCAGATTCCAGAAAATGTTCGAAAACCGGAAAACTTCTGGGCTTTTGGTGTTTGGAAACCAAGGCATTTGAGACCCTTGTACAAGAGCATGCTTTCTTTCTCCTGTTAGCAATCCATCTGCCACACGGGGCATCTGCCATAGCTTCCAAACAGTCTCTGGGGGCAGCCCCACGAGCAACACATTGCGGAAGTCTAGCCTGGTGGTTACAAGATTGGGACACCGCTGGACTACGGCCCAAAGTTGGCAGAAGGCACTCCTTAAGGGAAATGGATTTGCTAGGTAGATGCATCTGTAGCATCGCAAAATATATCCGCCCGATTCAGGAGCGGGGAAAGGGCTCTTGTGTTCGAATCTTGCTGGTTTTCCCCACAGGCAAACTGTTCCGCCACTGTGAGAACAGGATGCTGGACTGACGGCACAATTGGCCTTATGTTAATCTTGCCAAGGATTTGGGAGGTGCCATGACAGGACAGGGTTTCTGGGCAGCTCAGTCAATGGGAGGGACTCCAGACCCAGGCAGGCAGCCTTCCTACATCTTGAAATAAATGGAGAAAATAACACGTTAGAGCCAGTGTGGTGTAGTGGCTAAGAGCGGTAGTCTCGTAATCTGGGGAACCGGGTTAGTGTCTCCGCTCCTCCACATGCAGCTGCTGGGTGACCTTGGGCCAGTCACACTTCTCTGAAGTCTCTCAGCCCCACTCACCTCACAGAGTGTTTGTTGTGGGGGAGGAAGGGAAAGGAGAATGTTAGCCGCTTTGAGACTCCTTAAGGGGAGTGAAAGATGGGATATCAAATCCAAACTCCTCTTCTTCTTCTACTACTACTGTTAGGAAAAAATCTAAGTGCGAGGCTGCTCAGCCACCCAACACGTTGGGCAGAGCCCGCGGGTCCCTGCGGAATAAAGGAAGGAGTCCAGCCACCAACCGGAGCAAATAGCTGTAGACCAAAGTTTATTGCCCAAAGAGGAATTGAACCCCGGGATGGGGTGACAAGGACTTTTAAAAGTTTCTATCTTATCCCAGCATGCAGTTCATCACTACATCACTGCTACATCATTGCTACATCAGAAAAGGGGAGGGTTATACATGATTCACATAGGAGGAATGTGTCAGGGTAACAGGTCCATACAGTTAAAGCCATGGTTTTCCCAGTAGTGATGTATGGAAGTGAGAGCTGGACCATAAAGAAGGCTGATTGCCGAAGAATGGATGCTTTTGAATTCTGGTGCTGGAGGAGACTTGAGAGTCCCATGGACTGCAAGAAGATCAAACCTCTCCATTCTGAAGGAAATCAGCCCTGAGTGCTCACTGGAAGGACAGATCCTGAAGCTGAGGCTCCAATACTTTGTCCACCTCATGAGAAGAGAAGACTCCCTGGAAAAGACCCTGATGTTGGGGAAGATGGAGGGCACAAGGAGAAGGGGACGACAGAGGACAAGATGGTGGGACAGTGTTCTTGAAGGTACAAACATGAGTCTGACCAAACTGCGGGAGGCAGTGGAAGACAGGAGTGCCTGGCGTGCTCTGGTCCAGCGGGTCACGAAGAGGCGGACACGACTTAACGACTAAACAACAACAACAACAGGCAAATACAGGATATGTATTGGGAAGTACATTCCAAGCACCTACTGCAAAAGAACAATAGAACTTTGGTTTGCATTGTCTGCCACCTGGGCAAGTCTGGAGGAGAGCTTTTGCCCAGTGATTGACACCTCTGAGTACCTTCCTGTGAGTACATGACCTCCTGCTTGAGGGATTATGGCGGACCGAGTGGTTTCCAAGTCCTTGGCCAATGAAGCAAATTGGCAGTGGAATGAAGGAAACTGGCAAAGGAGTTGATTTTATGTGATTTTTAAAGCTAGGTAACTTCCCTGAGCTGTCAAGTCAAAAGCAAACCTTTATGCATAATATTTGTAACATTTAACAACTTTAAAGATGTGCCTCCCCCCCCCCCTGTAATTTCCGGAACACTACCTTAAAGCAGGGCGGTTGGGAACAAGACCATTAAGTGTGGAACCTGAAACGATCTAACTCTACCACTGGGTACCAGATGGGTTTTGTTCGGGGGTGAAACCTGTTAATGAGTCCAGAAATCTTAATGGACACAGGAAGGAAGAGCTTGTGGTTCAAGCTGCTTTGGATAAGGGGTTTAAAGCATGCTATGAATTTACAAGGCTACCCCAGTCCTCCTCAGGTCTTCCAGCTGTCAGACCTTTCCACTTGTGTTGCAAAACAGAAAGCTCTGAACAAGAACCAGCAGCACGTTGGCTAATAATAAGTTGATCCATGGCCATTAGATGTACCTTTGTGGACAATGTAAAAAGTTCATTATCCTGGAAGAACTGTTACCCTGTTGCTACGTCTGGAATGCCTGACATTGCGTTTGCAGGGGAAAGGCGTTTTGCCTCCATCTCAGTGATCTTTGATAGTGACTCACCACTCCTATATTCCTGTCCATGGAACATTTGTTTGATTCCTATTATTTGTGACTCCATGCACATATTATACAGTGGTACCTCTGGTTGCGAACGGGATCCATTCGGGAGGCCCGTTCGCAACATGAGCAGAACGCAACCTGCGTCTGCGCAGGTCGCAAATCGCCGCTTCTGCACATGCACGTGATGTCATTTTGCACATCTGCGCATGCGCGAGTGGCGAAACCCGGAAGTAACCCTTTCTGGTACTTTTGGGTCACCGTGGGACGCAACCTGAAAACGCTCAACCTGAAGCAAACGCAGCACAAGGTATGATTGTATATCTTCTGTTTATTAATTTTGAAACAATAGTAAAGTTAAAGGGACCCCTGACCATTAGGTCCAGTCGTGGCCGACTCTGGGGTTGCAGCGCTCATCTCCCTTTACTGGCTGAGGGAGCCGGCGTACAGCTTCCAGGTCATGTGGCCAGCTGACTGAGCCACTTCTGGCAAACCAGAGCAGCGCACGGAAACGCCGTTTACCTTCCTGCCGGAGCGGTACCTATTTATCTACTTGAACTTTGATGTGCCTTCGAACTGCTAGGTTGGCAGAAGCAGGGACCGAGCAACGGGAGCTCACCCTGTCGCGGGGATTCAAACCGCCAACCTTCTGATCGGCAAGATTGGGGTGGCGTGGAACAGTTTTGCCCGAGCCCTGAATACTCATTGGTGTGGATCAAGCTGGTCGAAGGGTTGAACTGGATGACCTTTGGGGTTCCCTCCTGACCCTGCCATTCTACGTTTCTGTGAAATTCTCTTTCTTTTTTTAAAAAAATCATCTTTATTGAATTAAAATACAAATATATAGACATAAAGATAAAAAAGAAAAGATGAGCTATGTGGAATTGGCCAAACTGACATATAAACTGTGTGATTTCAGGGAAGAATGGGAACTTTTTACAAACTATCAAAAAAGACAACAAAATGAATTGGACTCTTTGGCAGGTTTTGAATAAACATTCACAAATTTATTAGCTGAAGATATGGTAGATAAAGTAAGGATATGTACAATTTTACAACATGCAGGAAACAATCTATGTAAAGAAATCAGGGAGGGTAGCTGAGTCTTTGTTGGGGGTGAGAGGGAGGGTTGGGGGGGAGGGGAAAAATAAAGTAATTGATTAAGAGGAATTATAAATTGTTATGTTGAAATTGGTTAATAAAAATATTTTTATATTTAAATATTTTTTAAAAAAGAAGAAAAGATTAAGACAAGAAAAGAAAGAAAAAAACACACATACAAAACAAGAATTTGCATTATTATATAATTATATAATCGTTCATTGGCTTTCTAAATAAAAAGTTCCAGTTCTTCTCATTGTAGTTGTATTGTTATTTACGTTTAACGCACAGCCTTCTATTACCCTAATTTGTTTCCGTGTACTCTAAGAAATTAAGATTTGCACATTGTATTTTACAAGGGTCAGTTTAATTCCGCAAGGAGATTGTTATGTGGACAATATGTTTTTAGGTAATCTTTGTTGCAGGAATTTATGTATAGGTTGCGGGGGGGTTGCCCCTGCAGCCCACTACCAAAATCAGCACCATCACTTTTGTGACTTTTGTGATTTGTCCCCACAAAACACTTCATCTCAGTTTCTTCCTATCTATTCAAAGGGCCTTTGCTGCACAATACCAAATGTAACAATTCACTGATAAATGTGTCTATGTACTGGCTCACTGGGAAAACTTCAGAAATTCATATAGCCATGTGAGCTCAGCTACTCAGCAGCCCCTCTGCCTGAGTGATAATCCCTGGCATCCTTGCAGGGAAACAGGGAAATGTAAATGTCTCTTTTGTTACACTTGATGGGTGTTTCGTGGAGGGCAAGGGGAACCATGGGGCAGAGTCCAGGATGCTCAGATTCCTGCCACCAGACCTCCCCTTTCATGATGTAACCATGATGTATGAGTGATGTATTTTGGGGGCTGTAACATGGGGATTAGCAGCTAATAAAAGTTTGGGTTCTCTTTTGTTCGGGGCTTCCATCTTGTTCCACCTGGTGGCAGGTGGGAGTCCTGTCGCAACAGTCTTGGTCTTTATTGAAAAGACCAAGTCTCCTGGCTGCTGTTTTGCTCTGGGATTCCTGGCTGGTGTCCTTGTTTTTTGTTGAGGGGGCCCCTCAAATTTCTCTGTTAACACCCTTGAATATTTTCCATTCTTTGTATTACTTTCTGTTTCGGGAGCCCTCTCACTTTCCCCATCAGCTTTGCCAGTTCGAGGTATTCAGTCGTAAAGGTCTGCCATTCATTTATCGTGGGTGGTGTTTCATTTTCATTCCTGTGAAATTCTCAGCGGTGTCTGACCTGTCCCTTTTCCCCTCTGGGATTGCCAGCGGTTGCTGACCAGTGCAGCGGTGGAAGCAACATCTTTACTGAGATCCCGGAGAACAGCCCCTACGGCACCTTGGTCTGCCGGTTAATGGTGTCCGGTGATCCCGAGGGCGACGCCGTCCAGCTGACCTTGGGCGGGATCGATGCCGATTGGTTCTACTTGGACGGAAAGGCTGTACGGCTGAATGTCTCTGAGGAAAAGGTGTTGGACCGAGAGGTGAGTGTTGCTCCCGTCCAGTGCCGGATTTACGTATAAGCTAAGACACAGGTGGCGCTGAGTGTTAAACCACAGAGCCTAGGGCTTGCCGATCAGAAGGTCGGCGGTTCGAATCCCCGCAATGGGGTGAGCGTCAAAACCGAGATGTGGAAAATATGGAAACAACATGGAGAGGCAGGATTGAGATGTGGAGATATGCTTCAGATATCCAGACGGTGGGGAGCCCCGAAAAATTAATAATTGTAATTTGGATTCCAATTTGGTCTTTTTTTATTATAGTTTTTCATTTTAATTGGAGTATTATGAGTGGATATATTAATTGGATGTTTTTTATTGGAAAATCAATAAAAATGATTAAAAAATAAAAGAATCTCCGCAATGGGGTGAGCTCCCGTTGCTCGGTCCCTGCTCCTGCCAACCTAGCAGTTTGAAAGCACGTCAAAGTGCAAGTAAATAAATAGGTACAGCTCCAGCGGGAAGGTAAACGGTGTTTCCGTACGCTGCTCTGGTTCGCCAGAAGCGACTTAGTCATGCTGGCCACATGACCCGGAAGCTGTACACTGGCTCCCTCGGCCAATAGAGCGAGATGAGCGCTGCAACCCCAGAGTTGGCCACGACTGGGCCTAATGGTCAGGGGTCCCTTTACCTTTAAGCAAGCTATAGCTTAGGACCCCACTATTTTGGGGGGCCCCCAAAAAAATTTAATGGAAGAAACACCTGGATGTACATTTCCAAAATATAAGATAAAAAGCAAATAAAATAAAACCTACACACAGCAACCATGTTTTGTGTTGTGTAGGCTCCTATGATGTAAGTCAGGCATAGGCAACCTTCAGCCCTCCAGATGTTTTGGCCTACAACTCCCATGATCCCTAGCTAACAGGACCAGTGGTCAGGGATGATGGGAATTGTAGTCCCAAAACATCTGAAGGGCCGAAGGTTGCCTCTGCCTGATGTAAGTCATGGGCCCCACCTGCTCACCTGCTCCCTAAAATACCACTGGTTTGCTCCTTTCTATATAGAGGGTGCCTGCATTCTGTATCGACTGGTTGCATGGCCACATGTGCAAATGGCTTGAGATACCTATTGGGTCCATCAATTACCATATAGCATATATTCAACACAAAAAACAGCAACCGTTTGTTGTTGGCAAAGGACAGCTGGACATAGAAAGGGCCCCATTACCTTCAGTAGCTTAGGGCCTCATCAAACCGAAATCCGGTGCTGCTCCAGTCTTGCTACCTGCAAGGACAAGACTTCTTTCGGTGACCCCTGTTTTTGCTCGTATGACGCTAGAGAGACTTAGAACACCACAGCGACCGATGCCAACAGACATCGGCACACTTAGGGATCTGCAGAGTTTGCGCATCATGCATAACAGACCTCAGCAACTCAGCATTTTGGCTAATCTACTTTATTTACATATAAACACATCCAGAGCGCTGCAACATGGCTCCCTCTCTCTCTAGCATCAGACAGCAAAGAGAAAAAGGACAACAGTCCCACTTCACAGAACACAGTAACACAAACATCCTGTCTCCGTCACTTCCCACTCTGTGGAATGAAAACATACACCGTCATGTGAAAGACAACAGTCCCATGACTGCAATCACGGAGCAGGAATTCTAACGTCTCCATGGACAGCTGTGAGTCCAAAATGACGCCCAGGCTGTGCACCTGGTCCTTCAGGGACATAGATACCCCATTCATGACCAGGGAGTCCTCCACCCCTGCCCCCCCAAAACAGTACTTCTGTCTTGTCAGGATTCAACCTCAATCTGTTAGCCACCGTCCATCCTCCCATGTTTCTAGCAGGCGCCGAAAAGAATACAGCGAAGGCATCCTGCCTGATATCAATAGGCAGGGAGTTCCCAAGGGTAGCTGCTGCCACACTAAACGATCAAGTTCTTATAAATCATAAAATCATAGAGTTGGAAAGGACCCCAAGGGTTTTGGGGGGTTGGTCTAGATGACCCTCAGGGAGCATTCCCAACAGTTCTATGATTCATCCTATATTTGTGCCTCGGATTTTTTCCCTGCCTAAGCGCAGTACCATCTATTTGTCCATAAAGATAAAGATAAAGGTAAAGGGACCCCTGACCATTAGGTCCAGTCGTGGCCAACTCTGGGGTTGCGGCGCTCATCTCGCTTTACTGGCCGAGGGAACCGGTGTACAGCTTCCGGGTCATGTGGCTAGCATGACTAAGCTGCTTCTGGCGAACCAGAGCAGCGCACAGAAATGCCGTTTACCTTCCCGCCGGAGCGGTACCTATTCATCTACTTGCACTTTGATGTGCTTTCGAACTGCTAGGCTGGCAGGAGCAGGGACGGAGCAACAGGAGCTCACCCTGTCGCTGGGATTTGAACCGCCGACCTTCTGATGGGCAAGCCCTAGGTTCAGTGGTTTAGACCACAGTGCCACCTGCGTCCCTACTGAGATCCATTTAGTTCCTTCTGGCCATCTTCTCCGATCTTTAAGGCCATCCTAAATCCCGATTCTGTCTTCTGCGGCCTTAGCTTCCCCTCCCAGTTTGATACCACCTGCAAATGTGATGAGCATCTTCTCAATTCCTTTTATCCGAGCCGTTTATAAAATTGTCGTACTACACTGGGTCCAGGAGAGAGCCCTGCAGTGCCCCTCTTCTCCTCTCCCCCCCCCCCCCAGAATGATGAGGAACCATCAGTGAGGATAATAATAATAATAATAATAATAATAATAATAATTTATTATTTATATCCCGCCCTTCTGGCTAGGTTTCCCCAGCCACTCTGGGCGGCTTCCAACCGAATATTAAAAGCAATACAGCATCAGACATTAAAAACTTCCCTACACAGGGCCGCCTTCAGGTGTCTTTTAAAAGTAAAATAGTTGTTTATTGCCTTGACATATGCTGGGAGGGCGTTCCACAGGGCAGGCGCCACTAATAATAATGATTAAAAAACCAGCAATTCTGCATTTGCAAAGTTGAGGAAAGAGATGCATGAATGATGCCAGGGTGACGCTCTCCCTTTTTCTCTCTCTCTTCCAGGCGTTGGAAACTCCTGTTCTGATGGTCTCCTTCACATGCACGGAAGACGGCTTCTCGCCGGTACAAAACATTGCATTTTATTATTTTATTAATTAGGCATTCCTACGTCCTGGGCAGGATCTTAAAACTCCCTTTTTCAAGCTCAAGTTCCTTTGGCATCTCCCGCCCAGTCTCCTGCTTAGCATGGCTCTGGCTGCTGCTTACAAAGTGCTTTACGGCCCTGGTTTTGCTGATCACGCGCACACCAGCCCTGCAAGGCAGGCCACAAATGTTTCCAAGGGGAATTCGAGCAAGGAGAGCCCTTTGTAATCCTGGAGGGCCACTTTCCTTTCCAGGCCACCTCCTGAGGGCCGCGGGCTGCCGTGGGCGGGGCAAAAGGCAAAAGGGGTGGGGCCACAAATGCAAATTTTACCTTTATAGGGCTTCTACACAAACTCGCACTCACACCCGGGTGAAGGCTGAGTCCTGTCCCCGAAACAAACCTCCCTCTCAAAGTACTGCTGTCATCATCATCATCATTATTATTTTCCCTAAAACTCTGTACTTTATTTATCTCTCACACTGACAGCTAATCAAACACATTCCATCATAACAATGTGTAAAATAGAATCTTCAAAATCAGTTGTTCATAGAATCATAGAATCATAGAGTTGGAAGAGACCACAAGGGCCGTCGAGTCCAACCCCCTGCCAAGCAGGAAACACCATCAGAGCACTCCTGACATATGGTTGTCAAGCCTCTGCTTAAAGACCTCCAAAGAAGGAGACTCCACCACACTCCTTGGCAGCAAATTCCACTGTCGAACAGCTCTTACTGTCAGGAAGTTCTTCCTAATGTTTAGGTGGAATCTTCTTTCTTGTAGTTTGGATCCATTGCTCCGTGTCCGCTTCTCTGGAGCAGCAGAAAACAACCTTTCTCCCTCCTCTATGTGACATCCTTTTATATATTTGAACATGGCTATCATATCACCCCTTAACCTCCTCTTCTCCAGGCTAAACATGCCCAGCTCCCTTAGCCGTTCCTCATAAGGCATCGTTTCCAGGCCTTTGACCATTTTGTTGCCCTCCTCTGGACACGTTCCAGTTTGTCAGTGTCCTTCTTGAACTGTGGTGCCCAGAACTGGACACAGTACTCCAGGTGAGGTCTGACCAGAGCAGAATACAGTGGCACTATTACTTCCCTTGATCTAGATGCTATACTATTGATGCAGCCCAGAATTGCATTGGCTTTTTTAGCTGCCGCGTCACACTGTTGGCTCATGTCAAGTTTGTGGTCAACCAAGACTCCTAGATCCTTTTCACATGTACTGCTCTCAAGCCAGGTGTCCCCCATCTTGTATTTGTGCCTCTCATTTTTTTGCCCAAGTGCAATACTTTACATTTCTCCTGTTAAAATTCATCTTGTTTGTTTTGGCCCAGTTCTCTAATCTGTCAAGGTCGTTTTGAAGTGTGATCCGGTCCTCTGGGGTGTTAGCCACCCCTCCCAGTTTGGTGTCATCTGCAAATTTGATCAGGATGCCCTTGAGTCCATCATCCAAGTCGTTGATAAAGATGTTGAATAAGACCGGGCCCAAGACAGAACCCTGTGGCACCCCACTAGTCACTCTTCTATTGTTGTTGTTGTTTTAAAAAAATTACAATGTATATTCATGAGGTGTCCACAGAATGGTTTCATAATAATTTTTTTAAAAAACTTATGAACTTCTCACAAGCCTTCAAAATTAATCTAAGACTATACATGGCTCACTCTCCTTTGTAAATTATTATTATTAATATCTCGTGCTGTGAGAGTCTAGGGGTCCGGAAAACAATGCGATTAAAATCTGAAGGTGATGGAGATTCGTTTAAACCAGGAACACACTCCTTGAAATGGCCGAGAACCTTGGGAACTGTAGTTTGTTAAGGATGCTGAGAGTTGTTAGGAGACCCCTGTTCCACTCACAGAACTACAGTTCCCAGCATGCCCTGGGAAGAAGGCTGCCTCTCTGGGGCTGTCGCTCTGGGAGGGTTGCCCTAACCCTCTGTATCCTCAGCAAACTACAGTTCCCGAAATTCTTTTGGGGGGAGCCATGACTGCCCAAAGTAGTGTTGAGGAGCTTTAAATGCATGGTGCGGATCCAGACAGTCGTCTCCTGTAGCTCTGGCGCCCTGTGACACTTCTCCCATGGAAAATGTAGCACAAAATCGTAAATTGAGGTCCAGGATCATCGGGGGACCCGCTATTGCGTTGCTCTCAGTGATCCCCGTCTCCGAACTCCAAGGCACAGTCCTCTCCCCACCCTCATTCTGAGGCTTTCTCAAAGTAAAGGAAGGATTGAACTCTAATTAATAAGAATACACACAGAGGCTTGAACCAGCAAGACTCTGGGAAGGGTGCGTATGATAATCTCTCTCTGTCTGTGGTCTCTCTACCCCTCGGCCCAGGTTGTTTTATTCACAAAAGAACTTTTTACAGAGTGTTCGTAAGAACCAATCAGATTTCTTCTGAGCATTTCAACAAACCCCACATGGGGACAAAGTTAAACTACCAAAACTAATTAGGCACGGGGTAAACAAAGAACAGAACTACAAAGCAGAGCATTTGGCAACGCCGGAGGTGATAAACAAGCAATATACATGATAAAAAGGATGGCCAGGAGGACAGCGATCATTATCACCTTCATGTGAGATCTGTTTCCTGGCCCTAAGATTAACATCCTGGGATTAACATATCAGAAAGGCTACTTCAAAGAAACTTGCCCACTACCTTTATGGCCCAGGAGCCTGCCTGGCGAAGCAACTGGGCTGTGTACGTGACTGGTGAAGAAAGAGAAATGGAACAGGGATGCAGAGGTGTAGATTGATCAAAAATCATATCAAAATACAGTAGTTTAAACCCAGTCAACGCGATGCTTTCACTGCTGACACAGATGGCTTACTCTATATTTGTTATAATTCCTCATAGCAATCCCACCTGATCACTACACCATTCCTCCCAGCAAAGGGAACTATAGTTTTCCGGGGCAGGCGGCGCTCGAGGGAAGCCCCTCACAACACTCTCTTCTTCCCATACAGGCTGAGTACAGGATCATCGTCCAGGTGATGAACGAGAACGACAACAAGCCGCGGTTCCAGGAGGACACCATTTTGACGCAGAATATTAGCGAGGTGAGCGCCTGGCGCCCGGCCAGGACTGGAGGGCCCAGGAAGACCCCGGGCCCTTCTCCAGAACAGGGGACCTGAGAGGGGAAATACCAAGCTTAAGGAAATATCTTAAGGTCCATGAATAACCATAGTTTAGAGGTCCCTAAGGAAGTCAGACTATCCTCCACCAGGGCCAGGGCCTTCTCAGTGTTGGCTCCGACCTGGTGGAATGCTCTGTCCCAGGAGACCAGGGCCCTGCAGGATTTAACCTCCTTCTGCAGGGCCTGTAAGACAGAGCTATTCCGCCTGGCCTTTAATTTGAATTCAGCCTGATATTTTATTCCCCTTCCTTCCCTCCCCCTCCCCTTCTTATGAAGATTACTTGCTCTGGGATCCCACAGCTAATTCTCCCCTGGTCTCCTCGCTGGCCCAAGTAGGACTAGCTTAGCCAGCTAGCCCTGGTGATCATCAAATGTTTACTGGATGGATTTCCCCCCTAAACTGATTTTTGAATTCTGAATTTATTGTTATTCACGTTTTATATTGTATTTTATGCTGCTTTTTCTTGCATCAATTAAGTGTTTAAAATTTGTTGTTAGCTGCCCTGAGCCCGGTTTTCTGAAGGCTGGGGTATAAATAAATTATTATTATTATTATTATTATTATTATTATTATTATCATCATCATCATCTTCCTCCAAGAATAAGATTCGGTTCTCTGCACACCTCTAGCCATTTTATCTTCCCAACAGCCATGCATGGCAGGTTAAACTGAGCAATATTAGTGACTGGCCTGAGGATATAGAGGGCAGAAAGAGCTTCACCCCACTCAATATTTTGAGGCAGGGGGCTGAGACCCTTCACCCAATATTGAGGGGGCCATCATCCCCATCACCCCTGGGCAGGCGCAGGTGTGCCAGGTGAAGGCAAGCGGCTTAGAGGGTGATTTTCGCCCTCTGCGGCCCCCGCCGTGATTACCAGAGCATCCTGGCAGGCATGGCCCAACCGGGGGTGGGGGTGGCGGCAGAGCTTTGTGCTTGTGACATCATCAATGTGCAACAGCCGCTGCCCCCCACATGTTGGGTGCAACTTGGTGCGCCGGCCTGAGGTCACCCAGTAAATCTTTGATAGCGGCGTGAGGATTTGAACCCGGGTCTCCTTGGTCCTCAATGCACAACTTAACTGCTAAACTGCGGTGGAAAAGGCTAGTCCTGAGAAACCTGATGTTTCCCGTTCCCAGTGGGCAGATGAGACGTCACTGGTGCCCTTGCATTTGAGGGTAGCCAGCCTGGGTACCGTATTTTTCGCTCCATAAGACGCACTTTTTTCCTCCTAAAAAGTAAGGGGAAATGTCTGTGCATCTTATGGGGCAAATGTGTGGCTCCCTTTCCAACCCCTTGCCCAGGCCTCCATTGTTGAATGTTCTGCGGACGGAGGCTGCTTGTTTCCCCAGTGACATGGGGCTGGCTGATTAGATTATCTGTCTGGAAACTGTAGAAACGACTCCCTTTCTTTTCCTAAAGAAGCTGCAGAACTGTGAGGTGAACCCCATAAAAACAGGATTTTTTCCTTTTGCAAAGTAAGCTCAACAACTTTGAGCTGATCCTCAAAAAAGGGGCTTTTCCGCTTTGCAAAAGAAGCTGCACAACTGTGAGCTGATCCCCACAAAAATGGGGCTTTCCCCCTTTCCTTCTCTGAAAGCTAGGTGCGTCTTATGGAGCGAAAAATACGGTATGTTTTATCCCCATATCCCAGGAAGGATGAAAGAGTCGGTAAGGAGGACTCCCCTCACTAGGCCTGACTTCCCACCTAACCCTGCTCTCCCCCCCTCATCCCCAGCTGGCCGCCCCCCACTCCGTGATCTTCAGCACCCAGGCGGAAGACGCCGATGGCGACACCCTCATGTACGTGATCGACGGCACGTCGGTGAGTCCTCTCCCCAAGACCACCGGGAGGAGGAAGATAAACTTTTAGTTGGGCCTGGGGATTACTTTAATTTTAGTATAAATGTTCTGGATGTTGGGCAATAGGGGCAGTACAGGATTCCCTTTGGTGTACCGACCTCCCAGCTCTACCAAAGACCAGGTGTGCAGCCTGTGGGTCATTTTGGACTCACAGCTGTCCATGGAGGCGCAGGTCAATTCTGTGTCCAGGGCAGCTGTCTAGCAGCTCCATCTGGTACGCAGGATGAGACCCTCCCTGCCTGCGGACTGTCTCGCCAGAGTGGTGCATGCTCTGGTTATCTCCCGCTTGGACTACTGCAATGCGCTCTACGTGGGGCTACCTTTGAAGGTGACCCGGAAACTATAACTAATCCAGAATGCGGCAGCTAGACTGGTGACTGGGAGCAGCCGCAGAGACCATATTAACACCTGTCTTGAAAGACCTACATTGGCTCCCAGTACATTTCCAAGCACAATTCAAAGTGTTGGTGCTGACCTTTAAAGCCCTAAACGGCCTCAGCCCAGTATACCTGAAGGAGCGTCTCCACCCCCATCGTTCTGCCCGGACACTGAGGTCCAGCTCTGAGGGCCTTCTGGCGGTTCCCTCCCTTCGAGGTTACAGGGAACCAGGCAGAGGGCCTTCTCGGTGGTGGCACCCGCCCTGTGGAATGCCCTCCCATTAGATGTCAAAGAAATAAACAACTATCTGACTTTTAGAAGACATCTGAAGGCAGCCCTGTTTAGGGAAGTTTTTAATGTTTGATTCTTTATTGGGTTTTTAGTATTTAGTTGGGAGCCGCCCAGAGTGGCTGGGGAAACCCAGCCAGATGGGCAGGATATGAATAAATAACTACTACTACTACTACTACTACTACTACAACTATTATAGGCAGAGCTAGAATTTTTGCAACCCTGCAACTTGTGCCAGGTTTATGTTCCGGGGGCAAAATTGCACTCTGGGCAAACCCCTGGAAATGCCTCTATGTGACTATCCCTGCCTTACTGGGCTGTGGGAATCACAGAACTATAGACTTGGAAGGGACCCTGAGGGTCATCTAGTCCAACCCCCAGGCTAGGTCATGCAAACCTGGGCATGGAGAGAACTTTTTAAACCCTACCACCTTCCTCAGGGAAGGTTGCATGAGATCTCACTGGGCCAGTGCGAGATGTCGGGCGGCCCCTTCTGACTGCTCCCTGCTCCGTTGTTTATGCGTCCATTTCCCCACCAAGCATGCAGAGCGCAACCGTATCAGTGAAAAGGTTTTGGGTCTCCTTCTGTCTGCTCTGGCGCCACCTGCTGTTCAGCTCCCAACCTTCCGTCCTACCAGCACCAAATGCGTCGCCAGCAGCAAAAGAAAAGCGAAGGCGTTGGCACCTTTTTGTGCTGGAGCCTTGGCTGAGTTGGCCGGTGTCCGGGCCCTTGCTCGGCCAGAACCGTGCGGCCGCAGTGCGCCTGCCCATCCCTCGCTGACCCCCTTTGCTCCATGGCAACGCTGGTGTGGGCGTCGGATTAGCCGGGGGGAACCAGGACACCTAGACCTGGCCGTGGGCGTAGATTACGGCCAATACCTCTGCGGGTGGAGGAAATGGATTTGCGGGGCAAGGGGTGAGCGGGCGGGAGAAGCGCCTTTGGAAGAGGGGACCCGGAGGGATGCTGGGCTTGCCAGCCTCTGTGGGCATCTGCCGTGCCAGCTGCGTGGCTACCACCCCTGCTTGAACTTCCAGGCTGACGCCAAATATTTCCGGATCGACCTGCCCAACAGCGGGAGGATCGTGCTGGGCAAAGCGCTGGATTTCGAAACCAAGAGACACCTGGAGTTTGTGATCCATGCTGTGGTGAGGAGGGGAGCGGGGGCATGGGGTGGCATGGGGGCACCCACAAGGGCCGAATCCTCTCTTCGCTGGTGCCCCTCGCTGCTCCCACACACCAGGATGCCAGCCAGTGGCTGTGTTCTCAGCACCTCGTAAGAACATGAGAAAAACCTTCCGGATGAGGCCAATGGCATGCTGTTCTCACAGCGCCTAACCAGATGCCTTTGGGGAGCAGACTTCGAACACATTATTCTTATTCTTATTAATATCCCACCCTGAGGCCCCAGGCTGGCTCACAAGTTTTTGAACGTTAAAATGTTAAGACCAGTTTAAAATAACTTGCAGTTACAGAAATAAAATGGGTTCTAAAAACATATACAGTGGTACCTCGGGTTACAGACGGTTCAGGTTACAGACTCCGCTAACCCAGAAATAGTGCTTCAGGTTAAGAACTTTGCTTCAGGATGAGAACAGAAATCGGGCTCTGGGGGCGCGGCGGCAGTGGGAGGCCCCATTAGCTAAAGTGGTGCTTCAGGTTAAGAACAGTTTCAGGTTAAGTACGGACCTCCTGAATGAATTAAGTACTTAACCCGAGGTACCACTGTACAGTCATACCTCGGGTTACAGACACTTCAGGTTGGGGTTTTTTGGGTTATGGACCGCCAAAACCCGGAAGTACTGGAATGGGTTACTTCCGGGTTTCGGCAGTTGCGAATGCACAGAAGTGCTAAATTGCGCTTTGCGCATGTGCAGAAGTGCTGAATTGCAACCTGCGAGTGCGCAGATGTGGCGCTGCGGGTTACGAACATGCATCCCGCATGGATCATGTTTGCAACTTGAGCGTTCACTGTACCTGAAGGTTCAAAGGCCAGGGACAAGTGTCTTCAGCATCCTCCAGAACCTGTGCAATGAAGGTGCCAGACGTGCCTCTGTGGGGAGGGAGTCTCATGGATTAGGGGCCACCACAGAAAAGGCCCTTTCTCCCAGGCTACCATCCTGAGCCTCTGAGGATGGAGGAACTCTCAAGAGGTTCCTCTCTGGCGCCTGAGTCATTTCGGGCTTTAAACATTCACACAAGCACCTTATGAGAACGTAAGAACGGTTTTGCTCCTGCTCTGGGATGCAGAACCCGAACCCATGGCTTCAAGTTACAAAAAAGTCAATTCAGGGTAAACATCAGGAAGAACTTTCTGACGGTAAGAGCTGTTTGTAACCAAACCAACCCCCGTGTTGCAAAGAGAACGTCAGCAATGTCTAGGCAACACGATGACTACGTACATATGTAATAGATCTTTATAAAATTCCTTCGAACCATAACAAGTACAAAATGAAATCTTTAGTCTCGAAGTCTCTGGAAATCTTCAAATGAAGCGAGGTACCAGACTTTGTACGATGAAAGACAAGCTGTGAAGCTTTGTGTATTCAGCAAATACGATGTCCAACACTGAACAGTGATTCCGGATATTGACTACTGTTTCGTAGAATTCTTCGTCAGCAGTGACTACATTATTACATGAGCACTGTTCCACAGCATTTGATATTTTCATTTACATACATTCATTCGAAATATGATGGGTTTATGAAGCAATTCTATATCCTCCCACTACGCTGACGAAGAATTCTATGAAACAGTAGTCAATATCCGGAAGCCTAGTAAAAGTAAAGGGACCTCTGACCATTAGGTCCAGTCGTGACTGACTCTGGGGTTGCAGCGCTCATCTCGCTTTATTGGCCGAGGGAGCTGGCGTACAGCTTCTGGGTCATGTGGCCAGCATGACTAAGCCGCTTCTGGCGAACCAGAGCAGCGCACGGAAATGCCGTTTACCTTCCCGCCAGAACGGTACCTATTTATCTACTTGCACTTTGAGGTGCTTTCGAACTGCTAGGTTGGCTGGAGCCGGGACCGAGCAACGGGAGCTCACCCCGTTGCGGGGATTCAAACCGCCAACCTTCTGATGGGCAAGCCCTAGACTCTGTGGTTTAACCCACAGTGCCACACGTGTCCCACAGATCTGGGACCTCCCTTCATTTAAAGATTTCCAGAGACTTTGAGACTAAAGATTTCATTTTGTCCTTGTTATGGTTTGAAGGAATTCTATAAAGATTGTCTATTGCGTATGTACATGGTCATTGTGTTGCCTGGACATTGCTGATGGTAAGAGATGTTTGGCAGTGGAGGTTTTTAAGCAGAGGTCGGGTGGCCACCTGTCCCGGATGCTTGAGCTGAGATTCCTGCACTGCAGGGGGTTGGAATAGATGACCCCTGAGGGTCCCTTTGAACTCTCTAATTCGATGACTCCAAGACAAGCCTTCTGGATCAGGCCACAGCCCATCCAGTCGGAAGCAAAAGCCGGAAGAGCAACCCACACAAATCAGACGCCTATGGGAAACTCGCAAACAGGATCCGGCCGCAATAGCCCTCTCCCTTCGTGTGGTTTCCAGCAATTGGTATTCAGAAGCATTGCAACCTCGAACTGCAGAGGGATTGTGGAATTGTCGAGTTGGGACCCCTGAAGGTCATCCAGCCCAACCCCGTGCGATGCAGGAATGAGAGCACAGCCATTGTGAGCTTTCCCTCACCCAGTCCTCTTTTAATGCCACTCCTGTGGCAGTGAATTCCACAGTCTGCGCTCCACGACGAAGGAGACTTCCTTTGGTCCGCTGCCAGCCAGGCAACCACGGGGTGACCAGGGCAGCCTTCACCAAGACGGCGCCCTCGAGACGCACGTGCTGTCCTGGGCAGAGACGTCGGCCGAAACGTCTGGCGGGCACCAGGTTGGGGCAGACTGTCAGACGGTTCTCGCGTCCAACTGTGGGAATCGCCGCTGAAACCAAAGCAACGGCAGAGAGCGAGGCTTTTCGGAGAGACCAGGAGGCTTTTCCTTGTGGGCAGCTATTTTCAGGCACACACACACCCCCACCGCTCGCCGGCTCATTAACAGCCGCCCGGGCCTCCCTAAGCTGGCTAATTGGGGGTGACGTGATCCTGTCAGCTCCCCCCCTTCAGGGCTAATGGCTTAAATCTCTCTCCCCTTCTTTTAATTTCCCTAAGAGGGCTAACGTCAAGCGGCAATTCGCTGCATCCAGAGCCAGCCCCCATCCCCTCGTGGCCCCAGGAATGCCAAGAGGAGCCCCCCGCCATCTGTACGGCTCACCCCCAATTTGCCCAAACAGCGCGTGCCCCCTGGTTTCGCGCCAGCCCTTCTGCATCGCCCAAACCTGCCCCACAAGGCAGATTTGGGCTGCGCTCCAGGTGGCAAGGTGCCCAGCGCCACCGTCCCTTGCACGAGGCCCGTCCTGCTCCCACTCCCGCCTCTTCCTCCTTGCCCTTCTTGCTGGTTTGCTTCTGAGCCGGGTGCCCTTCAGGTGTGCCCTGGGGCAGCCAACCCACGGCACGTGCCCGCAGGTGCGTTATGGGCTCTGCGGCTCAACGCCGGGGCTTCCGTGTGACGTGTTCGGAGATCATTTGCCGCGATTCGTTTGCAGGAAGCTGCTTTGCTGTTCAATGAGCATTCGTTCTGATTTTGTAGAATCAGTTGGAAGGGACTCCAAGAGTCATCTAGTCCACCTCCTTACAATGCAGGAATCTCAGCTAAAGCATCCAGGACAGATGGCCATCCGACGTCTGTTTAAAAACCTTCAAGGAAGGAGAGTCCACCACCTCCCAAGGGAGACCGTTCCCACTGTCAAACAGCTCTTACCGTCAGAAAGTTTTTCCTGATTCTCCCCAAAGCCACAGGTTCGAGTCCTACCACTGCATGGTCAGAAGACCTCAGAGCTGTTTACAAAAATTGCATCCTGCTTTCTTTTGCTCCCATTTTGCTTTACCAGAGTAGCTTTTTTAAATACAGTGGTACCTCGGGTTAAGTACTTAATGCGTTCTGGAGGTCAGTTCTTAACCTGAAACTGTTCTTAACCTGAAGCACCACTTTAGCTAATGAGGCCTCCCACTGCTGCCGCCACGCGATTTCTGTTCTCATCCTGAAGCAAAGTTCTTAACCTGAGGTACTATTTCTGGGTTAGCGGAGTCTGTAACCTGAAGTGTATGTAACCTGAAGCATATGTAACCCAAGGTACCACTGTACAGTCATACCTCGGGTTACAGACGCTTCAGGTTTCGTTTTTTTGGGTTACGGACCGCTGAAACCCGGAAGTACCAGAACAGGTTACTTCCGGGTTTTGGTGATTGTGCATGTGCAGAAACGCTAAATTGCCACCCGCTCGTGCGCAGACGTGCCGCTGCGGGTTGCGAACGTGAATACCGCACAGATCACGTTCGCAACCTGAGCGTCCACTGTAAATAACAAATCATAATGGGTTCGCGTCCGAGCCTCCGGAACTTAGAGATTTTCTTTTTCCACGTGACTGCCCTTAAGATATTGGAAAATAGCTCTTATATCTCCTCTCAGTCTCTTCTTTTCCAGGCTTAAACGTACCCAGCTCCTTCAACTGTTCCTCATCAGGCTTAGTTTCCAGACCCATGGTCATCTTGGCTGCCCTCCTCTGTACACATTCCAGCTTGTCAACATCATTCCTAAATTGTGGTTCTCAGAATTAGACATAGTATTCCAGGTGTGGCCTGACCAAGACAGAATAGAGCGGGACTATGACTTCCCTTGATCCGGACACTAAACTTCTGTTGATGCAGCCTAGAATAGCATTGGCCTTTTTTGCTGCTGCATCACACTGTGGACTCATGTCAAGCTTGAGATCCACTAAGACCCCTAGATCCCTTTACCCATGTACTGCTAGTAAGCCAGGTGTCCCCAATTCTATGGGGAAAGCCAGCCAGATGGGCGGGGTACAAATAAATTATTATTATTATTATTATTATTAGATTGCTTTAAAAGAGGATTAGACAAATTCATGGAGAAGGAGAGGGTCATCTGTGACTACCAACCACAATAGCTCCTGCTTTGCTTCCACCAGAATCTGGAAGCCTCAGGGTGGGAAGAGGGGTCTTGTGTTCAGATTCTGCTGGAGGGTTTCCTGTTGAGACAGCTGGTTGGCCCCTGTGAGAACAGGATGCTGGACTGAATGGGTCACTGACCTGATCCAGCACACTCTTCTTATGTTCTTACACTGGGGCGTTTAACCTGAGCTTTCTCTGCCCCAGGAAATGAACACGAAGGAAAGGTACAATTCCTCAGCCAGGATCCACGTCAACGTGATGGACGGAGACGACCAGTACCCCCAGTTCCTGCCGTGCAACTTCCTGTCGCACGACGGGGTCGGCGTTTGCGTCAGCCCCGTCTACACCGCCAACATCACGGAAGGGGAGGTCAAGGTGAGCAGGGGCGTCTGGTGTTGAACAATGTGGTGTCTGCTGTTAAAAATGTGATGTTAATGGAGAAATCTGAGGGCTCCCTTGGACAAAAAACAAGGACGCCCGCCAGGAATACCAGAGCAAAACAGCAGCCAGTAGGCTTGGTCTTTATTGAAGACTGTCGTGACAGGACTCCCACCTTCCTCAAGGTGGAACAAGATGGAAGCCCCGAACAAAAGAGCCCCCAAACGTTTATTAGCTGCTAATCCCCATGTTAAAAAAGGTAAAGGGACCCCTGACCATTAGGTCCAGTCGTGACCGACTCTGGGGTTGCAGCGCTCATCTCGCTTTATTGGCCGAGGGAGCCGGCGTACAGCTTCCTGGTAATGTGGCCAGCATGACTAAGCCACTTCTGGCGAAACCAGAGCAGTGCACGGAAACGCCATTTACCTTCCTGCCACAGCAGTACCTATTTATCTACTTGCACTTTGATGTGCTTTCGAACTGCTAGGTTGGCAGGAGCAGGGACTGAGCAACGGGAGCTCACCCTGTCGCGGGGATTCGAACCACCAACCTTCTGATCGGCAAGCCCTAGGCTCTGTTGTTTAACCCACAGCGCCACCCGCGTTACACCCCCCCAAACTACATCACGGTTACATCACGGTTACATCATGAAAGGGGAGGTCTGGTGGCAGTAATCTGAGCATCCTGGACCCTGCCCCATGATTCTCCTTGCCCTCCACCAAACACCCATCAAGTGTAACAAAAGAGATATTTACATTTCCCTGTTTCCCAGCCAAGTTAATCACACCCTTTTGTCTTCATCTGGGTTTGTTATTTCTGGAATGGCTACCTGTCTGGCACTCAGGTATCAGGATGCCAGGGATTATCCTTCAGGCAGAGGGGCTGCTGAGTAGCTGAGCTCACATGTCTATAGGAATTTCTGAAGTTTTCCCAGTGAGCCACTACACAGAGACATTTATCAGTGAATTCTTACATTTGGTATTGTGCCGCAAAGGCCCTTTGAATAGTTAGGAAGAAACTGTGATGAAGTGTTTTGTGGGGAGAAATCACAAAAGTCACAAAAGCGATGGTGCTGGTTTTGTAGTGGGCTGCATGTGCATGATATCTGCTGGAGGGGCAACCCCCACCCCACATAAATTCCTGCAACAATGTGCAGGGCAGAAACTCAAACTCGCTCCCCTGCCCATGCATATTTCTCTGCCTGCTTTCCCTGAAGGTTGTTTATCTCTTGCAGACAGAACCCCTCCAGTTCCTGCCTGGTCCCATCCACGCTGAGGACGGAGACCGCGACCTGAAGGCTGCCATCACCTATTCTATTCTCTCAGGTACTGGGGTGTGGAGTAAATGGGGTCCGGTACACTTCCGTGGTGCCTCACGGCTTCTCTGGACCATAGCAGAGTAGAGCACAGTGTTTGCTACTGTGTGTCAGCGTGCAGAAAACAGAGTCCGTACGCGGCTTCTTCTAATCTTTGTTGTTGTTTAGTCGTTTAGTCATGTCCGACTTCGTGACCCCCTGGACCAGAGCACGCCACGCTCTCCTGTCTTCCACTGCCTCCCGCAGTTTGGTCCAACTCATGCTGGTAGCTTCGCGAACACTGTCCAACCATCTCGTCCTCTGTCGTCCCCTTCTCCTTGTGCTCTCCATCTTTCCCAACATCAGGGTCTTTTCCAGGGAGTCTTCTCTTCTCATGAGGTGGCCAAAGTATTGGAGCCTCAGCTTCAGGATCTGTCCTTCCAGTGAGCACTCAGGGCTGATTTCCTTCAGAATGGAGAGGTTTGATCTTCTTGCAGTCCATGGGACTCTCAAGAATCTCCTCCAGCACTAGAATTCAAAAGCATCCATTCTTCGGCGATCAGCCTTCTTTATGGTCCAGCTCTCACTTCCATAGATCACTACTGGGAAAACCATGGCTTTAACTATATGGACCTTTGTTGGCAAGGTGATGTCTCTGCTTTTTAAGATGCTGTCTAGTTTTGTCATTGCTTTTCTCTCAAGAAGCAGGCGTCTTTTAATTTCATGGCTGCTGTCCCCATCTGCAGTGATCATGGAGTCCAAGAAAGTAAAATCTCTCACTGCCTCCATTTCTTCCCCTTCTATTTGCCAGGAGGTGATGGGACCAGTGGCCACGATCTTCGGTTTTTTTGATGTTGAGCTTCAGACCATATTTTGAGCTCTCCTCTTTCACCCTCATTAAAAGGTTCTGGAATTGCTCCTCACTTTCTGCCATCAAGGTTGTGCCATTTGCATATCTGAGATTGTTGATATTTCAGTCTAGGTTTGTTATTGCTTTTCTAATCTAAGAAGCTTTATTTACAGTGGCAATAAATCAACATGAATCAACATGTTCGGGAGCGGCAGACATTGCGGCTCCCTTCGTCTTGGTCAGAAAACGAAAGCAGACAGAACAAAGAACAGTTCCCGGATGTGGGGACCCCCCCCCCAGTAGGCAGGACGCTGGACTCTGAGCTATTTAACCCTGTAAGCTCTGATTCCCCTCACATGGGGGTCCCTGGCGACAGGGCAGTCAGAGGACAGAAGGCTGGCTCCTGGATAAGGTATAAGAGGGTCCATCGAGCCCAGACCCTGTTTTTCTTCCCATGGCCCAGCAGGTTCTAGAATCAGGGCATCATAGAGTTGGAAGGGACCCGGAGAGCCATCTAGTCTAACCCCGCACCATGCAGGAATCTCAGCCGAAGCAGCCAGGACAGATGCCTTTTCTGAGAGGCTTCCGATCAGGAGGTGAGCTTCCCCCAAGGGAGCATTGGGCGATGGGGGGGGTGTTGTCTGAATGGGCACGTTCAGGTGACATGGTGAGCCCCGTCAACATGCAACTCCTGTGCTCACAGGTCTGAACTGGTTGCCTTAAAAAAAAAGTTGTTGCAAAACAACTTATTCTTAATAAAAATTATAAAAATTATTAAGGGATAGGGAAAAAAAACTTGTTGCATTTGTTTTTTGGTTTGTTTCTTTATGCCCTGCCTTTTGCCCTGACGGGACTCAAGGCAGCTTACGGATAAAAACAAGAATTGCTAAAAACATAGAAAAAAACATCATTAAAAAGGCAGCGAAACATTGGTAGTATTAAAATTGTGTGTGTGTGTGTGTGTGTGTGAGAGAGAGAGAGAGAGAGAGAGAGAGACAGAGAGAACACACACACACACACACTGGTACAGCAATTGACAAACGTCTCCATTGATGCACATTTCGGTTTTCGAACGCCGTAAACCCGGAAGTAAAGGTAAAGGGACCCCTGACCATTAGGTCCAGTTGTGGCCGACTCTGGGGTTGTGGCGCTCATCTCGCTTTACTGGCTGAGGGAGCCGGCGTACAGCTTCCAGGTCATGTGGCCAGCAGGACTAAGCCTCTTCTGGTGAACCAGAGCAGCGCTTCGAAACACGGTTTACCTTCCCACCGGAGTGGTACCTATTTATCTACTTGCACTTTGACGTGCTTTGGAACTGCTAGGTTGGCAGGAGCAGGGACCGAGCAACGGGAGCTCACCCCGTCGCAGGGATTCGAACTGCCAACCTTCTGATCCGCAAGCCCAAGAGGCTCAGTGGTTTAGACCACAGCGCCACCCGCGTCCCATAAACCCAGAAGTAAATGCTTCCATTTTTGAACACGCCTTGGAAGTCGGATGGCTTCCGCTGAGTGCGTATGTTGTTTTTCTCAATTTTCTCTATTAAATTTGCAGACCGCCCTTTGTGCCTTGGGTTTCAAACGTTTCGGAACTCAAACCGTCTTCCGGAACGGATTATGTTCGAAAACCGAGGGACCACTGTGTATCTGTTTAAAACAAACAGGGCAGTAAAAAGCCCTTTAGCTTAAAGCAGTCAGTTTCCTAAAGGCTGTTGGAACAAGAAAAACCTTCATCTGCCCGCAGAAGGACGGGGAGGGGAGCCAGTTGAGCTTCCAGCCAAGTCAAAGGTGTTGCGGTTTAAATGCAAAGCCCGTAACAAATTGGGGCAATGAGATCACCTGACCACCCCCCTGCACCCCCTCAACCCCTTCGCTTGGCAGAACTGGCACATAGCTGTCAACTGTCCCTTATTTGGTGGGAAACTCTCTTATCGCAGCGCCATGTCCTGCTGCTGTCCCGGATTGATGATGTCCCTTAAATTTCCCGGGTTTCATGCTCGCCCGGCTCGGGAGGGAAGCAGCGACTCGGGGTCCTCCACCGCACAAGAGAGAGAGAGCGCACGAGCTGCCGCGTCTCCATCTCTCCCTTTTCCCCCTCAGGGGTGCGTCGTGAGGAGACGGGTGGCAGTGGGCGGGCAGGCAGCCCCTCTCTTGCGAGACTTCTGCCACGCTGCCAGGGGAAGCTGGAGGCGGCAGCGGCGGCTGAGGAGGCGGCCTGAGGGAGGAGGAAGAGGAGGGGATGGGGAGGGACACAGAAAGGCGGCGCTTCTACGGCTGCCGTGGCGCCGCAACCACCTCATGCCGGGCTCGCGGGCGGCGTGGGTGAGAGTCTCTCTTCCTCCCTCCCTCTCTCTCGGGCAGGGAAGGGCCGATGGAACTCCTTGCGCCAGGACTACGGCAGCCCCGACGTGCATAAGCTAAGCAAAATCCATTATTTTGGCTGTGGTCCCTTATTTTCAAGGCTGCTGGTCCCTTATTTTCAAACCTGTAAGCTGACAGCTATGAACTGGCACGGCAACAGGTGCCATGCAATTCCCACTATCCGTTGATAAAAAATTGGTTGTTTCGTGCAGCAGCCCCTGTCTACCCTTCGGAACTCCCCGCCAATTGAGACTGAGCAGGCGCCTTCACTGCGCTCTTCTTGCCTGTGACCATTCTTCTTTAGACAAGCATGTCTTAGAAAGTCGAGTCAAATTTCAACTTGTTTCAGGGTTTTATTTATTTTATTATTATTTTTTAAACTTTATTTTCTTATTCTTTTTAAAATCATTTATATTGATTTTCCAATTTTAAAAAATCCAATTAAATATCCAATCATAATACTTCAATTAAAAATAAATAAATAAAATAAAATAAAATAAAAAAGATCAAATTATAGTCCAAATTGTATTTATTCATTTCTTGAGGCTCCCCACGGTCTGGATCTCTGGAGCATATCTTCACGTCTTAGTCCTGCTTCTCCTTTTTAAACGTTATTTTCAATGCAGAATTACAACATAAAATATAAAACAAAAGAATACATTCGTCAAAAAACCAAAGAAAGAAAAAAAGAACAACAACCACAAAAACGTAAACAAACATACATACACTTTGACTCCCTTCCATTCTTTGGAGCCTTCAACTTTTCATTTTATCGTAATCGTTGTTTGTTGTTGTTGTTTAGTCGTTTCGTCCTGTCTGACTCTTTGTGACCCCCTGGACCAGAGCACGCCAGGCACTCCTGTCTTCCACTGCCTCCCGCAGTTTGGTCAGACTCATGCTGGTCTCTTCAAGAACACTGTCCCACCATCTCGTCCTCTGTCGTCCCCTTCTCCTTGTGCCCTCCATCTTTCCCAGCATCAGGGTCTTTTCCAGGGAGTCTTCTCTTCTCATGAGGTGGCCAAAGTATTGGAGCCTCAGCTTCATGATCTGTCCTTCCAGTGAGCACTCAGGGCTGATTTCCTTCAAAATGGATACGTTTGATCTTCTTGCAGTCCATGGGACTCTCAAGAGTCTCCTCCAGCACCATAATTCAAAAGCATCAATTCTTCGGCAATCAGCCTTCTTTATGGTCCAGCTCTCACTTCCATACACTACTACTGGGAAAACCATAGTTTTAACTATATGGGCCTTTGTTGGCAAGGTGATGTCTCTGCTTTTTAAGATGCTGTCTAGGTTTGAATGGTTTATATATAAATATATATATAGGCATGCATATATATGTTATTTCTTGCTTTGTACCTTTTATAACTATTTCTTCATTCCCTTGACCTTGCAAACTTCATTCATTGCAGACTGATATGTTTATTCCAGAACAATGTTTTTTCCCCATATACTCTTTAACACAGTCCCATTATTTTATTAATTATTGATCTGATTGTCCTCTTAAGACTGCCGTTAACCTTGCCAAATCTATGTATTCACAAAGTTTGATTTGCCATTCTCTTACTTTGTGTTTTAATCTTTCACATGCCTGGTTGTGAATTTTCCTCGATTTCGCTGTTTTATCTTTTGTGAGCCGCTTAGAGGTTCCTGGCTTTAACAGCCCAGCAGTGTATAAATTTTAAGAAATACCGTATTTTTCACTCCATAAGACGCACTTTTTTCCTCCTAAAAAGTAAGGGGAAATGTCTGTGTATCTTATGGAGCGAATGTGTGGTCGATCGCTGGCTCCCTTTCCGGCCCCTTGCCCAGGCCTCCATTGCTGAATGTTCTGCGGATGGAGGCTGCTTGTTTCCCCAGTGACATGGGGCTTGCTGATTAGATTATCTGTCTGGAAACTGTAGAAATGGCTCCCTTTCCTTTCCTAAAGAAGGTGCAGAACTGTGAGTTGAACCCCATAAAAACAGGATTTTTTCCCTTTGCAAAGTAAGCTCAACAACTTTGAGCTGATCCTCAAAAAATTGGGGCTTTCCCCCTTTGCAATAGAAGCTGCACAACTTTGAGCTGAGCCTCAAAAAAACGGGGCTTTCCCCTTTTCCTCCTCTAAAAACTAGGTGCGTCTTATGGTCAGGTGCGTCTTATGGAGCGAAAAATACGGCAAATGGCAAAAGCAGGGTTCTCTCAGCCAAAGCACACTGCTGAATCTGCTCCCTCCAGCAAATCGAGGAAGGAAGGGCAGGTTCCTTTCGGTGCTGCTTAGATTACCTGGATGTGGGATCACATGTTCAAGATTATTGCCAGGATATCTGGCAGTGAAGTAAAACTCCTCTGATGTGCATATATTGGTGAAAATAACAAACATAGGTGCATAACATTGGAAAATTGTGTGTGTTTGTGTGTGTGCAAAATTGCATACTTGTATTTATCAGAAGTTGAGATGAACTTTCATGATTTTTTATTTTTTTTTAAAAAAAAATTAAATTGCTTTTTTACTGAAAAACACTCATTTATAAAGCAATAAAGTGATACAAAAAAGGGGGGGGACACACAACTGTGTAATGGCGGAAAATATTACATGAATATATACAAAAATAGCCTAACCCATACATTCTTTTAGAAATTTGATATTCTTATCCTAATACAGATGTAAATATTAATAGACCGCTATGTTTTGCATAAATTTATTCCAAATATTGTTGTATTTATCCAAGGAGAGTCTACATCCATAAGCAGTCCCTTCGTAGGTTGCAAGTGTTATCTTATTATCAATCTACTGATTGAAGGAGATCGTGTCTTCATTCTTCCAGTTCATCAATATCAGCTACCATTTGTTGTTGTTGTTTAGTTGTGTCCGACTCTTCGTGACCCCCTGGACCAGAGCACGCCAGGCCCTCCTGTCTTCCACTGCCTCCCGCAGTTTCGTCAGACTCGTGTTCGTAGCTTCGAGAACACTGTCCAACCATCTTGTCCTCCGTCATCCCCTTCTCCTTGTGCCCTCCATCTTTCCCAACATCAGGGTCTTTTCCAGGGAGTCTTCTCTTCTCATGAGGTGGCCAAAGTCTTGGAGCCTCAGCTTCAGGATCTGTCCTTCCAGTGAGCTCTCAGGGCTGATTTCCTTCAGAATGGAGAGGTTTGATCTTCTTGCAGTCCATGGGACTCTCAAGAGTCTTTTCCAGCACCATGATTCAAAAGCATCCATTCTTCGGCCATCAGCCTTCTTTATGGTCCAGCTTTCACTTCCATACATCACTACTGGGAAAACCAGAGCTTGAACTAGACTGACCTTTGTTGGCAAGGTGATGTCTCTGCTTTTTCAGATGCATTAGAGCGCCTAAAATCCATTTTTGTTGTCCCATGGTTAACTTCCATATAGTAGGCATATGGCTGGGGGTTATTGCTGTTATTATTATTATTAAAATATATCTTTATTAATCTAAAATAAATACATTTATGAAAAAACAGACATACATACAAGTAAACAAACAAACAAACAAACAATCAAGTAACAGAAAAATCAAACAAACCACCACATTATAAGATTGTTGTTGTTGTTTAGTCGTTTAGTCGTGTCCGACTCTTCGTGACCCCATGGACCAGAGCACGCCAGGCACTTCTGTCCTCCACTGCCTCCCGCAGTTTGATCAAACTCATGCTGGTAGCTTCAAGAACACGATCCAACCATCTCATTCTCTGTTGTCCCCTTCTCCTTGTGCCCTCCATCTTTCCCAACATCAGGGTCTTTTCCAGGGAGTCTTCTCTTCTCATGAGGTGGCCAAAGTATTGGAGCCTCAGCTTCAGGATCTGTCCTTCCAGTGAGCACTCAGGGCTGATTTCCTTAAGAATGGAGAGGTTTGATCTTCTTGCAGTCCATGGGACTCTCAAGAGTCTCCTCCAGCACCATAATTCAAAAGCATCAATTCTTCGGCGATCAGCCTTCTTTATGGTCCAGCTCTCACTTCCATACATCACTACTGGGAAAACCATGGCTTTTACTATACGGACCTTTGTTGGCAAGGTGATGTCTCTGCTTTTTAAGATGTTGTCTAGGTTTGCCATCGCCTTTCTCCCAAGGAGCAGGCGTCTTTTAATTTCGTGACTGCTGTCACCATCTTTCATGATAAAAGAAAACCCTTCTTCACACCAAGTTAACCTGTGGAACTCCCTCCCACAGGAATTAAGGATGGCCAGGATTAGACAAATTCATGGAGAAGGAGAGGACTAGCAATGACTTAATAGCCAGGACAGAGGCTACTCTCTTCCTTTGGGGTTGAAGGCAGCAAGGCTTCTGAATCCCAGTTGCAGGAAACTTCAGAGGGGAGAGGGCTGTTGGGTTCGAATCCTGCAAGGGGGGCTTCCCAGAAAAAGCATCTGGTGGGGCATTGCAAGGACACAGTGCCGGATTTACGTATAAGCTAAACAAGCTCCAGCTTAGGGCCCCACTCTCTTGGGGCCCCCCCCCCCAAAATTAAAGGGGATGTACTGTATTTTTTGCTCTATAAGACTCACTTTTTCCCTCCTAAAAAGTAAGGGGAAATGTGTGTGCATCTGCAGCGAATGCAGGCTGCGCAGCTATCCCAGAAGCCAGAACAGCAAGAGGGATTGCTGCTTTCACTGCGCAGCAATCCCTCTTGCTGTTCTGGCTTCTGAGATTCAGAATATATTTTTTCTTGTTTTCCTCCTCCAAAAACTAGGTGCGTCTTGTGGTCTGGTGCGTCTTATAGAGCAAAAAATACGGTACATTTCTGAAATATAAAATAACAAACTAATAAAATAAAACCCACATACAGCAACAGTGTTTTGTGTTGTGTAGGCTGCTATGATGTTGTGTAAGTCATAGGCCCCGCCTGCTCGCCTGCGCCCTAAAATATCCCTGGTTTGCTCCTTTCTATATATAGGGTGCCCACATTCTGCATGGACTGGTTGCATGGCAACATGGGCAAATGGCTTGAGATGCCTATTAGGTCCATCAATTACCATATAGCAGATATTCAACAAAAAAATCAGCGACCATTTGTTGTTGACAAAGGACAGCTGGATGTAGAAAGGGCCCCATTACCTTCAGTGGGACGCGGGTGGCCCCATGGGTTAAACCACTGAGCCTCTTGGGCTTGCCTATCAGAAGGTTGGCGGTTCAAATCCCCGTGACGGGGTGAGCTCCCGTTGCTCGGTCCCTGCTCCTGCCAACCTAGCAGTTCGAAAGCACGTCAAAGTGCAAGTACATAAATAGGTACCGCTCCGGCGGGAAGGTAAACGCCGTTTCCGTGCGCTGCTCTGGTTCGCCAGAAGCGGCTTAGTCACGCCAGCTCCCTCGGCCAATAAAGCGAGATGAGCGCCACAACCCCAGAGTCAACCACGACTGGACCTAATGGTCAGGGGTCCCTTTACTTTTACCTTTACATTCTGCATGGACTGGTTGGATGGCAACATGTGCAAATGGCTTGCACATGGCAAATGTCCATCAATTACCATATAGCATATATTAAACACAAAAAACAGTGACAATTTGTTGTTGACAAAGGACAGCTGGACATAGAAAGGGCCCGATGACCTTCAATATCTTAGGGCCTCATCAAACCTAAATCCAGCCCTGCAAGGACAGGATAAATGACCACATGCCATGGATCATGGGGAGGCAACCTAAGGCCTGGGGGCTGGATCCGGCCCAATCGCCTTCTCAATCCGTCCCACGGACGGTCCGGGAATCATCATGTTTTTACCTGAGTAGAATGTGTTCTTTTATTTCAAATGCATCTCTGGGTTATTTGTGGGGCATAGCAATTCATTCATTTTTTTATAGTCCGGCCCCCCACAAGGTCTGAGGGACAGTGGACCGGCCCCCTGCTGAAAAAGTTTGCTGACCCCAGCCATGGATGCTTTAGCTGAGATTCCTGCAGAATCTCAGAATTCCACCATACTCTTTTTCACAAATGAGTACAGAGATGTGAGGAACCGAAAGTAAGATCGGGTCAATTTATATATTTTTATGGCCCGCTTTATTTTTTCATGGTTTTTGAGATGTTTCGAACCGTTTCTAATAATGCACTTTAATTGCTGTGACCCGCCCGGGGGGAGGGGATAGCAATAAATGGCCGGTTCACCCGCTCCAACACGCAGTCGGATTCTGCAAAACTGTGTCACCCACAGAGCGCCGGCTGAGCAATCCAATTGCCTGGCCCAATGGCTGTTCAGGGAGCAAATTGGATGGAAGGTGCTGGAAGCAGGTGCTGGCGGTTGGAGGTGGCGGGGGGGGGATTCGAATCCCTCCCCCCGATGCAATTGGGAGGGTTATTAAACAGTTTAAGCTGGGCTGGGATTATGTGGCAGGTGGACCTAGTGGGCGGGGGTGGGGAGAAAAATCTTGAGGGACCTCTCTCTGCAATATTCAGAGATGCACAAATTTCAAAGGTAGCAGTTTCTGAAGTGCAAACTAGGTCGTTTCTCCTTTTTTTGGTCAAATCTATTTTCTATTAAGTTTTACATTGCAAATTAAAATCTGCAGAAGTCTGCATGCACACGAAAGCTCGTACCACTAACTAACTTAGCTGGTCTCTAATGTGCTACTGGAAGGAATTTTTTAATTTTTAATTTTAATTTTATTTGTTTTGTTTTGTTTCGACTACGGCAGACCAACACGGCTACCTACCTGCAACTACAATCCAAACGTTAAACATCAGCACCATCATTTAGGATTCCCTGAATACTTTGACTCCCTTCCACCTTTCCATGGTTTCCATTATCAATCTTTTCTCAACTGCTTACCTTATTTTCTCTCTTTTTTAAAAAAAACCCGGTCCATTTTAAGTACATTTTTTTAAAGTACATTACAAGCATTACTCAAATCCTGCCAAAGTTTTTGGTTGTTTACAGCGTTCTCTTAAATACGTTATCAGTTTCTCCCATTCCTTCTTAAAGTTCTTCTCTTCCTGGTTTTCCCGGTCAATTTCGTCATTTCGGGATCATCTTCATCTCTGGTCATCTTCTTTCCATCTCTGGGCCAGTAGTGTCCACGCTGCTGTCATTGTACACATAAATACAGTGGTATCTTATTTCTCAAATGCCTTGGTACTCAAACAACTTGGAACCCAAACACTGCAAACCTGGAAATAAGTGTTCCAGTTTGTGAACTTTTTCGGAAGCCGAACATACTCCGTCTGGAGTGTTGTGCTTCTGTTTTGAGTGCCACACTTCCGTTTTGAGCGTTATGCTGAGGTCTGTCTGTTTTTTCTATTTATTTTGCGTTTTTGTTTTTGCGGCTCTTTTTTGTTTTGTTTTCGTGCCTGTGTGGAACCCAGTTCAGCTCCTGACGGATTGTGTGACTGCAGTACATTGTTTATTGCCTTCATTTTATGGATCAACGGTCTCGTTAGATAGTAAAATCCACGTTAAATTACTGTTTTAGGGGTTGCTTTTAAAAGTCTGGTACAGATTAATCCATTTTGCATTACTTTCTATGGGAAAGCACGCCTTGGGTTTGGAACGCTTTGGTTTTGGAACGGACTTCCGGAACGGATTAAGTTTGAGAACCAAGGGACCACTGCAAATGGTAAAACTGCAGGTAGCTTTTAAGCAACATTGCGCAGGGACTGCCAAGCTCAGCCTTGGTTCCCCAGCCAGGAGGCACACGCCTGGTTTTGGAATGTTATTAAATATACCAAGAAAAAAGCACACCAAGAACTCTGGCCAATGTAAGTTTCAATAGTGGGAGTGGTCCCTACTCACAATTCAATAGTCAGTAGTAACAACAACTAATCCATTCAAAAGTATGTATTCTAATAAAGATTACAAACTCTAACAGAGATTACAAACCCAAACTCAAAGAGATATTTATAACACAATAATTCGTTACAAAGATTTTCTCTTTTTCACTCGACAATAATGTTGATCCTTATAATTTATCAGCTTGCAGATGGAGACTCAGTTTCAATCATAGCGCAGAAGTCAGAAGTCTATTATGGACTGGAAACCAGAACAGGGCCCTGTATTCACCTTCATCAGCTAATTTTTAAGTTTGGAGTTTGTAAGTTTGAAGACTTTTGGATAAATATATCCTGTTCTTTTCTACGTTTCTCAAGGATAACACTACGTGTGGGTAGATCAACGTGTATCCTGAGCTTTTCTGTGCACCTAAGATTCCTAATGGGAAAGCCTCTGGTTTCAAACTAGGTCATTTCTCACCAAAACGGCAAAAAAATATGAATTTCTCCCCCGGATGCAACAGAGATCAGGTGTTCCTCTGCCATGGATGCTTCAGTTGAGATTCTGGTATTGCACGGGTTTGACAACATGGCTTTAGGAGGTTGCTTCCAAATCTAGTATCTTATGATTCAATGGTCCCTAACTTAACACTGCCTCCCCTTCCTTTCAGGTACGGACCATGGCTACTTCCACATGGACAACGTCACGGGCGCCATCACCATGCTGCGGCCGGTGGAGAGCAGGATTCAAACTCCAGTCTACAGCCTCAGTGTCATGGTAGGCCCCTGCAGCTGAGAGAAAAGTCATGGGTCCCTTTGGCTTCTTCGCATCCGGGGCTGGAGGGGGAAATTGAGGTTCTCAACTCCCAGCCTCAGCCCCCAATCCTGCTGTGATTTATTTCGTTTATTTTTATGTCACAGGTATTTTTTTAACACTGCTTAATTTTGGGTTCCGAATTGCTTTGAGTTGCCTTTGGCAAGAAAAAGCGGCGAATCAATTTAACCAATCGATCGATCAATCAATCAATCAATCAATCAATCGTCACCAAAGCCCCTAAGCCTAAAACACACATCCCAGTTCCTGTTAAAATGAGACGTTAGAAACCAGTTAGCCAGATTTTTCCCCCCCAAAAGGAGCTGCTGAAAATATAAATATACATAATAAAAATTAAACTGCGTGTTGTGATAATACATGCCAGATCTGGTTACACGTCTAGGTGGGCTTGCTTAAACAAAGAAAATAATAATAATACCATATTGGTCCGAATATAAGCCGCACCTGCAAATAAGCCACACCTTTAAAATGGAAAGGGGGGCAGAGAAAAAAACGACAATACCTGAGCTGTGAATATAAACCGCACTTTAACTTTTCATGGTTGGAAATTGGAAAAAAGTGGGGCTTACATTCAGGCCAATACGGTAATAATAATAATAATAATAATAATTTTTATTTATATGCCACCCACCTGACTGGGCTGCCCCAGTCCCTCTGGCCGGCTTCCAACAAATTATAAAACCACAGTAAAACAGCAAACATTAAAAACTTCCCCGTATGCCAAGGACTCCAGTCTTGCCTGGTGTCAATGGGCAGGGAATTCCAAAGGTGCAGCTTCTCTTTGCTTTATTTCTGCCTTCCGGTCTCCGGTCATCCTGCTCGCCCCACGAATTTTGCACCGCCGAGGATCAGAAAGAACGGCATGCACACGCCCCCCCCCCCCGAAAAAGCTTGCCCATTAATTGATTAATTGAAAACCAGTCAAACATAAAAGGGAATAATTAACGGAAGGTCTTTTTATTTATTTATTTATTAAAATTTTATTGAACATAATTATTACAAAATACATACATACGGGTGAAACTCGGAAAATTAGAATATCGTGGAAAAGTTCATTTATTTCAGTAATTCAACTGAAAAGGAGAAACTAATATATGGGAGATATGTCAAGCCTTAATTTGTTATAATTGTGATGATCATGGCGTACAGCTGATGAAAACCCCAAATTAACCATCTCAGAAAATTAGAATATTAAATGAAATCAGCAAAACAAGGACTGCAAATAGAGCAATATTGGACCTCTGAGAAGTAGAAGCATGCACATGTACTCAGTACTTGGTTTGGGCCTCTTTTACATCAATTACTGCCTCAATGCGGCGTGGCATGGATGCTATCAGCTTGTGGCACTGCTGGGGTGTTATGGAAGACCAGGACGCTTCAATAGCAGCCTTCAGCTCTTCTGCATTGCTCGGTCTCATGTCTCTCATCTTTCTCTTGGCAATGCCCCATAGATTCTCTATGGGGGTCAGGTCAGGCAAGTTTGCTGGCCGATCAAACACAGTAATCCCATGGGCACTGAACCAGGTTTTGGTACTTTTGGCAGTGTGGGCAGGTGCCAAAGTCCTGCTGGAAAATGAAGTCAGCATCCCCATAAAGCTCATCTGCGGAAGGAAGCATGGAGTGCTCCAAAATCTCCTGGTAGACAGCTGCGTTGACCCTGGACTCAGTGAAGCAGAGTGGACCAACACCACTGACATGGCTCCCCAAATCTCTTTTCTGATGAAAGCAGCTTTTGCATCTCATTTGGAAACCAAGGACCCAGAGTCTGGAGGAAGAACGGGGAGGCACACAATGCCCGATGCTTGACGTCCAGTGTGAAGTTTCCACAGTCTGTGTTGATTTGGGGAGCCATGTCATCAGCTGGTGTTGGTCCACTGTGTTTCATAAAAGAACTTTTCCATGATATTCTAATTTCCCAAGTTTCACCTGTACACATATTTTTCAGATAAGCACACATATATAAAAAAGAACAATAAAAGGAAGAAAAGACAAAAGAAAAAGAAAAAATAAGAAGAAAAATTGGAAGAATTTCTTCCAAATTTATTCTACAAATACAGTGGTGCCCCGCAAGACGAATGCCTCGCAAGACGGAAAACCCGCTAGACGAAAGGGTTTTCCGTTTTTGAGTTGCTTCGCAGGACGAATTTCCCTATGGGCTTGCTTCGCAAGACGAAAATGTCTTGCGAGTCTTGAGATTTTTTTTCCGCTTCCCCCCCCTTTATCTAAGCCGCTAAGCCTTTAATAGCCTTTTAGCAGCTAAGCCGATAAGCCTTTAATAGCCACTAAACCGCTAATAGCGCTAATCTGTTAAGCCGCTAATAGGGTTGCTTCGCAAGACGAAAAAACTGCTAGACGAAGACACTCGCGGAACGGATTAATTTCGTCTTGCGAGGCACCACTGTATCTCAATAATAAAATTTCATTGATTGACTTCCATCACTTACACTGCACACATACAAATTTGCTTAAAATGTATATAGGAAGTGCAAAGAGAAAGCCAGGAACCAGCAAGGCTGGATTCAACCCTGCCTTGCGACCGAATTCTGCTGCTCGCTGCTCACATTTCTGCTGCAAACTGCCTTCTCTCTCTCCCTCCTACCTGCTGCCCGCCTCTCTCTCCCAGGCCTCTCAGGTGAATGACGCCAAGAAGTACGCCGTGACCGAGGTCCGCGTGCGAATCCTGGCAGCCAACAGCCACGCGCCGCACTTTGAGAAGTCCCTGCACCAGGCCTTCGTCCACGAAGGCGAGAGCACGGCCTCTCTGGTCCTGACGTACGGCAGGAGGGTCCTCTTCGTCCTGGCCACCGACATGGACTTCCCGGACGTGAGTCACCTGGCGCTGGTTTGGGTGGGGCAGCCCAGAAAGGGTGGCATGGCGGGGAATCCTTGAATCACAGTTGGAAGGGACCCTGAGGGTCATCTAGTCCAACCCCCTGCAATGCGGGAATCTCAACCGGAAGGCATGCAGGAGGCCCCTGGCCCCACCCACAGCAGCATCTCCTGGGGACGGGTGCAAAGGAATCGCGCCCGTCTTGAAACCCTAGATAGATGCTGCCAGCCAGTGTGGGCAGTGCTAAGCCAAAGGGGCCAATGGGCTGGCTCAGTACAGTTGGTTCTTGAACATAATAAGAAAAGGGAAAAGTTGACAGCTATGACTCCCAAAACCGTTCGAAAAGTAATGCACGGCTTCCAATTGGCTGTAGGAGCTTCCTGCACTCTAGCAGAAGCCGTGTTGGACGACACTCTGGGCAGCTTTCAACAAAGATTAAAAATACATTAAAATGCCACACATAAAAAAACTTCCATAAACAGGGCTGCCTTCAGATGTCTTTTAAAAGTAAAATAGTTGTTTATTTTCTTGACATATGGTGGGAGGGTGTTCCACAGGGCAGGCGCCACCACCAAGAAGGCCCTCTGCCTGGTTCCCTATAACTTGGCTTCTCACAGTTAGGGAACTGCCAGAAGGCCCTCGGAGCTGGATCTCAGTGTCTGGGCTGGACGATGGGAATGGAGATGCTCCTTCAGGTCTACTGGTCCGAGTATATCCTATAGCGCCTCAGGCCAGCCCCCCCTCTCTGGGCGCATAGCAGCATGGGAGCCAGACCCTCTCACCTCCCCACTCAGATTTGCCCCCACTGACCGGCAGTGGCTCTAGGGGATTTCAGCCAAGGGATCTTTCCATCCCTATTTCGGGGGTGGGGGGGCGGGGAACCTTCATGCTGATGCTCTATGCGCCGAGATGCACACCGTAGCATTTCTAACACTACTTGAACGCAAAATTGTAGGCTGTATACAACTCCGAAAAGGCCCAAACATAGTAGGACTTTTTGGGGTTTTACAACCAATTGCTGATGGAATTAAACTATTTATTAAAGAACCCATTTGCCCAACATATGCATCCCCCATATTATTTATTTTAGCACCAACCTTAGCCCTTTTACTAGCCCTCATAATATGAACTCCTATACCAATAGCGCACCCCCTAGCAGACATAAACGTAGGCCTCCTATTCCTTCTCGCCCTCTCAAGTATAATAGTCTATACAATTTTATTTCCGGATGAGCATGTAACACAAAATACGCCCTAATAGGAGCCCTACGAGCTATCGCACAAACAATCTCCTACAAAGTCACCCTAGGCATCATTCTACTTTCAATTATTATATTAACTGGCACCTTCACAATACACACCCTAATTATTACACAAGAACATATATGACTAATTTTACCTACCTGACCTCCTGCCATAATATGATATGTATCAACTCTAGCAGAAACAAATCAAGCACCATTTGATCTAACAGAAGGAGAATCTGAACTCGTCTCAGGTTTTAATATAGAATACGCAGCAGGGCCCTTCGCAGTATTCTTCCTAGCTGAGTGCGAATTGTAATTTTTAATTTTGCGACTTCCCATAGTCTGAACCAAGAAGCATGTCCAAATCTCAGTCCTGCCTCTCGTCAATATTTCCACATCTCAATTTTATCTCTCCCTTTCTCCCCAGGGCTTCAACCCTGCGGTGCGGTATAGCCTCAGGCGCCAGTCCAACCACACGCAGCTCTTCCAGGTCACCCCCGGCGGACTCCTCATCGCCCGCGCCGACCACCTGAGTGCTCTCCAGCGATACGCCTTACAGGTTTGAGCCGAGCCCTTCCCCGCCCCCCAGCGACCAGCCGGGGGTCGCTCTCCTCCACTGTGCGGGAACAGTGGGAAACTAGCTCCCGGTGGGTCCGGTTGGGTGGAAGCCAGGGAGTTCAACAGCAGGTGGCGCCAGAGCCGAAAGCAGGAATCACAGCGTGATCAGGGCCTTGCAGAGCCAGGCAGAGGCCCGGGCCAGGTAGATAATGTGCCCCCCCCTTTTATTACCCTGGGGATAACTGAAGTCTTATAAATAAGAACCGTAGATTCCGGCGTATAAGATGACTTTTTAACCCCGGGAAATCCTCTAAAAAGTCGGGGGTCGTCTTATACGCCGGGTATGGGTTCGCCAGGCAGCGGTAGTGGGCGTCGGGTCCCACACTGGGAGGAAGCTGGGTGGCTACATCCCGGTGTGGAGAGGAGCCCACCGCCCACTGCCGCTGCCCAGCGAAGCTGCTGCGTATTAGGCGACTGGGAGTATAAGTCAACCCCCCAAATTGGCAGCTGCCAATTTGGGGGGTCGTCTTATACGCCCAGTCGCCTAATACGCCGGAATCTACGTTAAGTATATAAATAATTTTCACAAAAGTTATGCTGGCAAATACCGTATTTTTCGCTCTATAAGATGCACCAAGTTTTTGGAAGAGAACAAGGAAAAAAAAATTCTGAATCCCATAAGCCAGGACAGCAAGTGGGATCACTGCGCAGTGATCCCGCTTGCTGTCCTGGCTTATGGGATAGCTGCGCGCAGCCTTTTCCAGCCAGGCAAGGGGAGCCTTCATTCCCTGCCCGGGAGAGGCTACATGCAGCTAAGGCTCCCCCAAGAGCCGCGCTCCCTTTAAAGAGTGCACGGAGTGTGTGTGGGGGGCTCTTGGGGGCTGTTCCCTCCTTGGGGGCTGTCCCCCCAACACGCTCCATGTGGCTCTTCAAAGGGAGCGCTGAGCAGAGCCTCCCGCCTGCGTTCTTCCCATAAGACGCACACACATTTCCCCTTACTTTTTAGGAGGGGGAAAGTGCGTCTTATAGAGCGAAAAATACGGTAATTTTATTTCAAGCCTTGAACCGTATCTGCATATAAAGACAAAATGGAAACTATAGATATACAATAGTGCTTTATAAAAATACATAGGGAATGTATGCTGACTGAGGCCCCCTTGGAATCGGAGGCCCGGGCCAAGTGACCCATATGGCCCCCCCTCTGTCTGGGCCTGAGTGTGAGAATCCCTGGCAGGCAGCCCTCTGCTCAAAAACTCCCCAGGAAGGAGAGTCCGCCACCTACCGAGGGAGACTGTTTCACTCCCAAAATACTCTTGGCGCTCACCTGTGTGCTCCTGGCGATGCTCACCTCTTGTTCCTCCTTTAGATCCTTGCGCGAGATGAGGAGTCGGGTGAGACTGCCAACACCACGGTCAACGTGGAGGTGCTGAGTCCTGGCCAGGCAGGTATGCCAGGGCAGGTGACTGGGCAGGTGGGCGACTGGGTAGGCGGGCTCCTTCTCTGCACATGGCCTCTCAGCTATCCATGAAGGGACATGCGCCCAATGCGTTGCTGAAGGCTGGCAGTACATAGCAATAGGCCCTTATTCCCTTACAGTCAGGCACAGGCAAACTCAGCTCTCCAGATGTTTTGGGACTACAACTCCCATCATCCCTAGTGAACAGGATCAGTGGTCAGGGATGATGGGAATTGTAGTCCCAAACATCTAGAGGGCCGGAGGTTGCCTATGCCTGTGTTACTCACCACAATTGCCTCATTATGTAAATCATGTTCAGAATACCACAACACACATGTAACTGGCTGTAAAGTAACACTGGTAAAGGTAAAGGGACCCCTGACCATTAGGTCCAGTCGTGGCCGACTCTGGGGTTGCGGCGCTCATCTCGCTTTACTGGCTGAGGGAGCCAGCGTACAGCTTCCAGGTCATGTGGCCAGCATGACTAAGCTGCTTCTGGCGAACCAGAGCAGCGCACGGAAACACCGTTTACCTTCCCACCGGAGTAGTACCTATTTATCTACTTGCACTTTTGACGTGCTTTCGAACTGCTAGGTTGGCAGGAGCTGAGACCAAGCAACGGGAGCTCACCCTGTTGTGGGGATTCGAACTGCTGACCTGATTGGCAAGTCCTAGGCTCTGTGGTTTAACCCACAGCGCCAACAGCGTCCCTTTGTAGGTGCAGCCATTGCGGAGGTGCTGGGTGGCTCTGTGGTTTAACCCACAGCACAACCGTGTCCCAAAAGTCCAAGGATAGTCAAGTCCAAAGATTGGTGGTACCTCGGTTTTCGAATGTAATCCATTCTGGAAGACCATTCGACTTCCGAAATGTTCGGAAACCGAGGGGCAAAGGGCGATCTGCCAGTTCAATAGAGAGAATTGTGGAAAAAAACAGATACACACCGCGGAAGCAGTTTGACTTCTAAGGCGCGTTCGAAAACAGAAGCATTCACTTCCGGGGGTTTTGGCTTTCGAAAACTGAAATGTTCAGCAACGGAGACATCCGAAAATCGAGGTGCCACTGTATTATCTAACCCTAGGGTTCCCGAACTTTGGGGGGGGCACGGCCCCGTTGGCTTCCCAAACTCATCGCCAGTGCCCCCTACCCTACAAAGAAGCACTATTCAAAATAGCCATTTGCATGACACATTGAAGAATGAGAACAATACAATTCTAAATGAATTGTGCCTTTATTCTAAACCCAATCGAAACTCCTTGGTTTAATTAATTCCATGAAATCGCTAAACTTGCTCCAGCAATTCCAGCTTTTCGCTGCCATAAAGTCGATGGCTAAAACTCGCCTACCTTCCGGGATTGTGGTAAGGATCTATGCCAAAATGGCAAAAACGACCGAAATAATCTGAAATCAGGAAGGCCAGAATTTTAATAAGGAATGGGGGAAATTTATAATTTATCTTAAAAATCATTGTAAACAGTTTAGAATCGTTAGTAGGACTGGCATAACACTAGTAGTTTAATGGTGAATTTTGGATAAGATGGAGATGTAAAAGTTTTGGGTTGTTATAAAAGACGCAGGAGGAAATGATTAATAGTAGGACCCACAAAGGGGAGAATGGAAGTCCAGGAGATTCTTTGGAATCTTGATTTTATGATGTAGGTTGGATATGTGAGTGTAAAACGTTAATTTGAAAAACCAAATAAATAAATATTTTTTTTAAAAAAAGGATTGTTGTGAGGATCACTGACAACACGTCAATAAGGCCCTTTGAACAATCAGTGCTTTGTAAATATAAGCGGTGGTCTTGCTGTTGTTAGATAGGAATCTGATGGGCGCAGGGCCAGTGGTGAAGGAAGGTGTGTGTGTGTTTGTGTGTGTGGTCCGCCCCAGGTGTCACCACTGAGGGAGGTGACAAAACAACAAAAATATGAATTTTTAAAAAATAAAAAATTGGGCTCACAAAACTTGTTAGTTAAGTCCACAAACATTGCGTGGTGAGTTCCTGCCCCTCCCCAGTGTAAATAAAGACACATGACACAATTATTAAGGTTAATGGGCTAAATAAGGCCACAACTTTATTGGTTACAGGTGATGAGCGGTATTGGCTTAGGCATTGGTCCTAACCCACTATATCCGACTTCAGCCCGTCCGCTTGAAGTCTGGGAAGGGTGAACCACCAGTAGGGGGAGTCCTGCTGATGCACATCAACCAGGAACTCCCCCGGGGTCACCGTTAGGGGGCGTGCCTTAGGCCCTCACCTCCCCAGGCTTCGGACAGGGCCACGGCCCCCGTAATCCTTTACTGGACTACCCTTCAATATGCGGGGCAGGTGATGGCGCTTCCTCCCCTCTTCCACCTACAGAGCAATACCAATGCCTAACCGCCAATACCCAGAAAGTTGTGACGATTTGCTACGAGGTAGGCAAAAACCAAGTGGCTGGTGCCAATTTGCCAAGTGGAAAAATTCCTACCAGGCCCCTCAACGGCGACCAACCAAGGTCCATAGCAAGGTCAAGGAAGGAAAACCTTATAGGGCGGGAAGGTGGGAAAAACAGGAGCAGCTGGCAGGCGAGGAAAGAGGGAGATCCCCAGCCGCATCCTGCCTTAAATAGGGCAGGCCACACCCCCAGAGCCAGCCGATTGGCTGGCCAGGGGATGACGCGGCCAGGAATCCCCCCAATCGCGCCGGGCTGGGCTCCAGCCGCCGTGCACATGGTGGGGTCGTGAAGCCCACAACCCCATCTCCTTCAAGTGGCTTAACAAAACGCGGCTGGCCCTGGGCGCCACCCCGGGGCGGCTGGCGCTTCCTGCGGGGCCTGCGTGGGACTTGAGTCTGCCCTGCGCCTCTCCCTCAGCTGCCCTACAGCTGAGGGGGATTCGGCGGAGAGGCTCCATGCAGTGGCCCCCGCCCCAATCAGTGACTAGCTAGCCACCGGCTGCGGGACGTGCGCACCACACCCGGCACCTGAGCGGATAGCCACCGTATTTTTCGCTCTATAAGATGCACTTTCCCCCTCCTAAAAGGAAGGGGAAATGTGTGTGTGTCTTATGGAGCGAATGCAGGCTGCGCAGCTTTTGCTGAAGCCAGGAGAGCAAGAGGGATCAGTGTGCACCGATCCCTCTTGCTCTCCTGGCTTCAGGGATAGCCGCCGAAGCCTCCTGAGTGCAGTGGGAGCACTTCCGCTGTGCTCCGTAGGCTTCGCGTTGCTTTCGCTGAAGCCAGGAGAGCAAGAGGGATTGGTGCGCACTGATACCTCTTGCTCTCCTGGCTTCGCTTTGCTGGAGAGGCGCTGAGCACAGAGGGAGAGAATATTTCGTTTCTTGTTCTCCTCCTCTAAAACTACCGTATTTTTCGCTCTATAGGACGCACTTTTTCCCTCCTGAAAAGCAAGGGGAAATGTGTGTGCGTCCTATGGAGCGAATGCAGGGGGGAGGCAGGCGGGAAAAGCCCCCAAGAACCGCACACTAGCTCCGTGCGGCTCTTGCGGGCTTTTCCCCAGGAGGGAGAAGGGACTGACTGGCTGCATCAGTCCCTTCTCCCACCTCGTAGAAAAGCCCACAGGAGCGACACACCCTTTAAAGAGCGCACAGCTTCTGCGGGCTTCTGCGGGAGATGGGGGAATTCCCCCACCTCCCGCAAAAGCAGGGAGAAGGTCTGGGAGAAGCGCACAGGCTGCGTGCAGCCTGTCCGCTGCTCCCAGAGCTGGGGGGGGGATCATACTTTCCCCCTTGATTTCCCCCTCTGAAAACTAGGTGCGCCCTATGGTCAGGTGCGCCCTATGGAGCGAAAAATATGGTAGGTGCGTCTTATAGAGCGAAAAATACAGTATGTCGCTGCGCAAGACCCCTGCAGCCCTTAGCTCTCTCTGCACTGCTTATTGCAACTCAGAGTGAGACCCAATGCTCTTTTCCTCTCGCCCCCACCCTCTCCGCTTCCTGCTCAGTCCCCCTGGATCCTCTTGAAGCCGGGCACCAGGGCACGATGGACGCCGGGATCCTGGCAGGCGGCCTGGGGGCGCTGCTCCTGGTGACGGCCATCATCCTCTTCCTCATCCTGCGGGCCATGAAGAAGAGGCAGCGGCGCCAGCAGAACATGGAGAGAGCGGCTTTGGCTATGGAGAAGCACCCCAATGTGGTAAGCGGGAAGGGTGCACATTGATGTGCAAGCTCCAAAGAGCGGGCGCCACGGGAGAAGCACCTTGTCTGGAGCCGTCAAGGGGAAACTCCAGCTAAGGCGTTTGATGCTCAACGACAGCCCAGCCACATCGCCTAAGCAGGGCTGGGAATGTCCCCCAGTCTGAAATCACTGCAAGAGCCACATACACAATCCCAGTCAGTTTGGACAGCACCGGGCGAGAGGGAGCAAGGGGTCTGACCTGGGCTGGATCTACATGGATCTGTAAAAACGTTATTAAATATAACAATATATAACTGTGCATTTTTCCATTGATGATGACTTTTAGAAGACATCTGAAGGCAGTCCTGTTTAGGGAAGCTTTTAATGTTTAATAGACTATTGTATTTTAATATTCTGTTGGAAGCCACCCAGAGTGGCTGAGGAAACCCAGCCAGATGGGCGCAGTATAATTAATAAATTATATTATTATTATTATTATTATTTATACCCCACCCATCTGGCTGAGTTTCCTCAGCCACTCTGGGCAGCTCCCAACAGAATATTAAAAACACAATAGAAGGTCAAGCATTAAAAACTTCTCTAAACAGGGCTGCTTTCAGGTGTCTTCTAAAAGTCAGATAGTTGTTTATTTCCTTGACATCTGACGGGAGGGCGTTCCACAGGACGGGGGCCACCACCAAGAAGGCCCTCTGCCTGGTTCCCTCTAACCTCACTTCTCCCAGGGAGGGAACCACCAGAAGGCCCTCGGAGCTGGACCTCAATGTCCGGGCAGAACGATGGAGGTGGAGACGCTCCTTCAGGTCTACTGAACCGAGGCTGTTTAGGGCTTTCAAAGGCCAGCACAACACTTTGAATTGTGCTTGGAAACATACTGGGGCCAATGTAGGTCTTTCAAGACCGGTGTTATGTGGTCTCGGCGGCCACTCCCAGTCACCAGTCTAGCTTCCGCATTCTGGATTAGTTGTAGTTTCTGGGTCACCTTCAAAGGTAGCCCCACGTAGAGCGCATTGCAGTAGTCCAAGCGGGAGATAACCTCCATGAACTCATCTAATCCTCTTTGAAAGCCACCCAGATTGGTGGCCTTTGCTGCCTCCTGTGGCTGTGAGTTCCATAGTTTAACGATGCGTTGTGTGAAGAAGGACTTCCCTTTATCTCTCCTGACTGCTCAGAGAGACCCCCCTCCCCAAATATTGAGCCTGCCTTTCTCAGAAAAAGGGTTTCCGCTGTCTCTAGATGCTCACAACACCCCCTTGCCTTTTCCTTCTGCTTTTCTCCTCTCTGCTCCTGGACTGCCTTCAACCATCCTCAGCTTTTCCCACCCTTACCTGGCCTTTTGACAGTGGCCCCCCACCCCAGCCTGACATGAACACCTCCCCGTTTCCAGGGATGCTCTGGCCTCTTAGATGTAGCTGGACTCCAGCTCACACCAGCCTGGCCAATGGTCAGGGGAGGGTCATCGAGTTGGAAGGGTGACCTCTGAGGGTTATCTAGTCCAACCCCCTGCAATTAAGGAATCTCCCAAGGCAGGACTCGAACCCACAACCGTGAGATCAAGAGCCTTGTGCCCTAACGGTTGAGGTATCCCAGCAGTGGGGTTTTTCTTGCAAATCACAGGAGGATGGGAGTTGGACTGCAAAAATATCTGCAGGTTGCGAGGGGTATAGCTGTTCACAGAAACTCCCCAAGCCCCCTTTTTGGGCTGTTGACCAGCGCAAAGCTTTCTGCAGCTGCAACAATGATTTTGCGAGTGTGAAATTTTGTGAACGGGAGCATGAAGAATTATCTGGCTAGGCCGTCCTGATTTCATTGTTCCCATGTGCAAATTCAGTTTAAATCATCATTGCATAGGCCTAGGGGTGAACGGGCCTAGGGGTGCCTTGCCCAACCTGGAGCCCTTCAGGTGCCTCGTGCTACAACTCCCAACATCCTCCGTGTCACATCTGCTGTGGCTGCTGACAACTGTAGTCTGAAAATCTGAAGGGGCACCAAGTTGGGGGAGGGCGCTCTAGACACGACTGGAACCCAGAAATCCTGACTTATCGACAACAATGGGAGAACGAAAACACTCCAGAGATTTGGACAAATCACTCCGGGTTAAGTCTCAGAGTGGTTTCACAATCGCTCGTGAACTGCCACCCGCTGACCATTCCTAGAATTTAAAGCATATCAGTTGTTATTTACGAATTTCACAAACTGAATATACCGCTTGATTTCTTTCTTTTTTAAAAAAAGTCAAAGCAATTTACGAAATGCATGCATGCAAAATTCGTGTGTGCTTCTGCCCTGGGCCTCTTTTGCAGAGTCCTGGTTGCTTAAATTGGGTCGTGCAACACCTTCCGCCCTGGTCAGGCTGTGGGTCCCCCCCTCCTGCGGCCTGCCTTGCTGTGGTTCTCTGCGCATACTCGTTCTCAAGCCTTGACCTTCTCTTTCTCTCTCTCTCTCTCGTTCTCTCTCCCCTGTCTGTCGCTCTCGGCTCGCCCTGCCACCCGACAGAGCTTAAAATGGTTCCAGCCGGTGAGTGCCCAGATGGGAGGGAAAGGGGGGAGGGCAAGCGGGGGGGAGAGACCCCACCCTACCCCTGCCACCCAGCACCTCCGCAATGGCTGCACCTACCAAGGGACGCTGTTGGCGCTGTGGGTTAAACCACAGAGCCGAGGGCTTGCCAATCAGAAGGTCGGCAGCTCGAATTCCCCACAACGGGGTGAGCTCCTGTTGCTCGGTCCCTGCTCCTGCCAACCTAGCAGGTCGAAAGCACGTCAAAGTGCAAGTAGATAAATAGGTACCACTCCGGCAGGAAAGTAAACGGTGTTTCCGTGTGCTGCTTTGGTTCGCCAGAAGCAGCTTAGTCGCGCTGGCCACATGACCCGGAAGCTGTACGCTGGCTCCCTCGGCCAGTAAAGCGAGATGAGCGTCGCAACTCCAGAGTCGGCCACGACTGGACCTAACAGTCAGGGGTCCCTTTACCTTTACTATCAACTGGTCAACACAGTTTTGCAAGGCAATTTCCCCATATACAACGGACCTTTGCATGTTACTTTTGCAGATGTTAGCATTTTAACGCACACTGTGGTCTAAACCACTAAGCCTTGGGCTTGCCAATCAGAAGGTCACGGTTCAAATCCCCACGACGGGGTGAGCTCCCGTTGCTCAGTCCCAGCTCCTGCCAACCTAGCAGTTCGAAAGCACCTCAAAGTGCAAGTAGATAAATAGGTACCGCTCCAGCGGGAAGGTAAACAGCGTTTCCGTGCGCTGCTCTGGTTCGCCAGAAGTGGCTTAGTCATGCTGGCCACATGACCCAGAAGCTGTACGCCGGCTCCCTCGGCCAGTAAAGCGAGATGAGCATCGCAACTCCAGAGTCGTCCACGACTGGACCTAACAGTCAAGGGTCCCTTTACCTTTACCTCATTCCAAACTGATGCCCAGGGATAACTGTGTCAGGAGTTCAGGCTACACTCGAGCAGGACCCTGGCAGACACACATGCCCGACTGGCATGTTCTCTCCCTCCTGGTCGATCGTTCGGGAGCTTCATAAGTTTTCTTCAGCCCAAACATCACAGTGACCGATGCCAAACAACACCAGCACACTTAGGGATCCGCAGAGTTTGTGCAGTTGCGTAACAGACCTCAGCAACTCAGTATGTTGGCTAATCTACTTTATTTACATATAAACACACACGGAGCACTGCAACATCCTGTCTTCATTAATTCCCACTCTGTGGGGTCAAAACATACACCGTCATGAGAAAGACAACAATCCCATGACTGCAATCATGGAGCAGGAATTCTAACAAACTGGACCATGCTCACGATCGTGACATTCATGGCTAGCAGCCTCAAACAACCCAGAGGAAGCCAATGTTCTCAGAATTGTAGAGTTGGAAGGGACCCCCAGGGGCCATCTAGTCCAACCCCCTGCAAGGCAGGAATCGCAGCTAAAGAATCCCGGATGGAGAGTTACTGAACGGAATCACTATGTGCCAGTGGGGGAAAGGAGAAGGACTACCTGTTGGATTCCTTAGCAGGCATAGCCAAACTTGGCCCTTCAGCTGTTTTGGGACTACAGTTCCCATCATCCCTGACCAGCGGTCCTGCTAGCTAGGGATGGTGGGAGTTGTAGTCCCAAAACAGCTGGAGGGCCGAGTGTGGCCACGCCTGCCCTAGAGGCTTAAGGGAAGGAGCATGAAGAGGGTGGGTGGCCCCATAGGAAAGGGGGAGGAGAGGGGGGCAGATCTGGGCCAAAGAGAGTGGTCCTACAAGCCTTAATGAAAGTCAGCAGTGTGGCACAGTGGTTAGAGTGTTGGACTAGGACCTGGGAGAGACCAGGGTTTGAATTCCTACTCAGCCACAAAGCTCATGGGGTGACCATGGGCCTGTCACCGCCTCTCTCAGCCTGACCTCCTGACCTCCCTCCCTCCCTCCCTCCCAGGGTTGTTGTGAGGCTAAGGTAATAGAATTATAAAACTGCAGAGTTGGAAATGACCCAAAGGGTGATCTAGTCTGACCTCCGAAATGTGTGTGCTTCTAGGAGGAAGGGTGGGATACGAAGGCAAGAAGGAGCCTGCATGCACATTTGAAACATGTCTTGACCAGAAAGCCTCTGAGAAACAACATAAATTTATCCCAGCGGAGGCTTCTTCTGTGCCACCAGTGGATTAGGCCAAATAAGATGTGACTGGGAGGGAGGTGGGGCAGGTGGGGAGCCCGTAACAAAGAGCGAGCCTGCAGTAAACCCCACGTTTATTAGCAAAAACGCAATCTTCGCATACTTGGTGGAGTGCAAGGAACGCAGCAGTTCAACCCCGGTAGATCTTGCCCCATGGATATTGGCAAAGCTGAAAGTCCCCACCTCCCCACAGTCGTCAATGTCTCCTCCTCTCCAGGGCTTTCCCCAAGCGATCGGAGACTGTGCCTGCATGCAAACAGCCTATCCTCCTCCCTCTTCACGCCTCTCTTGGTTCTGGGAGACCAGGGAGGAGGAGAACTTGTTGCAGCAGCAGCAAGAGGAGACACCTGTGCCTCTTCACCAGCTGGACTCATCTCTGCCTCTTGGCCTCCCTCCTCTCCTGATTCAGCTTCTACCTCTGATTCCGGACTTCTCTCTGCACAGACTCTCCCCGCCCACTAAGCCCTGTTACCTTTCCAGATTCCAACACCTCCTCTTCCCAGGCTTCTCCCTCTGATCACTCATCATTGTCCCACCACCAATCCCTGGGCTCCGAACCTTCTGTGGGAATGTTGAGGGATGCGGGGAGGATATATTGTCTAAGATATCCTATCCCAACTTATCTTTACAAGTTCAACAAATCAGCAGAGTTAACATTCCCCTTTTTAAAACCACACACATAGCAGATAGCTTGCTCATACTCGTTAGAGTCTCTGTAAATATTTCCTGGTATTTCCCCCATTTAATCCCTCCTAAAATGGATTGCTAAGCAGTCTTGTGTGAAGTATAAAACGCTTACTCACAAGTAATCATCTGTTCACACAAAGGTTCCCAGAAGGCGGACTTAAAAGGTTAGAACATACGATGGTACCTCGGGTTAAGAACTTAATTCGTTCCAGAGGTCCATTCTTAACTTGAAACTGTTCTTAACCTGAAGCACCACTTTAGCTAATGGGGCCTCCAGCTGTCGCTGCACCGCCAGAGCACGATTTCTGTTCTCATCCTGAAGCAAAGTTCTTAACCCAAGGTAATATTTCTGGGTTGGCGGAGCCTGTAACCTGAAGCATCTGTAACCCGAGGTACCACTGTAGTTTAAATGTGGTGACTATCTCCTTACGGGAGAAAGCCTCCCCTTTTCTTCTCTTGGCCTGGAGCCAAGGGTGCATCTTAGTAGTGCTGTTGTTAAGATGGCGTTGATAGAGACAAGAGGAGACAAGATGGTCGCCAGCCTGTGGTTCTGGTTCAATTCTACTTCAGGAGAGGCCATGCCCATCTCAGGTTACACATAGGAAGTTTCGTCTCGGTCCTGGAAAGCAGGAAGTTCCGGCTGGAGGACTGAGACAACCTTCATGTCTACTCTAGCAATGTTGTGTTTGACTGCACCTGATTCTTACATCCCACACCTTCTTCCCCTGGTGGCTCCCCAGTTGGTACCTCCCACCATTCCTCTGCCTCCAACCCATCCATGACACCCCAGGAATTTGTTTTCAAGGGCAGGGGGCTGCCTCCAATAAGCACAGGGTAACCAGCCAGAGCATGGCCTGGGCATGGATAGTTCAGTTGGTAAGAGCGTGGTGCTGATACAAAACTCGGTTGTCGACCGCAATCCGTTCCGAAAGCTCGTTCTGAAACATCCGAAATGTTTGGCAACTTCTGATTGGTTGCAAGAGCTTCTTGCAGTCAAGCGGAAGCCGTGTCGGATGTTCAGGTTCTGAAAAACGTTCGAAAACCGGAGCATTTACTTCCGGGTTTTCGGCGTTCGGGAGCCGAGATGTTTGAAAACGGAGCCGTTCAGGAACCGCCAAGGTTGCAGGTTCAGTCTTTGTACAGGATATTTGTACAGGATATTTGTACTGCATATTCCTGCATTGCAGGGGGTTGGACTGGATGATCTTCAGGGTCCCTTCTATGAAGCACCCTGAGATGAAAGCCCCCAATGCCAGGTCCTGCCATCTTGCCTGGCTCCCCTCCACTAATGGGGTCCTTTCCCTTTCTGCCCTTCTACAGGTCAATGCTGGAAAGGCCTCGCCGCACCCTGATAACGTCTACTTCCAGAACGAGGGGTACAGCGACCTTGGCGACGAGGCGCCCAAGACGTACGGAGGCCAGGCGGCCCTGAACTCCAAGCTGGATTCAGCGAGGAGCGGGAAAGGCCTGCCCGTTGGTGACGCGCCACTGGCCAACTCGGTGCCCAAGGGCGGGGGCCAGGCCCGAGCCAGTGCGGCCCCCAAGAAGCCCGAGGAAGAAGAGGAGGCCAAGACGGCTCTCGTCAATGGAAAGGCCCTCGAGCAACGCCCCTCTCTCTGCCTGGAAGATGAGGCCTTGCCCAAAGCTGCGGAGCAGCCGGTGGAAATGCGGGTGGTGGAAGATGAGGATGAGGAAGATGAGGAAGACGAGGCTACTCTCTTCCCCGTGGGCAGTGAGGAGAACCAGTTCGGAGACACCATAGGAGGACCCGAGGAAGAACAGCGCTCCGAGGGCGGTCCGCAGCAAGGGGGAGAGTCGGTGCCAGAAGGCAAGTTGGCTGCCAACGGGGGCCCAAGCCACGTGGAGCCCGCTCCTCAGAGCCCTACTGCTGACAGGAACTGTGAGGGTGGCAGAGGGGCTGGGGAACACCCTGGGTCCCCCAGTGAAAGCATGGACGCATCCCAGGTTGTTCCCTGTGGCACTTCTGCTCCAGGGGACACAGAGCCCAGCGACACAACCCCGGCCCCCAAGGAACCAGTCCCCCCACTGCCGAGGCTGGAAAAGCTGCCCACGGAGGACGAGGAGGAGGACGACGGGGAGGAAACACCAAAGGCCACGTCACCCACTTATCGAGACCCCCTGGCACCTCTGCCTGTCAGCGACGTCAGGATGCCCGCCACACTTTTGCAGCTTCTGGAAGATTCCATCGAGTGCTAGCCTGCGTCTCGCTGCCCCACCCCGAGCGCAGCCTGCTTGGCCAGGGCGGAGGGAGGGAGGACAGTGGACGGTGTAGAGACAATCTCCTTTCACTTGGGCGAGCGTAACGGGGCAACCGTAGCCCCGGGCATTGGTTCGTGCTGAGCGGGCAGACTGGTGGGGAGGGTCTTCACCTGGATCCCGGGGCTCGTGCCAACATTGGGGGGCTCCTTTCCTCAGCTCTGTCTGCCGGGCGCACAAAGGCATTTTTCCCCCTCGAATGGGGCGTTGCTGACTCTTTAAACCCACGATAGACACATTAGGTTCCCCCCGTAAGCCAGGCAGCCCACCAAGGATGCACCAGCTTCTGCTCAGGGTCTACCAACCGGGACGAGGGGAATGCTTTGGCCTGGGGGTGGGCGGGCGGGCGGGGGGCATATTCCCTTCTCAGCAGCTTCCCTAGCTGGTCAAAGAGTGGGGAACCCCCAAGGGAGGAAAGCTCAGAGCAGAGGAGAAGTCAGAGGGAGGAGGTGCTCGATGATGCAGAAGCAACAGGATTTAGTGAGCAGGAAGAGCAGATGACAGGGTGAAGTTCAGACTCCGAAGGTGGAGCAGAGGAGGGGGGTCAAGAGGCTGCTGAAGAATCCAGGGAGTCTCCCTCTCTGGCTGCAAAAAGCTCCCCTCTCCCCTGGTCTCTGAGAGCGCACAAAGTAATGAGAGGAGCGGAACAGAGACCAGAGATGTGCAGATGCAATTTGAAACCGCTTGGAAAACATCTGGGAGAGGAGTCAGCCTTAGAGAGGGTGGAAGGCCGGGACCTTCATTCCTGGCAACTGCTCACCTACTGGGGAGCGTTGCTGAGTTGTACGTTCATTTCCTGGAATAAAAAGTCAACTTCACTGACAACAGAGCTCTGCCTCTTTTGTGCCAACTTGCGTCTGACTCCAGCCCTGATAGCCAGATGTTTTGGACGGCAACAACCGTCATCAGCCCCAGCCAACACCCAGCTGGGTTGTCCGAAAACACCTGGAGGGCAACAGGTTGGCTAAGGATGCTCTAGAAGGTCTCCCAACGTCATGCCATGCGTGAGCTGTCGATTCTCATCCCCAAACACCCCCAGTGGGATGCCCTTGGGGTGTTGCTGGACTCCCTCTCCCATCAGCCCCAGACAGCGTGGCCGATGGCCAGGGAAGATGGAAACTGTAGTCTAGCAGCATCCAAAGGGCACCATCTTAGATATCTCTGCAGGTGTCAGATCCTGAAGGAGAGGCTGATTGCCCCAAGGTATGTCAGCAACGTGGACCACTTTTTGCAAGCGAGGCTCTCAGGCAAAGCAGTATCAAACCTCCCCTGACCTAGCCAGGAGCTCACCTGTGCTACTTCTGCAACTGCTCAGTCGAAGCCACATCCCTGGGGCTGGATGCGTGTCCCAGGGGGCCTGGGGACACCCTGCCCCAGAAGGACCAAGGCCAAAGAAAGCCCAGGGCTACCCCAATGTCTCACCACCAGCCCTTCCTCTGCAAGCCTGTTGGTGGCTGTGCTGCAATATAACACTGAATGTATGATAGAAGCAACTGTTGTCTTGCTTGCGTCTTGGGTTGGTGAGTGCAAGGAAGCTCACTCCAGAAGCTATGTCTAAAGGAGGTCCGAGAGGACATCATGTTACAGAGGAGGAGGAGGAGAAAGCCAATCCACGCCACCTCGTCCGTTTGTATTTTGAAATTAAAGAAAGCATTTTAAAATAAAAAAATGCCAGATGATCTTTGTGTCCATCCGGGGGGAAGTTCTGGGACAGGGTTTGGCAGCGACATCCCAGAATGTGCTCAGAGTTGCAGCCAGCTCACGACTTGCAGAGTCCACAGGTGTTTTTTTGGGTGGGTGTGTGTGTCATATGGAAGTTTTCAATCTTTGATGCTTTATCGTGTTTTTAATATTTTGTTGGGAGCCGCCCAGAGTGGCTGGGGAGGCCCGGCCAGACGGGAGGGCTATAAGTAATAATTTGTTATTAAAATTATTGTGGGTGCTGCAGAGGATTCTGGGCCTAGCTGACACCTTTTCCCTTTTCTTGCGAGGAATCCTATTCGGAATAAGGCAATATCCCTTAAAAAAGGGAAATGTTACAACTATGATTCTGGGGCACAGCCTTGGCTTGAAGGTAGTCATGCAAGAACCAAGAACCTGTGTGGTGAGGTTGGCACAGTGAATGCATTATGAACAGTGCCATTCTAGGCATGGCGATTGGCTAGCTGCTTCCAGATGTGTAGTTGCAGTGGGATCAGTGGGACTCACACGCCCAAGCTTTCTTTCTGGCATCCAGACATCTGCAAAAAAATGTGAGCCCATGTTCCTGCCCGCTACTTAACCTGGATTTACCCTTTCACGAGAGTGTGAGCACAGTGTGCTGGGCCCGGGGGTAACCTGAGTAACGCGGTCCAGGTCCGGTTCTGAATCCAAGGGTTCCACGAGGAGCCAGTCCAACAGGCCCAAGGCAGGACACAAAGGCAGGAAACTAGGTCAGGCGCAGGGTCTCAGGCAGGATCTATTACACAGCAACGTTGCTCCCGCAACCTGGGGTCCGGCCGCCTTTTATCTCTGTTGGGGTAACGGCCGTCCTGATCCCCTGGTGACTCACCTCCCTGTCTCGCCCGAAGGCGAGCACTCCTCCTGCGAGTACTCAGGTCTCACCTTCTCTCAGACCTCAGTCTCTGCAGCTCGGGAGACGTCGGTGGGTTACTAGACCCAGGGGCCGCCTCAGCCTCCCCTGACCCAACCGGTAGTGGAGCAGCTGTTAAGTGATGGCCCAGCTGGAGGCAACGAGGTCATCCCTGCATCTGGAGCCAGGGCAGGATCAGGCCCCTGACTCGGCCCAGCTGGTGCTTGTTGCAGGGGAACCTGTGCAGACTGGGACTCTTCATAATCAGGCCCAGACTAGGTTCAGGTGATGCCTGAGGCAAAGGATCTGGTGCGGACTGAGACTCCTCTGGCTCTGAGTCCGAGCCCAAGTCCTAGGCCATCACACTGTGGTCCTGTTGTCACAGTGGCCAACCAGGTACCCTAATGGGATTTGAGCAACTCTCCCCTTCTATGGTTTTGAGCAACTGCTATTTAGAATCATCGCTGCCTCCAACTATCTTTGGCCTGTGTCACCCAGATCTGCCCCCCCCTCCCCCTTTCCTATGGGGCCACCCACCCTCTTCATGCTCCTTCCCTTAAGCCTCTAAGGCAGGCATGGCCACACTTGGCCCTCCAGCTTTTTGGGGACTACAACTCCCATCATTCCTAGCTAACAGGACCAGTGGTCAGGGATGATGGGAACTGTAGTCCCAAAACAGCTGAAGGGCCAAATTTGGCCATGCCTGCTAAGGTATCCAACAGGTAGCCATTGGATTTTCTGCAGCCTAAGAAAATGCAAGGATGACCCTGATGGAATGACGACACGGCAACTCAGCTAAAATGTGCGGAAACCTGGTGCGGAAAGACCCAGTGCTTGCCTTTTCAGAAGCCATGCTGCAAAGGCCTTCAGCAAGACTTGTCCTTCAATAGGCTCGGTAGTTTCATTTACAATTTATAGGTGTTAAGATGACTGACCTTAAATAAGTTGGAGTTCTTGTTATTAAATATACCAAGAAAAAGCACACCAAGAACTCTGGCCAATGTAAGTTTCAATAGTGGGAGTGGTCCCTACTCACAATTCAATAGTTGATAGAAACAAAAACTAATCCATTCAAAAGTATGTATTATAATAAAGATTACAAACTCAAATAGAGATTACAAACTCAAACAGATATGTATAAAACAATAATTCGTTACAAAGATTTTCTCCTTTTCACTCAACAATAACGTTGATCCTTATGATTTATCAGCTTGCAGATGGAGACTCAGTTTCAATCATTGAGCAGAAGTCAGTTATGGATTGGAAACCAGGACAGGACCCTGTTTCGATGTATTCACCTTCATCAGCTAATTTTTAAGTTTGAAGTTTGTAAGTTTGAGGACTTTCGGATAAATATGTCCTGTTATTCTCTACCTTTCTCAAGGAAAACAACTACGTGTGGGTAGATCTAAGTGCGCACAGAAAAGCTTGTTTCTATCGACTATTGAATTGTGAGTAGGGACCACTCCCACTGTTGAAACTCACATTGGCCTGAGTTCTTGGTGTGCTTTTTTCTTAAGATGACTGACCTGCCATTTCCTCTATAAGTCCTCCTCTTGACTCTAGTGGGGAAGATGAACAAAGACCTTTGCAGACCCCAGCTGAGGCTTCGGAGTTGAATGAAGACTTAAGTTCTATGCAAGCTGAGTTGCTGTTGGGGAAAGCAGAGCTTTGCTTGTATCAAGTTTTATTTCAGAACCTCTCTGATTTCTCTTTACATTTGTTTCTGAAGATCTGAACAGACATGAACCCGGGCCCTGCGGCCTCAACAGAACACACGAAAAAGCATTCAGGTGTAAAACAACAACTAACAACACAGTAAAAGTAGGATTGGCGTGGAAAGCAGGTTGGGGAGCAGACCGCCTATTGCTCCGCTATAAATCTGGGAAGTGTTTTTCTGCTTCCCTGGCAAGGGCAACTTTCTGCCCAAGCGCCCAGCAATGCACTTTGATGTGCTCCAAAACGGACCGAGTAGTTTTCCAAAGAGCTGAGATGAAGAAGGCAGTGTGATGGCCAGTTCCTGCTCTCCGCCACAGACATCCCACAAACACAACAAAGCGAGAAACTCTACCGGGGGAAATCCTCACTTCCGGTTACGGTGGTTCCTGGCTTCCGAATCTTTAGGAGCAGCCGGAATAAGAGGCTGAGGTTTGAACGCCCTTGCACTGCAGACAAATTTGGGGGGTTCCTTGTACCTCCGTCTCCACGGCTGGAAGACTGTCCCCCTTAGGAGTGCACCAATGACCTCCCTTATCCGGGGACGGGGAAACCTCTGTTTGCATGGCCCTGCAGCCGGCCAGCCCTACCCATTTGGCCCCTGAGACCATTTTGACCACTTGCGGCAAAGGCAGAGGGCCAAGAACAGGGAAAGAAGACGCAGCTTGGTCGAAAGGGGGCTTTGCAAGCCGTGACAACTAGCTGGTTCTCTAGACTGAAGGGCTAGTTATGGGGATGGGTCCTAGATGTCCATTGCCCGACACTTATTTCTGGGGTGCAGGGGCGCACGTCCACCTCCAGCTCTTCGTTCAGGCTGTTCACAGAACTCTACTCTCAGAAAAAGAGCAGGGGGACGATGTTAGCCTTCTGAAAGGACCCCCTTTTCCCCATTCGGGAGACTCTGGTAGTACTAAACAACCCTGTTCCTCCTCCAGAAGCCCGTGGGGTCCCTCCAAGCAGTATGGCCGGACTCCAGCTCCCATCATCCCTCTGCGCTCCTGGTGGAAGATGGGAGATGGAGTCCAGCAACACCGAAAGCTTCTCCAAAATGGCTTGCCCACGCCGGAACTGAAGTCTGCACGAAAACCTTCAAGAGGTGCCTGTTTGGAAACGCAACCTCCTCCTTACCCCAGAGAGAGAGATTTTCCTGTTTCTCACTGACATTTGCCCAGCCGCAGTCTCAGGATGCCCTGCAGGTACATCTTCAGGTAGCAGGAGAACTCGCGGGGCCTGATGCGCACCTGGGAGTGGCGTGGGAAGGGCTGGCCGCTCAGGCCATGCGCGAAGGGCCAGAACCCGTAGAGAGTGATGCGCTGGCAGAGCTCCAGAGCCAGGCTGACGAAGGCGAAGTTGGGCGAGAGGCACTCGGGCTGGAAGCCCTCGCCGGTCCAGTAGCTCCCCAGGGCGTCCAGGTACTGGGGGTTCAAGAAGGAGGCCCGTTGCAGCACGTCCGAGTCCTCCAGCGAGTGCAGAGGGGGGTTCCTGGCACGGCTTTGGAGGGTGGGGAGGAGGAGGAGGAGGAGGGCATCCCGGTAGGGGCGCAGGGCATCCGCAAGACGCTTCCTCTGGGAGCCCTGGTACCTGTGGGAGGAGGAAAGGAGAAAGAAGCTGCCTTCAGGAAACAAGTAACACATGCGTGGGCATACATAATAATATAGCGGCACCTCGGGTTACGGAGGGACGCGGGTGGCGCTGTGGGTTAAACCACAGAGCCTAGGACTTGCCAATCAGAAGGTCGGCGGTTCGAATCCCCACGACGGGGTGAGCTCCCGTTGCTCGGTCCCTGCTCCTGCCAACCTAGCAGTTCGAAAGCACGTCAAAGTGCAAGTAGAAAAATAGGTACCACTCCGGCGGGAAGGTAAATGGCATTTCCGTGCGCTGCTCTGGTTCGCCAGAAGCAGCTTAGTCGCGCTGGCCACATGACCCGGAAGGAAGCTGTATGCCGGCTCCCTCAGCCAATAAAGCGAGATGAGCACAACCCCAGAGTCGGCCACGACTGGACCTAAAGGTCAGGGGTCCCTTTACCTTTACCTCGGGTTACAGACGCTTCAGGTTACAGATGCTTCACATTACAGACTCCGCTTACTCAGAAATAGTACCTCGGGTTAAGAACTTTGCTTCAGGATGAGAACAGAAATTAGCTCCATTAGCTAAAGTGGTGCTTCAGGTTAAGAACAGTTTCAGGTTAAGAACGGACCTCCGGAATGAATTAAGTTTTTAACCCGAGTTACCACTGTAATAATAATAATAATAATAATAATAATAATAATAATTTATACCTCACCCATCTGGCTGGGTTTCACCTGCCACTCTGGTCGTCTCCCAACAGAATATTAAAAACACGATAAATACAACATTAACAACTTCCCTAAACAGGGCTGCCTTCAGATGTCTTCAAAAGGTCAGATATTTGTTTATTTCCTTGACATCTGATGGGAGGGCGTTCCACAGGGCAGGCGCCACCATCAAGAAGGCCCTCTGTCTGGTTCCCTGTAACCTCACTTCTCGCAGGGAGGGAACCGCCAGAAGGCCCTCAGAGCTGGACCTCAGTGTCCGGGCAGAACAATGGGTGTGGAGACGCTCCTTCAGGTATACTGGAAGAAGGCCGTTTCTGCACCAGGTACCACCTGACCCTGCTACGCCACTGAGTCCAACATGGGCCTGATGAAGCCAATGCCTCTTCTGATGTGCCGAAACCCCTTTCGCTGGGGCACAGAAGCCCTTTTTCGGCCATTGTTTATGCACAAGGCCCTTTTTGAACAATTAAATCATGAGCTTGTATCGAACAGCATTAGCTCTTTCTTGAGCTGCTTGGTTTTGCGCTATTCATGTGCTGTTGTGTGTTGGTTTTTTTTTTTTTAACATTTTGCTGATTTTTAAATGTTTTGCTATTCCGGCGAGCTACGCTGAGCTCAGTGTCGCTCTTGGGAGAGCAGGCCAGCATCAGTTCGGACCTAATTTGGGGTGAGGCAGCTGCTCAGCATCGCCAACTGCACCATCTCAGCATGCCACCCCCCCTCCGGCCCCCCACTCCTCTTACTTGGAGTCCAGGCTGCTGAGGTTCAAGGCCACCAGACTCGTCTTGGACCCCACATCTTCTGAGGAATTCCTGGCGGGAGGCAAGCTGAACCTGGATTGCAAGAGGAGAGGGTGAGATGGAAGAGGAAATCCAAGTCTGCGTCAGCTTTCAGATAAACACTCTCCTATTTACTTATTTCATAAATGTAGGAGATTTGCTGCTGTACCATCCCAATATTTAGCTGTTACAATCTTAGTATAAGGTTACCAGACGTCCCCATTTCCCGGGGACAGTCCCTGGATTTACAAATCAGGCCCCTGACAAAATCCTATCATTTCTACTGAAGTTGAAAAGCGCCCCCCAGATTCATTGAAAAAAATCTGGTAACCTTATCTTAGTAGCAGGTTGAACGTTATTTTTGCATCATTTTCCAGACTAGTGCCTTTTAGATAACCAAGCAGAAGTGTTTTACGTTCCAGGGGTATTGATGGCATCCTAACATATCAAGGAGGGATACGTTACATATCAAGGAGGGATATGTTACCGTGACTGGACCTAATGGTCAGGGGTCCCTTTACCTTTACCTTTACCATATCAAGAGATCTGGGCCTGATCAGATTTAATTTCTATTTGAGAACAATTCCAGAAAGCCGCCCCCCTTCCTTCCTTCCTTCCTTCCTTCCTTCCTTCATCTGCTGAACTTGAGCCGAGCAAATTCGGCAGCATGCATTAGCTGAATGAACCATGGCTTTGTGATTCATCCATATATCCAGTTCATAAAATTTATAGACCACTGGATTAAAAAAATAAACCCTCAAAAACAAAATCAATCAGTATGTACACCAACAAGATTTATTTGTTTTTTTATCAATAACCGAATACTTTCAAAAGTTAAAATAACAACAGGTTGAAAACAGGTTAAAGCTCGCCTCACTTTTTAAAACACCCAGGTAAAGGTACAGGGACTACTGACCATTAGGTCCAGTCATGGCCGACTCTGGGGTTGCGGCGCTCATCTTGCTTTATTGGCCGAGGGAGCCGGCATACAGCTTCCAAGTCATGTGGCCAGCATGACTAAGCTGCTTCTGGCGAACCAGAGCAGCGCACGGAAACGCCGTTTACCTTCCCGCCGGAGCGGTACCTATTTATCTACTTGCACTTTGATGTGCTTTCGAACTGCTAGGTTGGCGGCGTCAGGGTTATTGATTGCCAAAAATTGTTTTCCCCTGTTTTCCCCTAGTGGAAGCTTTTGAAATTGGTTGCTCTACAGGAGCTGGGCTAGGGGAATTTCCAGCTGCAAGATAAAAAATCGTGAGACTTTGGGATTGACCTTGAATCTCTTAAGTGTTATGGCAAATGGAAAGGAAAAAACAGACGGAATGTCGACAGAAGAGGCCTTAGCGGTCGTATTAGTGAAAATAAATGATTTGCTGGAACAGCTTCACAAGAAAACAGACGTGATAAATGTGAAAGTGGATGCTGCAAATATTAAAATAGACTTAATGGCAGAAAGTTTAAATAATCTGGGACAAAAGGTGAATACCAATACAGAAACCATCCAGAAATTGATACAGGAATCTACTTTGACACGGCAAACTGCGGATGAAGTTGAGGAGAAAACCCTTGCTGCTGAATGTAAAGCAACACAACTGGAGAGAGAGTCCCATCCATACAAGGACAACTTGATGAACATAAGCTGACATTGGTTATGATTGAACTTAAAGAGAAACAGATGAATTTGAGGATCAGAGCCCTACCTGAGGAAAAAGAAAGTTTGACAGAGTTTCAGGAGGAAACAGGACTAACATCGGTTGAGAAAGAGAGGTATTTGGGGGTTAGTATGACCGCCAGAAATGTGAATTTATTCAAGGATAACTGTGAAGGACGATGGATTGAAGAGAAAGGGGATTTGGAAATATGGACAAATCTGAAGTTGCTATTGTTGGGCCGAGTTGCTGTGGTGGGGATGAGGGTTGCTGTGTTGTCGGGGATGTTGCTTTTGTTTCAAACATTGCAAGCTTTGGATGGGATGGATTGTTTCAGGAGGTGGCAGAGGGACGTCTCTAGATTTGTTTGGCAGGGCAGGAAGCCTCGAGTAAAATTTAAGATATTGACGGATGCCAAAGAAGGAGGTGGACTTGCCCTGCCAGACCCCTAAACTTTGTTGTGAACCATCTGCTTTTTGCTGGCTGAGAGAATGGTTGCTTCTTGAAAGCACTTAAGTGTTGGATAATGGCAGATGAAGTTGATGGACTATATGGAATTGGTGGAAATGACTGGCAAGATCCGAGACCAGGGAGAAGAGTCGGGGGAAGAAGACTGGAAAAAGTTTAAAGACTATTTATAGAAATATTGTAAAATTATTGAATGTTAGAAGAATGTTGAAATGAAGTTATATGGCTTTAGTATAAATGTTATAAGGAATTAAGTATAAATAGATTAACAGAAAATTAAAGGAAAAAATAAGGTAAGAATGTGTTAAGATAATTATAGGATAGAAAACAGAGGAAGATGGAAAGGAATTGCTGAAACAATTAATAGAAGTGGAATACAAAAAGGGAGGTGAGAGGAGGTCGTTGGAAATAAGCGAATGAAAGATAAGATACTGAAAATGTTTGAGGTGTTTTTAAATTGTTTTTGTTTTGTTTTGTATGCAGTGTTTTTGTATTGTATTTGTATTGTTCTTTTTTTCCCTTTTTTTGTGTTTGTAGTGTTGTGTTGAAACTGTTCGAAAAGTAATAAATATCATTTTTTAAAAAAATAATAATATTTATCTACTTGCACTTTGACGTGCTTTCGAACTGCTAGGTTGGCAGGAGCAGGGACTGAGCAACGGGAGCTCACCCCATCGCGGGGATTCAAACCACCGACCTTCTTATTGGCAAGTCCTAGGCTTTGTGGTTTAACCCGCAGCGCCACCCGCGTCCCAAAACACCCCGGTAGGCTGGCCTAAACAATATTTTGGCCCAAAGGGTACTACAGCAAAGGCACTTGCCTGATCTCAATCGGCAGGGTGTTCCCAAGTGTAGTAAGGAACATTCCCCCTACCTCAAGGGCTCTGAATCACTCTCAAAGAAGAGTTACCTGATTACGAAGTCTGCCTGGTTGATCTCTTTCCCGCAGCGGCTCCTCTGCAAGATCCCGCCATTGCCCACCACGGCGCAATGCTCGTACTGAACTTCTGAGAAGATGGATCTCTGGAGGTTTCGAGGGGGAAGGGAGAGATTTCGAAACATCTGTGTCTTAAAACGTTTTCAGAATCGACGTGCGAAAGAAACGCTGGGTTTTGTACGCAGGAGTGTGGCCCTGGGCATCCCTGTGTTCGCCGGGGGGGGGGGGCAGTTTGGCCAAAGGCTGATTCCACCCTGGGAGACCCCAAGGGTATGTTATAAGAATTCTAAGGCCTCAAATATAGAAGAAATATTCACAAATGCACACACATCTAAATATAAGACCCATGTGTCTGAAATAGTACGAGAGAGCAATTCTGAAGCCATTTTGAGCTCCTTGCCAAGGAAGAGAAGGAAATTATAATAATACAGTGGTACCTTGGTTCTCAAATTTAATCCGTTCCGGAAGTCCGTCCCAAAACCAAAGCGTTCCAAACCCAAGGCACGCTTTCCCATAGAAAGTCATGCAAAACGGATGAATCCGTTTCAGACTTTTAAAAGCAACCCCGGAAACAGCCATTTAACATGAATTTTACGATTTAACGAGACCATTGATCCATAAAATGAAAGAAATAAACAGTGTACTGCAGTCACACAATCAATCAATCAATCAATCAATCGCGGAACTAGGTTCCACACAGTCACACACACACAAAGAGCCGCAAAAACGCAAAATAAACAGCAAAAAACTTGGCGTAACACTCAAAACGGAAGTGTGGCACTCAGACGCTCAGATCGTCCGACCAGAACACTTGCTTCCAGTTTTGCAGTGTTTGCGTTCCAAGTTGTTTAAGTACCAAGGCGTTTGAGAACCAAGGTACCACTGTAGTAGTGGTAATAATAATAATACTAAATTATTATTTATACCCCGCCCATCTGGCTGGGCTTCCCCAGCCACTCTGGGCAGCTTTCAACAAAATATTAAAATACAGTAATGTATCAAACGTTAAAAACTTCCCTAAACAGGGCTGCCTTCAGATGTCTTCTAAAAGTTTGGTAGTTGTTGTTCTCTTTGACATCTGGTGGGAGGGCGTTCCACAGGGCTGGTGCCACCACCGAGAAGGCCCTCTGCCTGGTTCCCTGTAACCTCAATTCTCGCAGGCAGGGAACCGCCAGAAAGCCCTCAGCGCTGGACCTCAGTGTCCGGGTAGAACGGTGGGGGTGGAGACGCTCCTTCAGGTACACAACAACAACAACAACAGTCTTCCCAGCACCTCAGGGAGCAGGTCCACGAGGTCAGGTCTCACGGGCACTTTTCGTCCGTCCTTCCCAAAGACGATGTTTGATCCCAGAGGGGTGTTTTCCTTGGTCAGGATGAGCAAGGAGGAAGCGTTGCAACATTGGCCCAGTTCTGCCCTGCAAAGGGAAGGGAAGGCAGGTTAGGGATGCACTGGGAAAGGCAGGTGGTCCACACACCTCCTCACCTGTCGCCTCCAAGGGCATCTCGCTGAAGGGTATTTTTACCTGTACTGGGCCACAACTGCCGCATCCGGGTCCCACTGGCATTCCTCCGTAAGCAGCACGTGCTCCAAGATATTCTTGTCCTCAGTCCAGATATCCCACTTCTTGACAGCACGGATCCTTTTCTGATTCCTGGACGTCTTGCGGTACTGGAAGCTGCCACCGGGAGAGAGAAAGAGAGAAGGAGACCAAAGACTCTCACGCAGCAGGACTTCGCTTTCTGGTCAGGGCTGTGTGGAATTGTACCTGGTATCTGGTGGGTGTGCTTTTTAAATAAAATTAATACTACTACTAGGTAAAGGTAAAGGGACCCCTGACCATTAGGTCCAGTCGTGGCCGACTCTGGGGTTGCGGCGCTCATTTCGCTTTACTGGCTGAGGGAGCCGGCGTACAGCTTCCGGGTCATGTGGCCAGCATGACTAAGCCGCTTCTGGCAAACCAGAGCAGCGCATGGAAACGCCGTTTACCTTCCCGCCAGAGCGGTACCTATTTATCTACTTGCACTTTGACGTGTTTTCAAACTGCTAGGCTGGCTGGAGCAGGGACCGAGCAACGGGAGCTCACCCCATCACGGGGATTCGAACCACCGACCTTCTGATTGGCAAGTCCTAGGCTCTGTGGTTTAACCCACAGCGCCACCTGCATCCCTTAATACTACTACTACTACTACTACTAATAATAATAATATTTTTCGAAAAGGTTATGCAAGATGACTGCAAAATGCAGTGCTTGTTGGGATACTGCCAGGGAGATAAAGTCCATCAAGGCCCCCAAGCCGTCTGCCGGACGATCCATCGACCTCCCGTAGGCACGCAGCGACATGAGTTTCTAGAAAATATCTTGCCACATTCCAGAGCTCATGCACGCTCTATCAGCAGATAATGCACAGCGAAAAGTTGCACTCAGGAGAGCATTATTTACAAGTTTATTCAGCGTTGATCAGAACACAGAAAAACATGACTGCCTGCTTTAGTGTCTACGACACAGAGAGAAAACGAAAGCAACAGAAAACATAAACATCCTGTGAACAGGAAATACGCAGGCTCTGTGACTCACAGCCTGCTCCCTTTTAACACGATCTGATGGCAATATGCACAGACAATGTACAATTTCACCTCATCGCCAAACGCAAACAGACATGAAATGAAACCAGGGTAAATAAACCATAGGTAGGTAAATGTGTGGAGGGTAGAGACTGGAACTTTTGTTTTGTTTTGTTTGTTTGTTTATTAAATTTGCATGTTGCCCTTTATCTGTAGACCTTGGGGCAGTTCACAGCATTCTATCACCTATCTATCGATCATCTATATCTATTTGTCTATATCTATCTATCTATCTATCTATCTATCTATCTATCTATCTATGTATCTATCATCTATATCTATCTCTCTATCTCTCTATCTCTCTATCTATCTCTCTATCTATCTATCATCTAAGCTATCATCTCTCTATCTATATTACACAATAAAAACAAAAACAAACCAATAAGCCCCCTCCCCCAAACACATTAAAAGGAGAATAAGATGTTAATCAGCCCAAGGCCTGGTTGAAAATGAACATTTTCACCTGGCCCCTAAAGATATGTAATGCTGGGAATTGTAGTATGGGGGGCGCCATGTTGGCAAAGGCTCGCTCGCGGTGCTTAGATGGAGAGAAGGTAGAGAGGCGGTGAAGTTTTGGAAGCCGCGGGCAGGAATTTGAGATGGGACCAGAAAAGTGATGGTAGCGGAGGTAGATTTCGGGTCACAAGCCGGAACAAGCCCGTGAGTCGCTTGCGACCTCTAGCGCTGGCCACTGACCTGTGTCAATACTCACTTTCCGAAGAAGAGGTTCTTAGATTCCAGCAGCCAAATCAGTTCCTGGCATTCCTTTTGCTCTTGTATTTCAGCCCATTCTCTGGAAAAGGAAGCCGAAGGCAGAAATAATAATATAATAATAATTTGTACCCCGCCCATCTGGCTGGGTTTCCCTAGCCACTCTGGGCGGCTACCAACAAAGACCAAAAATATACTAAAATGTCACACATTAAAAACTTCCCTGAACAGGGCTGCCTTCAGATGCCTTCTGAATGTCAGGTGGTAGTTTATCTCTTTGGCATCTGATGGGAGGGTGTTGCACAGGGCGGGCGCCACCACCGAGAAGGCCCTCTGCCTGATTCCCTGTAGCTTTGCTTCTTGCAATGAGGGAACCGCCAGAAGGTCCTCGGAGCTGGACCTCAGTGTCCGGGCAGAACGATGGGGGTGGAGACACTCCTTCAGATATACTGGACCGAGGCCGTTTAGGGCTTTCAAGGTCAGCACCAACACTTTGAATTGTGCTTGGAAACGTACTGGGAGCCACTGTAGGTCTTTCAAGACCAGTGTTATATGGTCTCGGCGGCCGCTCCCAGTCATCAGTCTAGCTGCCGCATTCTGGATTAATTGCAGTTTCCAGGTCACCTTCAAAGGTAGCCCCACGTAGAGTGCATTGCAGTAGTCCAAGCGGGAGATAACTAGAGCATTTATCACTCTGGCGAGACAGTCTGCGATCAGGGAGGGTCTCATCCTGCATACCAGATGGAGCTGGGAGACAGCCGCTCTGGACACAGAACTGACCTGCGCCTCCATGGACAGCTGTGGGTCCAAAATGACTCCCACTCAATTTTAACTCATGAGCTATTGCTGCAATCTGCTCCGATTGTATATTTTACCTTTATGAACGCTGTTTTCATGGTGTTATGTTATCTGAGCTGGTCTTTGGCCGTAATAAATTATCTAACCCCTGCCTTTAACCCGTGGAAACTGGGGACTTCCGGACTTCCGGGGTGGCGCTATCGGTAATGGTGGATTCCCTCTGATCCGGAGGGACTGGCTCCACAGAAAACGGGTCTGTTCCGCTACGGCGAAGCGGGGACCCTTTAAAAAATCACAGGCGGATGAAGCCTGTGACCATGGGACTCGGCGGGCACCATTTGCGCCCCCCCCCCAATTCGTAAAGGAACCCAATTACAGGCTCCGGAGTGAAGAGGGGCTAGTGGCGCGGTGCTGAGAGTCAGCTGCTTCTTCCGTGGAGCGAAGCCGCACAGCCGTTGCCGGAGAGCGCTACCTTTTTCCTGGGACAATTTGGCTACAAAAACAACTACCCGTGAGCAGATCAAATTTGGACAATTGGACTTTAAACAACGATCTGTGAGTAGAACGGAAAATTGGACTAAGAAATTCTTCTTAATTTGGCACTGAAGCGGGAAGGTCTAAACAGGAAGTCAGCCTTCCGTTTCTTGTAGATAGATTAAAGCAAAGACATGGCAAACTAGAGTTTAGAAAACCGTTTGTAACGGATCAACTTTCATCATCTAAAACTACTGAACCCCCTTCGGAAGCAGGAGAAGAGGGGGGATTTTTTTCCAGACTGTTTAAACCTGCAGAAGAGAGTGTAAAGAAAAGTAATTTTCCACCGTCTTGAACCTGGGAACGGGGTGTCAGGACAGACGTTTTTGGGAAGTTCATTGACTATAGACAAATGTTTTTGACAGACAGTTAAAAGAAGAGAAACATAGTGATTCCATTGTTCTCTTTCGCATTTTAAAGGAACAAATACTGACAAAATATCTGAAAAAGGAAACTTTGTTGTTAGATCTGCTGTTAAAAAAAGAAAGAAAAAAAAGAAAAGAGATTGATACAAATAGAGGTTCTTCCCCTAGAGGGAGCTTGTGAAACTGTTATTAAACTTGAACTGGGGAGCTTCGCAGCTGCAAACAGATTAAGATCGTGGGAACAGACTTCTGACCTTGCATAACAATGTATTCAGAGGCTCTGGTGCATGCTTTCTGCAAGACAAGTGCTTTATTGGAAGTTACATGAGAAGACGGATTTGATGACTGTTGCGATTAGAAATTTTGGGTATCTATATAGAACCCACAATTAGAAATTTTGGGTATCTATATAGAACCCACCCAGGAATCAACTCAGGAGTGTGCTCTGACAGATCAGATGAGGGAGGAGGTTGTTGTTGGACCTCGGGTGGCAGAGATGGAGGGAGCTGTGGCCCAGCAGGAACATGAGTTGTTGAATTTGACAAATGAACTTGGAAAAAGCCAGATTTGGAGAGATAGAGTTTTGTTGGGTGTGGAGATGGGGGGCTGGATAGACCCCCCTATGCAGGGATGTCTTGACTTTTCAAATCTGGCAATGGGCCGTGAGGAGTTTGGGGTTGTGGGGGTGCTCAACTCTGGAGGGACCTTGAAACATGCTTTTAAATACCACATGGAGTTCAGTGTGGACTATGGAAAAGGGGCTGATCTGTTGAGAAGGGACAAAAATACTGTCAAGTTGGAGTTTCCACGAGTGAAAGGACCAGGAGACAAAGTAAAGTACAGGTATAAATATGAAGAAGATCTGCGGAAGGGACATGGAAGAGACTTAAGGGCCTCGGACATAAGATTACCAGGTTAATGAACTAGATGGATGGGACAGAAAGGACTGACAAAACCCGGGACCAGGAGGAAGAGACGTTGGATGAAGATTGGAAGAAAGTTTTAAAAATTTTTTATTTGGGATTGTTTTGTAAAATTAATGAGTATTAGAAAAATGTTGGAACGAAACTATTTGGCTTTAGCAGAAATGTTAAAAAGAACTATGCAAGAATATGTTATGGTTATGAGAAATTGGTATAAATAAGATTTAAGTTTTAAGTTTTAGGGTTTTTTTATAGTAAGATAAGGTTAAAATAGATTAAGGTAATTTAATGACAGAATATTATGAAAAATGGGAAGGATTTACTGTGATAATTAACAACTGGAATACAAAAAGGGAGGTGTGAGGAGGTCGATGAAATAAGGCAATGACAGTTAAGGATTTGGGAATATTGGATCTGTTTTTAAATGTTTGTGGTTTACTTTTGTTTTTCTGGATTTTGATGTGTTTTGTTTTTGTTTTTGTTTTTTTATTGATTTGTATTGTTTGACTGCTGTTTTTCCTTTGTTTTTTTTCTTTTTCTTTGTCTCTTTGTTTTTTCTGTAACTTTAAAATGCTTAATAAATATCATTAAAAAAAAAAAAAAGGAAACTGGGGACTTCCGGGTTGGTGCCTCCGGCAATGGCGGAGTTCCTCTAATCTGGAGGAACTTGCCCCGTGGGAATTAGGGTCTGTACCGCCGCGGCGAAGGCGGAGACCCGTAAAAATCACAGGCGGGAGAAGCCTGTGAACGTGGGATTCAGCGGGCACCTTTTGCACCTCCCCTACTCGCGGGGAAACCCGGTTTCGGGGATCCGGAGCAACGTGGGGTAAGAGCGTGGTGCTTCGAATCATCTGCTTCTTCCACGGAGCGAAGCCGCATAGCTGTTGCCGGAGAGCATTGAGTTTTTCCTGTGGACAATTTGACTCCAAAGTAATTACCCGTGAGTAGAGCTGAGACGGGAGAATCGGATTTTAAAAGTTTAATTTGGCATCGAAACGAGGAGGTTCAAAACAGGAAGTCCGCCTTCCCTATTTGTAAACAGACTGAGGCAAGGAGGCTGTAGGCTGAAGTCTTGGAAAGCCTTTTGCAAAAGCCTAAATTTCCATCGGTAAAGAGCACAAAACCCCCCTTGGAGGCAGGAGAAGAGGGGGGGATGTTGTGGACTGAGTATGCCTGCAGGAGAGAGTGAAGGGAGTTAAAATAAAGCCGCTCTGACCCTGGAAACGGGCTGCCAGTAGGACTGACGTTTTGGAATGTTCATTGACAGCACTTAGAACGTTCCTTGACAGCTAGCAAAGGAAGAGAAATACATTGTTTCTATTGTCTCCGGCCGCTTCTAAAAAGGAGTAAAAAGTATCTGAAATCTGAAATTAACTTTGGATTGTATGTGTTGTGTTTAAAGGGGACATTGTTTCCCTCTAGTGGAAATCTCTGAAATTGGTTACTTTATAAGAGCTGGGCTAGGGGGGACTTCCAGCTGCAAGCTAAGAACTGTGAGACTCTGAGATCGACCTTGAATTTCTCAAGGGTTATGGTAAATGGAAAGGAAAAAAACAGGTGAAATGTCGACAGAAGAGGCCTTAGTGGTCGCTTTAGTGAAAATAAACGATTCGTTGGAACAGCTTTACAGGAAAATAGACAATCTGGGACAAAAGGTGAACACCAACATAGAAACCATTCAGAGATCGATACAGGAATTTATGTCGACATGGCAAACTGCGGATGAAGTCAGGGAGAAAACCCTTGCTGCTGAATGTAAAACAATACAACTGGAATGTGAAAGAGCCCCATCCATTCAAAGGCAATTCAATGTGACATCCGTTATGATGGAACTTAAAGGAAAACAGAAGAACTTGAGGACCAGAGCCCTACCTTAATTGGGAAATGAAAGCCTGACAGAGCTTCAGGAGGAGACTGGACTAACATCGGTTGAGAAAGAGAGGCTTTTGGGGGCCACTATGACCGCCAAAAATGTGAATTTATTTAAGGGTAACTGTGAAGGACGTTGGATTGAAGAGAAGGGGGATTGGGAAATATGGACAAATCTGAAGTTGCTATTGTTGGGCCGAGTTGTTGTGGTGGGGATGAGGGTTGCTGTGATGCCGGGGATGTTGCTTTCGTTTCAAACAGTGCAAGTTTTGGATGGGATGGATTGTATCAGGAGGTGGCAGAGGGATGTTTTTGGAGTTGTTTGGCAGGGCAGGAAGCCTCGAGTAAAACTTAAGATACTGACGGATGCTAAAGAAGGAGGTGGACCTGCCCTGCCCTGCCAGACCCCTAAACCTTGTTGTGAATCATCTGCTCTTAGCTGGCTGAGAGAATAGTTGTCTCCTGGAAGTACAGAAGTGTTGGATAATGGCAGGTGAAGTTGATGGATAAGATAGAATTGGCGGAAAAGACTGGCAAGATCCGAGACCAGGGAGAAGAGTCGGTGGAAGAAGACTGGGAAAAGTTTAAAGATTATTTATAGAAATACTGTAAAATTAATGAATGTTAGAAGAACATTGGAATGAAGTTATATGGCTTCAGTAGAAATGTTATAAGGAATTAAGTATAAATAGATGAATAGAGTATTAAAGGAAAATAAGGTCAAAATGTGTTAAGATAATTATAGGATAGAAAACAGGGGAAGATGGATAGGAATTGGAATTAAGTATAAATAGATTAATTGAGTTTTAAAGGGAAAAATATGGCTAGAATGTGTTAAGACAATTATAGGATAGAAAACAGAGGAAGATGGAAAGGAATTGCTGAAACAATTAACAGAAGTGGAATACAAAAAGGGAGGTGTGAGGAGGTCGAGGAAATAAGGTAAAGAAAGATAAGATGTTGAAATTGAAATTTTAAATGTTTTTTGTTTTGTTCTGTTTTGTCTTGTTTGTTTCTTTTATTATGTTTGTTTTTTCTTTTTTTTATTATGCATTATATTGTATTGTATGCTTTTTTCTTTTTTTGGCTTTTTTGTAGTGCTGTGCTTAATTTGTTGGAAACTTAATAAATATTACTATTTAAAAAAAAAAATAACCCTTGGAAACTTACCTTGCTCTATGCAGCAGCAAGAGCGCCACCCCCAGGAAAAGCAACAAGCAGACTGGTCCCAGTGCCAGGGACCATTTCCGGGGCAGGCAGTTCAAGGACATGATGGCACGAACCGCTGGCACCAAGAGAAATAATAATAATAATAATTTATTTTTTATACCCCGCCCATCTGACTGGGTTTCCCCAGCCACTCTGGGCGGCTTCCAACAGAATATTAAAATACAATAGAAACAAGCCTGTTTAGTCTCGGGAACGGAGGACAGAGCAGGGACACAGTATAGCATGAAAACTGCAGAGAAAATATTATTATTATTATTATTATTATTATTATTATTATTATTATTATTTTCTTCAGATAATTTTTAATTGAGTTTTCCATATTTAATCACATTTTATTACATAAATCTATCACCTTAAGCATTGCTCAAACAGAGCACCTTCCCTCCCTCTTTCTGACTTCCAAACATCTTTTAATAAATTCTTAGCATTTCTATAACCACTTTTCCCCTTCTTTTAACATTTCACCTCATTATATGTAAAATAGCTCCTTGTTTTAACATTGCAAAACATTTCAGCTCAAACCTAGAAACGTTTTCAAATGTCTACAATTTTGAAAGCTGCAGAGGAACTATTATGTTCCGCCGCAAGCCTCGTTTAATTGAAAATAAAAATTAAAAAGGGGAGTTGGCGGAGAACGGGTCCTGCTCCTTGTACCATCCCCTGAGGACCGATGGTGACAGGATGGGCAATTGCCTGGCTGAATAAAAATGGCCAGAAAATGTAAGGAGATCATATCAGCAAGCCGGTATGTAATTTAAATTATAAAACTATTAATGGCCTGCGCAATGTAAAATCACTATACTGTGTCCACATCTGAGCACCACAATTTTAGAAGGATATTCACAAGCTGGAAATTCTGCAAGGCCAAGATCAGCAAACTTTTTCAGCAGGGGGCCTGTCCGCTGTCCCTCAGACCTTGTGGGGGGCCAGACTATATTTTGGAAAAAAATAATAATGAACGGATTCCTATGCCCCACAAATAAGCCAGAGTTGCATTTAAAATAAAAGGACACATTCTACTCATGTAAAAACATGCTAAGTCCTGGACTGTCCAGGGGCCGGATTGAGAAAGCGATTGGGCCGGATATGGCCCCTGGGCCTTAGGTTGCCTACCTGTTATGTACTGAGTTGAATAGGATCCAAAATGCAGTAGCGTGATTGGTCCTAGAACAATAGGATCCAAAATGCAGCAGTCTGATTGGTCCTAGAACCACAGGATCCAGAATGCAGCATTCTGATTGGTCCTAGAACAATAGGATCCAAAATGCAGCAGTCTGATTGGTCCTGGAACAATAGGATCCAGAATGCAGCAGTCTGATTGGTCCTAGAACAATAGGATCCAGAATGCAGCAGTCTGATTGGTCCTAGAACAATAGGGTCCAGAATGCAGCAGTCTGATTGGTCCGCGGGAGCCACCCAATCCAGCTCCAGGTGGAAGTGAATCCGCAACCTGATTGGCTGACAGGAGAATCCTGGAATTAGCCAATCACGTGGGGCCCATTGTGAAAATAATGTATATAAAGCAGACATTTTGGGGGAACTGGCATTCCTCACTACCATGAGCTGAATAAAGAGCATGAAATCCACACTCGACTCCGAGTATATTTCACTACCCCTGGCCAAGATGGTCAAGGATCTGGAAGCCGGGCCTGATGAGGAACGGTTGAAGGAGTAGGGGGTGTTTAGCCTGGAGAAGAAGAGACTGAGATGAGAAATGGGAGCCATCTTCCAATATCTTTCACGTGGAAAAAGCTTGTTTTCTCCTGCTCTGGAGGGTAGGACTCGAACCCATTACAGTATTATGATCCGTTTTGAAAGGCTAATCTGGTAAAGCAAAATGGGAGCAAAGGAAAGCAGGGTGTGGTTTTTGTAAACCGCTCTGAGGTCTTCTGATGACGCGGCGGCTTGTAAATCTGGTTCAATAACAACGATGAATTCATCCGAATCGATTTAACGACCTTTGATGACCTTTGTAGGTGTAACATGGAGAGAGGGAGAACTGCCTAGGCCACCTTGGGATTCTGGCAGGATAATAATAATAATAATAATAATAATAATAAATTTTTTATTTATACCCTGCCCTTCCAGGTTCAAAATCCGGGCTCAGGGCGCTAACAACACATCTAAAACACTTTAAAACACTTAATTATAAAAGCAGCATAAAATACAGTATAAAAACATGAATAACAATAAAATTCAAAAATCAATTAGATAATCCCCAGGGCTAGCTGGTGGGATTCAAATGCAATAAAAGCGATGGTGCTGCGGGCAGGCGCCTAAATGTAGCAAATGGGAAGACCTCTCATATTATTTTTTCCAAATCCCCCCCCCCAAAAAAATTTATAGCAAACATAAAAGAAAAACATTACTCTCTCTCTCTCAATATATATATATAAACAAACAAACAGACAAATATTTTTCCTAACTGTATTTCTTTTGGGGAGGAGGGGGAACAAAAAACCCCAAGCTTTAAAAAAGTTTTTGCTAAGGAATAGAGATGAACGGAGTAGGGTGCGCCATTTGAACCCAGGACCGAACAAAAGAGTTCCAGCCAGCCCTCCGCCTGCCCCATTTTACATACCACCAGCCCAAGGAGATGCTTGGGGGCTTCCTGCCCCACTGGGTGGTCCCTTCCCCTTGTGTGGAACTGAGCAGGGCCCCCCCAGTTCTTCCTGGCCCAATCCCCACATGCAGAAACCCCAACAAGGAAGAAATGGAGTCCCCGGAGGTCGGCGCCAAAATGGGCTCAGCCCAGCCTGACCCATGGGTTCTTATACCGAGCAGCCGGCCAATCAGGGACCCCCAAGAGCGGCCATGTCCTTCTGGCCGGCCAATGGGCCGCTAGCGTGCTGCTGGAGGGCGTGGCCTGCAGCAGTTTCTGGGAGAAGCTCTCATTTGAATGGCGTGGCTCCCTTTCCCCCAGCCAAACAACCGCAAAGAATCATGGGAACTGTAGTTGCGGACGCCCAACTCAGAACTACGTTTCACCGCACCCTAGAAACTAGGCTTCCCAGGATTCTTTGCTGGAGAAAATGCGCTTTTGGTGTGTGGCGTGTTTGGCGTGGGAAGATATTAATAGCAATAGTAATAATGATATATCATCATCATTATCATCATTATTATTATTATTATTATTATTTATACCCCGCCCATCTGGCTGAGTTTCCCAGCCACTCTGGGCAGCTCCCAATCAAGTGTTAAAAACAATGCAGCGTTAAATATTAAAAACTTCCCTAAACAGGGCTGCCTTCAGATGTCTTTTAAAGATAGGGTAGCTGCTTATTTCCTTCACATCTGATGGGAGGGCGTTCCACAGGGTGGGCGCCACTACCGAGAAGGCCCTCTGCCTGGTTCCCTGTAACCTCACTTCTCGCAGGGAGGGAACCGCCAGAAGGCCCTCGGCGCTGGACCTCAGTGTCTGGGCAGAAAGATGGGGGTGGAGATGCTCCTTCAGGTATATAGGACTGAGGCCGTTTAGGGCTTCAAAGGTCAGCACCAACACTTTGAATTGTGCTCAGAAATGTACTGGGAGCCAATGCAGATCTCTCAGGACTGGTGTTATGTGATCTCGGCAGCCACTCCCAGTCCCCAGTCTAGCTGCCGCATTCTGGATTAATTGCAGTTTCCGGGTCACCTTCAAAGGTAGCCCCACGTAGAGCGTATTGCAGTAGTCCAAGCAGGAGATAACCAGAGCGTGCACCACTATGGCGAGACAGCCTGCTGGCAGATGGAGCTGGGAGACAGCTGCTCTGGACACAGAATTGATCTGCACCTCCATGGACAGCTGTGAGTCCAAAATGACTCCCAGGCTGCGCACCTGGTCCCAGTGCCCATTTGCCATGTTCATTATGTTGCTTGCAACCAAATATTAAAAACACAATAAAACATCAAACATTAAAAAAATTCCCTAAACAGGGCCGCCTTCAGATGTCTTCTAAAAGTCCTATAATTGTTTTTCTCTTTGACATCTGGTGGGAGGGTGTTCCACAGGGTGGGCGCCACCACTGAGAAGGCCCTCTGCCTGGTTCCCTGTAACTTGGCTTCTCGTAGGGAGGGAACCACCAGAAGGCCCTCAGCGCTGGACCTCAGCATCCGGTCAGAACGATGGGGGTGGAGATGCTCCTTCAGGTCTACTGGGCCGAGGCCATTTAGGGCTTTCAAGGTCAGCACCAACACTTTGAATTGTGCTCTGTGCATCTCCGGCTGCTCACCTGAATTACACGGTGCAGCCATAAAACCACTAGCGCATTTGCAACGCTAAGCAGGGTCCGGTATGGTTTCAAATTGGATGGGGGACTGCGTGTCGAGATTCCTGCGTTGCAGGGCGTTGGTCTGGAAGACCCTCGGGGTCCCTTCTGACTCTACAATTCTATGATTCTATTTAGCAATTTATTACTGGCTTCCGAGGGGTTAGGCCAGCCGTCGTTCGTTTGCACCGTTGCAGAGTGTGTCAGCTGGGGTTGCTGGACCTCCAAGGTCGATTTGACATATCCAGGTTTTCCTTCCCCCCCCCCCAGGTGTATGGAGAACGCCTTGAAACTCCAGGTGTGCAAGAACACCTTTTCCACCCAGGTTTCATAAGCAGGTGAGACAGAATGGTCCCGTTTTTCGAAACTGCCCTCGGGCCATGAATCTCACCAGGGGACGCCAGGCCACAAATTTGCTCACATCAGCCTACCTCGCAGGGTTGTTCTGGGGATTAAATTGTGTTTTTTTAAAATGATATTTATTAAAGTTTCACATGAAAAGAATCACATTAATAAAAAAAGAATTTAAAAAGAAAAAGAAAAATACACAATACAGAATACAAAAAGAAAAAAGAAAAAACAGTTAAAAACAATTCCATCTTTTTATCACTACTTTTACATTTACTTGTTTCCCGGACCTCCTCATACCTCCCTCTTTTGTATTCCAATTCAATTTATTAGTCCAGCAATTCCTTTCCCTCCTTTTTAATCCCAATCCTTAATCTTAATATAATATAACATTAAGTTTTTACCTATTAAAAACCAATTTTCCATTCTTTTAACCTTTTTAATCCTAATCCTTAATCTTGATCTATTTATAACTTTAAAGCCTGTACAGCTAGAAGCCACTTAATTTCAATCCAACATCACTCTAACATTCATTAATTTTGCAATATTTCTGTAAGTAATCTTTAAATTTCTTCCAATCTTATTATGTTCTGGGGATTAAATTGATGCACACAGAGACCTATAAGCTCAGCTAACTAGCCAGGCTAGAGGCCTTGTGGCTACTGTTTCTTTGTAGTGCCTTATCTTGTGAAACCACATGCCAAAGGTGTCTGCATAAGAAAGGAACAGTCACCAATCAGAAGCTGCGCCTTGGTTTTTGAACATTCCTGAAGTCAAAGAGACTTCCAGAACGGATTAAGTTTGGCGCTTTTGTCTTTGTTATTTATTTTGCATTTTTGTTTTTGAGGCTTTTCCGGTTAATTTGTTTTTGTGACTGTGTAGAACCCCAGTTCAGCTACTGATAGATCGATTGTGTGACTGCGGAAATGGATAAAAGCCCCCCCATCCAAACAATGACTATCATCAGTGCAGGTAAGGGTTTATTTTATTTATTTATTTTATTTTATTTTATTTATACTTATTTATTTATATATTTATTTTATAGTACAGCACATTGATTATTGCTTTCATTTTATGGATCGATGATCTCGTTAGATAGTAAAAATCCATGTTAAATTGCTGTTTTAGGGATTGTTTTTAAAAGTGAAACGGATTAATCCGTTTTGCATTGCTTTCTATGGGAAAGCGCACCTTGGTTTTGGAACGCTTTGGTTTTGGAGCAGACTTCTGGAATGGATTAAGTTTGAGAACCAAGGTTCCAGTGTATCTGCAACGACATGAGCGCCAGGGACTCCTCCCTGACGAGCAGAGACATTTCACTGTGGTGGGCTGGCAGAAGAAGACCCCTGAAAAGAGTGCATCCTTCCCTAGCCCACGCTTGTGGCTTCCCACCTCTGGTGGAAGGCTACAAAAGGAAAGATCTTGAAGTGGAGCCACTATAATAAGAATTTTAAGGTCTTATATATATATAATACATGTTCATAAATGTACGAAGCAAACCACATGTCTGGAGCAGCACAGGAAGACAGTCCTGAAGCCATTTTGACTCCCAAGCTGACCAAATGTTTCTCGGCAAGGAGGGAGGCGTTGGGGAAAAAACCTTCCTCGTTACAGGAATTTAGTAGTCAGCATTTCAAAGGGTGACAGACTACAGTGGTACCTCTGGTTGCGAACAGGATCTGTACCGGAGGCCCGTTCGCAACCTGAAACGCCGTATCTGCACAGATGTGCGGTGCGATTTGGCGTTTCTGCGCATGCACGAGCAGCAAAACCGGAAGTAACCCTTTCCGGTACTTCCGGGTTGCCGCGAGACGCAACCTGAAAAGACGTAACCTGAAGTGTCCGTAACATGAGGTATGGCTGTACAAGGAAAGGCAATCAGATAAGGCATTATTAGATAACCTGCCAGACAGGAGATAAACAACGCACTCAGATTTCTGTTGTAGACCGCCTTTTCTGTGATGTAGGTATGATGTTTGTGGGGGGTGGTCTTGGGTTACACCCCTTCTGTGATATATGTATGATGTATGGAGGGGTGGTCTGGAGCTCCAGGGCAGGGAATTTAAATGTCTATATAAGGGCAGGCACACCTTGGTTCTGGGTCCTCTTCTGTCCTCCTGCATGTGAGGGGAGCACCCTGTTGCAACAGCTTTAATAAAGATCAGGCTTACTAGCTGCTTTGCTTCTCAATATTCTCTGGCTGGCCTCTGTTATTTTCTCCTGCCAATAGGGAACCAACATAAGGACTCTATACGGGCTCTTGGGTACCCCATAAGGGAAAAAGGGCACATTTTGTTTACAACACCACTGAGCATCAGTCCCAGGGCAACCTGAGAGAGATCAACGGCCGAGATCTGTGGAGGTAGTATAATACACATTTATTTTTAACATCTATTGACTTATTCTTCCAGATCACCCTCCCATCTGTCAGGATCACAGAGCGGTTTACCATAAGCACATGAGAACGGCAACGAAAACATCAACAAACCAATGGCCAAGCCGATGCACGGCTGGCCAAACAGTAAAAAGAACGGCTGCAACTGGATTTCAGCGGCAGACGGGGAGTTTGCATTTCGGCAGATCTCGCCCAGCACACCTCCAAAGGCCGAAGCGAAAAGAGAAGTTTTAAGGGGCAGAGGTAGAAGCTCACTAGCGGAGGCGGATAACTTCTCCGGCCGTTGCAGAGAGAGCAGCTTGTGGCCCTGGCAGAGACAGTGGCCGGAACACCAGGCCCACACCATGCGCCTTCGTAGGGTAAGATGCGCCCCTTTACGAGAGATGCCCGTGGATGCTGTTTTCGTGAGGGCCTCTAGAGAGGGGTGCCTGGACCCGGGATTGCTGCTTGCTTCATTCCACCGACTTCTTGCATAGACACTGGTGCTTGCTGCTGCATTCAAAGATGTACGAATCGCCATTTCTGAAGTTGACGCAGATGTCCACCATGGCGGAGACGTGCTGCCAGCCTCCAGACCTGTTAGGGATAAGGAAGCTTAGCCTATTTTATTTTTTAATGCAATTCCTGGGATCGGGGAAGCAGGCTGCCATAGCGAATGGGAAGAATCTGCTGCAAGCAGAGATTGTGGGAGATAACTGCAATTTGCACAGCAAGGCACTACTACTAAAGCATTTGCTAACAGCTACCTGCCTAGTAGGTCTAAAGCACGTCCAAGTGCAAGTAGATAAATAGGTACCGCTCCGGCGGGAAGGTAAATGGTGTTTCCGTGCGCTGCTCTGGTTCGCCAGAAGCGGCTTAGTCATGCTGGCCACAAGACCCGGAAGCTGTACGCCAGCTCCCTCGGCCAGTAAAGCGAGATGAGAGCCGCAACCCCAGAGTCAGCCACGACTGTACCTAATGGTCAGGGATCCCTTTACCTTTACCTGCCTAGTTGCGACTGAAGGCTGCATGGGGGCTTCTGCATCCGCTATTATGGGCTGGTTTTAAAAAGCTTTATTCATAACCAGAGAAATGGACCCACCAACTCTGGGTTCTCAGAGGGGAAGCGGAAATTTTGGGCTACGCAACTGTCTGGCGGGTCTTGTGTTTTTTATTAGCTTATTTAGGGACACAGCCTCACGGGTGGCAAATTCCACCCAGTTATGATTGTGCCTGTCACCGTTTTCCATTATATGAGTTTTTCATCCACTGTTTATGTCTTGGCTTGGAATACTGACGTATCGCCTCTTTTGAACGAGTTTCTTCTAAATATGTAGTGCGTACAGTCAAACCTCGGTTGTCGAGCGTAATCCATTCTGGAAGACCGTTCGACTTCCGAAACGTTTGACAACCGAGGCGTGGTTTCCGATTGTTTGCAAGAGCTTCCTGCACTCAAGCGGAAGCTGTGTCGGATGTTCGGGTTTCGAAAAAGGTTCGGAAACCGGAGCATTTACTTCCGGCGTTCGGGAACCGAAACATTCGAAAATGGAGCCGTTCGAGAACTGAGGTTTGACTGTACTGCTGTAAGAAATTACCAGAGAGACCCTTGGCCAATGCAGCTACTCCCCGCGCTCAAAGGACTTGCGTAGATCTCCGAGAGCCCTCACAACAGGACAGTCTTTTTATCATTATTATTAAATCAATATTATATGTAGGCAAAACCATTATACATCAAACACCCTTGCTTCTCGTGCAGAAAAAGGAGGAGACTCACATCCTGATGTGCAGATTTGCCCCGTCGGCCCACTTCCAGATTCTGTCGGACGTGTTGTACATCAGGCCGATCCAGTAGCTTCCACCTCGGAGCCGGTTGTTGTGCATCATGAACCAGTCCACCGTCTGCGACAGCAGGAATTCCTGTGGGAGAAGGAACCCCCCAAGGCCCATCATGCGGGGCGCATCATGCAGGGCTGCCAGAATTTTGCAGGGAGCATGCAGGGGCGTCTTACCCATAGAGGCTAGTGGAGCAGGGCGCCAAGTTCTGGAGGGCACCAGGGAAGAGGCTGGATGCGGCGCCTCCTGGCATCAGCTTGCCGCCCTTACCCGCCTCCGCCATGCCACGCCGAAGCAGCGCCGCGTTCGGAGTCTCCGCCTGCCATGGCCACCACGGCACAAAGTGGCCAGCTGAGCCAGGAGCTGTCACTTCCAGCCTCCGCCTCTTCCCCGCCAGAGGAGCTGCCCTCCAGCCACTGCCCGCCTCCTCCTTAGCCCCGCAAACTTGGGCACGTCGCCGGCAGCGCTGTCCTCCCTAAAAAAGGTCAGCAGCTCTGGGAAATATCCCCAGAGGGATATTTGCACCACAGCGCTGGATATGCTTAAGGCGGCCCTAGGAGCATGCAAGTGCACACCAGGAAGCTCAGGTTTGCACAAGCAAAGCGTTCTGCCATTCTAGCATAACACTTACAAAAACCCAGACTTCTTGCAGTTAGGAAAGTGATGGGGAAAGGCACTGAAAAGCCTGGCTGAACAACTGATTAACAGAAAGATGGATGTACAAATCCCTGCCTATCGATATCAGGCAGGAGGCTTAACTGTTTTCTCTTTTCACAGCTTTTTCTGCTGTGGCCCTGACTTGGTGGAATGCTCTGTCCCAAGAGACTAGGGCAAGGCACAGTCTGACCCCCTCTCCTTCTGTAATCCTCATAGCACTCTAGCCCAATGGTTGCCATTGATTTGATTTTGATTTTAGAATGAATTGGTTTTAGAATGCATTTCAGTTGATTGATTGTTATGTGAACTGTGTTGCTTTTATTGTTGTTGGCCGCTCTGAGCCCGGCTTCAGCCGGGGAGGGTGGGATATAAATAAAATTTTATTTATTTTATTTATATTATTTTTATTGTTATTATTCTTATTCTTATTTTTATTCTTATTCTTATTCTTATTATTTTGAGCGCCAAAGAAGGAATAGTTGAGGGAGCTGGGGATGTTTAGCCTGGAGAAGAGGAGACTTAAAGGTGACAGGATAAATATCTGGAGGGCTGCCAGACGGAAAATGGAGCAAGCTTGCTTTTCTGCTTCTCCGGAGGGTAAGACCCGAACCAATGGATTCCAATTACTGGAATCAAGATTCCAACAACATCAAGAACTTCCTGGTAGTAAGGAGCGTTTGACGGTGGAGTGGACTCCCTCTGGAAGTTGTGGACTCTCCTTCTTTGGAGGTTTTTATGCAGAGGTTGGACAGCCGTCTGTCAGGGATTGCAGGAGTTTGGACTTCCATGTTTTTAAGAAATTTCAAGCACAATATATGAGGTCCCAACATGCAACGAGCCCAAAAGGCGTGTCAGGGTTGCGTGTGAGAACTGCACACCTATCGGCGAGGTTTATGCAATTTCTGCCCTAGACACATGCCCCTACCCCTACCCCGTGCCAGAGCAGGAACCCCGCACCCACAACTCCAAACAGCTTTCACCATTTCTCCTTCGGTGCTCCCGATCAAGAGGCCGCTTTTGAGTGACTTGCAGTGGCTCAAGCAGTCTCTCCAGGACATGGGTTCGGTGGTGTGCAGGTAGCAGCTGCCTCCCCATTGCATCCAGTGCCTTTTGCAGGATCTGCATGTCAGGGCTGTGGAGATAAAGCACAAGGGTTGGCGGGAGAGAGATATTTCAGAGGATTTCCGGAGGTTGAGCAGAGATGGAGAAGGTACAAAGAGGTTGCTGGGTTAGGTCCAAGGGCCCATCTGTTCTCTAAGCGGCCAACTAGTGTAGTGATCAGCTGGGATTGCTATGAGGAAATATAGAGTAAGCCATCTGTGTCAGCAGTGAAAGCATTGCGTTGACTGGGTTTAAACTATTTTGATATGATTCTTGATCAATCCACACCTCTGCATCCCTGCTCCATTTTTCTTTCTTCACAAGTCATGTACACACTTAGACAGGCAGGCTCCTGGGTCATCAAAGACAGTGGGCAGTTTCTTTGATGTAGCTTTTCTGATATGTTAATCTTAGGATGTTAATCTTAGGGCCAGGAAACAGGTCTCACATAAAGGTGATAATGATCACTGTCCTCCTGGCCTTCCTTCTTATCATGTGTATTGATTGTTTATGACCTCCGGGGTTGCTGAATGCACTCCTTTGTAGTTTTCATTTATTTACCCCAAAAGTATGCATGCCTAACTAGTGTTTGTAGTTTAACTTTGTCCCCATATGGGTTTGTTGAAATGCTCAGAAGAAATCTGATTGGTTCTTACGAACGCTCTGTAAAAAGTTCTTTTGTGAATAAAACGACCTGGGCTGGAGACAGGTTATTATACGCACCCTTCCCAGAGTCTTGCTGGTTCAAGCCTCTGTATGTATTCTAATTAATCAGAGTTCAATCCTTCCTTTACTTTGAGAACGCCTCAAACTAGGTGCCCATTACTGGACATCCGCGAGCAGGATCCGAGCACGAGAGCAACACTCTCCAATCCTGCGGTTTCCAGAAACTGGCAGCATCCAGCCTCTGATCAGCTGCGTTTATTTTTCGAAACACACACACAAAAAACCTGTGTTATATATTTTCACTGCACTGATTTCCACATTCATTTTGCAGAAGAGCCGGATATGTGATGCTGGAAGGACGGGCAAGAGAGCCTGGATAGCTCAGTTGGTTAGACCATGGTGCTGATAACACCAAGGTTGCAGGTTCGATCCCTGTATGGGCCAGCTGCATATTCCTGCATTGCAGGGGGTTGGACTAGATGATCCTCAGGGTCCCTTCCAACTCTACAGTTCTATGATTCTATGATTCTATAAGAAATCCCCTTTTACACCCCGTAATTGCAGCAGTGAAATTTTTCATAGGGGAACGCTTAGGCCAGAGGCACCAGCCTTCGAGGGCAATTGGTGGTGACGTGAGCAGGGGCAGATTTTGGTTTGATGAGGCCCTAAGCTACTGAATGTAATGGTGCCCTTGATATGTCCAGCTGTCCTTTGTCAACAACAAATTGTCACTGGTTTTTTGTGTTGAATATATGCTATTTTGTCATTGATGGACCTCATAGGTATCTCAAGCCATTTACCCATGTGGCCATGCAACCAGTCCATGCCGAATGGAGGCACCCTATATACAGAAAGGAGCAAACCAGTGATATTGTAGGGAGCAGGTTAGCAGGTGGGGCCCATGACTTACATCATAGGAGCCTAGACAACACAAAGCACTGTTGCTGTAGGTAGGTTTTATTGTATTTGTTTTTTATCTTATATTTTGGAAATGAACACCCAGTTGTTTTTTTCCTTTAAATTTTTTGGGGGCCCCCAAGAGAATGGAGGCCTAAACTATAGCTTGCTTAGCTTATACGCAAATCCACCATTTAAGCTATACCGTGCAGTAGTCAGCAAACTTTTTCAGCAGGTGGCCGGTCCACCGTCCCTCAGACCTTGTGGGGGGCCAGACTATATTTTGAAAATAAAAGTGAACAAATTCCTATGCCCCACAAATAATCCAGAGATGCATTTTTAATAAAAGCACACCTTCTACTCATGTACAAACACGCTGATTCATGGACCGTCTGTGGGCCAGATTGAGAAGGTGATTGGGCCGGATCCGGCCCCCGGGCCTTAGTTTGCCTACCCATGAGCTATAGCGTATAAGCTAAACTGGGCATGAGCATCGTGCCTCCCCACTTAAGCTGGACAGAAATCTTCTCGGGCCTTGGGAAAGAGGTGCCAGGCTTTAATACTTCAGTGCTCTAATTTACCGGGAACATTTAGGGAACTAGCCTCGTACCCGTAGTCCCCTGACTGTACGCCACTGCATTATTGTCAAATTATTTTTCCCCTTTGCAGAGCACAAGTGATGTGGCATTCTAGCGACATCAATTCTCCCTGGAGCGAGCTGGACTGGGCTGGGCCTCGGATATCCCCAGAGGAGTCAGGAAAACCAGCGCCAGGAGGGTCGGCAAACCCTGGCTCCTCCATAGCCTGGCTGGGGAATTCAGAGGCTGGTGTCGCAGATCCAGACCCAGGGACTCCTCATAAGCGCAACTATTATGTACTGAGTTGAATAGGATCCAAAATGCAGCAATCTGATTGGTTCTAAAACAATAGGAATCAGAATGCAGCAGTCTGATTGGTCCTAGAACAATAGGATTCAGAATGCAGCAGTTCTGATTGGTCCTAGAACAATAGGATCCAGAATGCAGCAGTCTGATTGGTCCACAGGAGCCACCCAATCCAGCTCCAGGTGGAAGTGAATCCGCAACCTGATTGGCCTACAGGAGAATCCCGGAATTAGCCAATCACATGGGGCCCATTGTGTAAATAATGTCTATAAAGCAGATATGAGCAGTTCCTCCTCAACACTATGAGCTGAATAAAGAGCATGAAATCCACTCTCGACTCCGAGCATATTTCAGCACCAGAGCTTCATTGATGAGAAGCAAAGGCTGCTTATTTGCCAGAGACTAATTGGTTTCGCCATTTTACCAATTCCCACTGGTTTCCCTGTTGCATCTCTCCTGCAATAACGATTGCCGCTATTGCTTTAATAAACAGGGGAAGAAAATATTGAGAGCTCTTCTCACTTCTGCCTTCTGCTTGCTGCTGAACGGCCATCTTCAGCCTCTTCTCTGAACGCTGCAGCAGTTGAGATTCAGCAGTGATTTCTGTCGCCACGTGGGTGTCTGAAATGAAAACGTATTTCTCTCTGTGTGTGTTTTTTTAAAATAATAATAATAATAATGTTAACGGAGAAATCTGAGGGCTCCCTTGGACAAAAAACAAGGACACCAGCCAGGAATACCAGAGCAAAACAGCAGCCAGTAGGCTTGGTCTTTATTGAAGACTGTCGCGACAGGACTCCCACCTGCCACCAGGTGGAACAAGATGGAAGCCCCTAACAAAAGAGAACCCAAACTTTTATTAGCTGCTAATCCCCATGTTACACCCCCCCAAAAAAAATACATCACTAATACATCATGGTTACATCATGAAAGGGGAGGTCTGGTGGCAGTAATCTGAGCATCCTGGACTCTGCCCCATGGTTCCCCTTGCCCTCCACCAAACACCCATTAAGTGTAACAAAAGAGATATTTACATTTCCCTGTTTCCCAGCCAAGTTAATCACACCCTTTTGTCTTCATCTGGGTTTGTTATTTCTGGCATGGCTACCTGTCTGGCACTCAGGTATCAGGATGCCAGGGATTATCACTCAGGCAGAGGGGCTGCTGAGTAGCTGAGCTCACATGTCTAGATGAATTTCTGAAGTTTTCCCAGTGATCCACTACATAGAGACATTTATCAGTGAATTCTTACATTTGGTATCGTGCAGCAGAGGCCCTTTGAATAGATAGGAAGAAACTGTGATGAAGTGTTTTGTGGGGACAACTCACAAAAGCGATGGTGCTGATTTTGGTAGTGGGCTGCATGTGCATGATATCTGCTGCCCCAACCTATACATAAATTCCTGCAACAATAATAATAAATTTATTGCACTGGGGCAACAGAGCACATTCCTTCTGCAGATGTAAAGGTATGTTCTTGAAACTCTCCTGGCTGCCAGTCTTGTTAACTTGCCCTGGGACCGCAGAATAATAATAATAATAATAATAATAATAATAATAATAATAGTTATGTACTGATGTTCTCACCCTGGGCCAGCAGGGGGATACTGTAGATAGTTATGCAAATGAAGGATCGAAAGTGACGTTCAGTGATTGGATAGTTTTAGAAAGTTGCTACAGTAACGTTGTACTGGAGCTCTATATAAGCAGGCTGACTGAGCTCTTCAGTTCAGTTCTGTTCTGGCCTCTGAACAAGAGCTGTTTTGAAGAATCACTGTGTCGTCTGATATGTTCACCCACAACTTAACAATAATAATAATAATAAAGCCCTTGAGTTCTGCAGTCCCAGAGCCAGTTAACAATAGAGAACGACGCACTGCATCATGGATCATGAAGCCCAGCCCCTTTATGATTATTTCCACCCCAAACAGGGCAGCGGGTGCCCACTCTAGGGCAGCGTGCAGGCCCCAGAGGAAGGGAGACCCGGGTTGGGGGTGTCGGAAGCCTCTTTCGAAGCCCCACCCCACCCCGGTACTCACAATTGTAAATCAAAATGAGCAGAGTGCAGAACAAGGCCAAAGAAACAGCCACCAAGAGCAGCGCCCAGATTTGCCACCAGGTGGAGATGCCCAAAACATCTGCGGAGGGAAAAGGAGAAGCGTTAGAAGCACGCCCGTTCTGCTTTCCTGCCTGGCACGCCGAGGCCTCTGAAGAATTGCAGCGTGTGAAGGGGACCCTCAGAGGCCATCTAGTCCAACCCCTTGCAGTACAGGAACAAATACAGAAATGCAATAGTGTCATACCTCGGGTTGCAGACGCTTCGGGTTGCACGATCTCGGGTTGCGCACTGTGATAGGAATTTTGAGGTCTTGGATATATGTTAAATGTTCATAAGTGTACCAACCAAGCACATACATAGATCAGCACAGGAAGACCGACCTGGAACCATTTTGACTCCTAAACTGAGCAAATGTTTTCTCTGCAAGGTCAAAGTGGGAAACCTCCCATTGTCTCTTTCCTCAGAAATCCTGTCTTAAGGGCACATTTAAGATATGAATAGGGTGTGAGCCTGTGACTTGGCCCAGGAACGAAGTATTTATCATTACAAAAGACTAGCCAGGCTCCCCAGGCAATCCAATCAAGTAACCTGCCAGACAGGAGATAAACAACGACAGGAGAAAAACAACATTCAAATTTCTGTTTTAGACCCGCCTTTTCTGTGACGTATGTATGATGTTTCTGGGGGTGGTCTTGGACTGCAGGGTGGCAATTTCAAAAATCTTTATAAGGCCTTGCACACCATTTTTCTGGGTTCCTCCTCTCTCCTGTGGGTGAGGGGAGCACCCTGTTGCAACAGATCGATAAAGATCAGGCTTATTAGCTGCTTTCCTTCTCAGTATTCTCTGGTTGGCCTCTGTTATCTTCTCCTACCAATAGGGGCCAATAGGGAATATAAGGACTCTATATGGGCTAGTGGATACCCCATAAGGGAAAAGGGCAATTTTTGTTTACAACAGCACCGCGCTGAACCCAAAAGTATTGAAACGGGCTACTTCCAGGTTTCAGCACGTGCGCATGCGCAGAAGCGCTAAATTGCACTTTGTGCATGCGCTAACAGCCGAATCGCACAGGCACCTGCGTAATTCGCGATGTTGCGGATTGTGGACGCTGCGGGTTGCAAACCTGCTTCCCGCACGGATCACGTTCTCAACCCGAGCGTCCACTGTATAGTTGTTTTTTTTAAAGGTGGGGGCATACCCTTCAACATTTCTCCGATGGAAACAGAGACGTCCTATTCAATAATAATAATAATAATAATAATAATAATAATAATAATAATAGTTTTACTATTTATACCCCACCCATCTGACTGGGTCGCTCCAACTTTTACTGGGAGGCTCCCAACATAGACGAAAACACAATAAACATCTAAAACCTTCCCTATATGTATGGGGGTGCCTTCAGACGGCTTGGGGGTCACAAATCTTCATACCCTCCAGTATTTCTCTGATGAAAAATAGAAACGTCCTAAGGGAAAGGGGGATAAAATCAGAAACAGGGAACAGTTTTTGAAATATGGGACTGTCCCTGGAAAACAGGGTCTGGAATCTCAGAATGGCAGAATAGGAAGGGGACCCCACGAGTCATCTAGTCTAGCCCTCTGCAGTACGTAAACAAAGACATAAATATAATGTTGTTGGTTTTTATATATATAAAAGGCAGTGGGCGAATTAAGCCAGTATGGGGTGCGGGGAACAGCATCCTAAAATCCCACTGGGACGCTGTTATTGTTACTTTCTGTTTTTGCAGAGTTACCGTATTTTTCTGTGTATAAGACTAGGTTTTCTTCCTCTAAAAAATATTGTCCAGAATTTGGGGGCATCTTATACACGGCGGCCATCTCCCCCCCCATTTTCTTAAACCAGAGTCCCCCAAAATAGGGGTCGTCTTATACATGGGGGCGTCCTATAGACGGAAAAATACGGTAACTGTATAATCCAGTATTTTAACAGGGGGAATTCTGCCTTCGGAGGGAGCTGTGTGAGGACCTGCAAAACTCAACCAAAATAAATAAAATTAAAAAAGAAACGACGTACAGGGTAGGAGCTGTAGACGAAAAACGGCAGCCGGTTCCAGACCTTAAATCGACCTTCCTCAACCAGGCTCCAAAGAGCCAGGGAGGTAAAGCAGATAATGATAATGTGGATGTCTAATAATAATAATAATAATAATAATAATTTTTATTTCTACCCCGCCCTCCCCAGCCAAGGCCGGGCTCAGGGTGGCTAACAAGCAATAATGAAAACAAGTTGAATGAATACAACTTAAAAACAAGATTAAAATACAGGAGGAGAAAGGAAAAAGAAAAAAGAAATGGAAAATAAACAAAAATTTATACCGCGGTACCTTGGTTTGCATACGTCTTGGTTTGCACACATTTTGAATTACAAACATATCAAACCCAGAAGTGCATGTCCCGGTTTCTGACCTTTTAAAAATTATTATTACAGCCCATTTTTGGGGCAGGATTATCAACAAATTTATTTGGGGAGGCCCCACTGGCGAAAGCGTGCCTTGGGTTACAACCTGTTTCGGTTTACGAACGGACCTGCGGAACGGATTATGGTTGTGAACCAAAGTACCACTGTATATATCAATCAATCAATCAATCAATCAATGCATGCTCCCCAGAGATCTCGGAGGGCGGTAAATGAAATAAAAATCCCAAACCCAAAATAAAAAACGGGGAATCTCAAGGGAGCAGGAACCTCTGGAATGGAATATGGTTGTAAACCAAAGTACCGCTGTATATATCAATCAATCAATCAATCAATCAACCAGTCACTCAACCAATCAACCAATTAATCAATCAGTCAATCTGCATGCTCCCCAGAGATCTCGGGGGGTGGTAAATGAAATAAAAACCCCAAACCCAAAATAAAAAGCGAGGAATCTCAAGGGCCTTGGGGATGCGTGGCTGATCCTTGTCGCCAGGGTTGCCCGCTGCCACACTGAGGTGCGTGCCCCACCTGCCCCTCACCTGGGGGGCCGGGGATCCTGTCCTGCAGGGCCCAGGATACCCAGGAGGGCCGGCTGGGGGGCTTGGGCAGCTCCCGGCGCAGCTGGGGCGAAGACTTGCTCCAGAAGGCCGGTCCTTTTGGGGGGGCCCTCACCTCCGCCGAGCGGGACTTGGCGCTCAAGACCTGGGACTTGGCCTGGAGGCTGGAGGCCGGGACCACCTTGGCCCCCGGGGGCCTGGGCTCCAGGGGCATCTTGGGGCCTCCGTGGGGCAAGGGCTTGGGGGTCCGGGCGGAGGACCCCTTTGCAAGGGGTGGGTGGGGGTCAGGAGATGGGGGCTCTTGCTGGGTGGCAGAGGGCGCCCCCTAAAAGCAGGGTGCCTGGGTGGGGTCGACCGGGGTCAGGCCTGGCTGGGGGTGGGTGGGGGGCACAGCCTGGCAGCGGGGGCGGGGGGCGGGATTCAGACCCCGATTCCATTGATTCTTCCAGGTCTCAGATATCTATGGTTCCGGTTTTTAATGTCTTGATGCTTTAATGTAGTCTTTAATGTAAGCCGGTCAGATGGGTGGGGTATAAATAAATAAGTTGTTGTTGTTGTTGGGTATAAATAAACAAACAAACAAACTGTTCTTGTTGGGTATAAATAAATAAATAAGTTGTTGCTGTTGGGTATAAATAAATAAATAAGTTGTTGCTGTTGTTGGTATAAATAAATAAGTTGTTGTTGTTGTTGTTATATTTATTACTCTGCTTTTTCGTTTTTTTATATATATATAATTTTTATTGATTTTAACATCTTTGGGGTGGGTTGAAAACATTGTCACACCCTATATATCTATCCCCTGTTAAATCAGCAAAAATGTACAAAGCTAAGGAAAGCAAGTGTTGGAAATGTAAAATAACAGATTTATTTTTCATATGTTCTGTGATTGTAAAATCATAAAGTAGTATTGGGAAATGACCTATAATGAAATGAAGAAGATTTGTTTAAAAAATCCAGCAGCTTTACTACTAGGCATTATAGGCGTGGATGCACCAGGATTATAAAAGGACTTATTTATGTCTGCAACTATGGCCGCAAGAATATTGCTAGCACAATACTGGAAAGAAGAAGGTGTGCCAGCTAAAGAAGATTAATGGAGTCAAATTAATGGAATATGCCGAAATGGAAAAAATGACAATGAAATTGAGAGGAAGAGACAGCAACGCATTGAAGGAAGAATAGAATATTGCATATATACAGAAGCAATGTACACAGGTTAATGCATTAGCAGGGTTTTAGGATTACGTGCAATTTTGTTATGAAATAATAATATAATGAGTCTAAATGGAAGCTTCCAAAACTTCTTTTTCCTTTTTTTTTTTGGTGTCTCCTTTCTTGGTCTTTCTCTTTTTGATATGTTAAGAAAGAGATAAAGAGCTAAAAGTGTAATATGAAAACTTCAGGAAGTCAAAAGTGATGTGCAATTTTCTATTACTATTTGTATATTGTTAAACTGGGTTGATTGTAATGAATCGATGTAGGAACTGAAAAAATAAAATAAATAAAGCCGGGGAGGCCAAGGTTTCGGGATGTCCCAGAGAGCCATGTTGCCAAGGTTTCTGCCTGGCCCGGGGTTAGGATGGATGACCCTTAGGGGTCCCACTTCCAAAAATCTTTTAGGATCCTTTAGATAAGTTTTTCCCCTCTCTCAGGGACAAACCCCACAATAAGAGGAGAAAGTCCCTTTGGCGGGAAAGCGGGGACATTTTTAAATTTGAGAATTTGATGCAAGCGCCAGTCGAAACATGGCTGACGTGGCCTCACAAAATGGCTGCCGGGAGGCCATGGAGGGGCACAAAATGGCTGCCGTTTCTGGAAGGCGCCAAATGGCGTTTTGTGGCATTAAATGGAGTTTTTCCTCACGTTGCCCTTTTCTTCTCTCCACCCCCCACCCTTTCTTTTGGCATGGACATAAATAAAATAAAATAAAATAACCCAGAAAAACTCTCTCCTGCAACCCGGCCTTTGGCCTTTCACTATTGTCTCTGGCCTTTTAAAAGCTGGACGGGAAGTTTGAAATAAATGCATTTCTTCCACTTTAAATTCATTCATTTGATGCATATTTTTAAAGGACTTTTCCTTCTTTGCTTTTGTGGGTTTTGCAAGCCTGTTTTTGCGTCGCCAGATAAGAGCAAGCGGCAAACCCCATGAACGAAACCACCAATTATGTCTATTCATTCTTCCTTTTATTGCTCAATCGGTCGTTATGCATTTATTCACTCATTATTACTTGTGGTTTATCTGTTTGCAATCGTCATTTATTTATTTATTGATCGCCGTTTTTATTTAACTCTTTATCATCTGTTTGTTTAGTCACCATTCCTCACTTATTTATTCATTTATTTTATTGAATCTATTTCAGCGCTCTCCCGCATTTAGGGAAGTTTTTAGTGTTTGATGTATCTATCATGTTTTTAATATTCAGTTGGAAGCCGCCCAGAGTGGCTGGGGAAGCCCAGCCAGATGGACGGGGTATAAATAAATTATTATTATTATTATTATTATTATTATTATTATTACTTTCGTTTTAAACTTTAACACAGTGTTGCTGAGGTTTATTTGGGGTTTTTTTGGGGGGGGTGTTTGTTTTTTCGCCTTCTGTGGGGCCGCAGAGGTGCATTGTGGGAAATGTAGTCTCTCATCTGTCTCCCCACCACCAGATTTGAGGCCCTGAGGAGACACCTGTGAATTTATTTATTTCTGCCTTCTGTGGGGCTGCAGGGGTGCATTGTGGGAAATGGAGTCCGCCACCCCACCAGATTCAATGCCCTGAAGGATTCGCCGGTGCCTGGGAACTACAACTCCCATCCTGCCTCCCTTTCCCCATTCTGAGGCTGCCCCCCCTTGTGGCTGTGCCCTGAAGCCCCCCAGGAAGAGGAGCCCCTCTTTCCAAGCAGATCTTCCTGGGGAGCGGCAACCTGCTCCCTTTCCCCGGTGCCGAGTGCGAAAGGCGGGCGCCTTTAGGCCGCGGTTCAGCCTCGCAGGGTGCCTGAACCCTTTTGGGGGGGGGCACGTGGGCCAAAAAAGACCCTCCTTGTACTTCGGGAGGTTTTCGGGGGGTTTTTTTTGGCAGGTGCGGTCGCCGGAAGGCGCTCCCCGGAAAACCCATGCTCAACGTCGCCCGCTCGGCGCGCTCTTTCCGCTCTAACACTCCCGACAGGTCGCGGGTCACCATCGCCAGCAGGAAACGCCTGGAGGATGAAGAGGGTGAGGAGGAAGGCGGCCGAGCCTGTTGTAAACAAAAATTGCCCTTTTCCCCTTATGGGGTATCCAAGAGCCCATATAGAGTCCTTTTGTGGGTTCTCTATCAGTAGGAGAAAATAACAGAGGCCAACCAGAGAATATTGAGAAGCAAAGCAGCTTGTAAGCCTGATCTGTTGCAACAGGGTCCTCACTCACCACACGCAGGAGAGAGGAGGAACCCAGAACAAAAGTATGTCTGCCCTTATATAGACATTTTAAATTCCCTCCCTGGAGTCCAAGACCACCCCCAGATACATCATACCTACATTACAGAAAAGGTGGTCTACAGCAGAAATCTGAGTGCGTTGTTTATCTCGTCTGACAGGTTACCTGTTTAATGGTCACTTGATTGGATTTCCTGGGGAGCCTGGCTAGTCTTTTGTAGTGATAAATACCATATTTTTCGCTCTATAAGACGCACCAGACCATAAGACGCACCTAGTTTTTGGAAGAGGAAAACAAGAAAAAACATATTCTGAATCTCAGAAGCCAGAACAGCATGAGGGATCGCTGCGCAGCGAAAGCAGCAATCCCTCTCGCTGTTCTGGCTTCTGGGATAGCTGCGCAGCCTGCATTCGCTCCATAAGACGCACACACATTTCCCCTTACTTTTTAGGAGGGAAAAAGTGAGTCTTATAGAGCAAAAAATACGGCACATAGTTCCTGAGCCAGGTCACAGGCTCGCCCTATTCATACACAGACATACCCTTAAGACAGGATTTGTGAATGAAATGACAGTGGGGAGGCTTTTCCACTTTGACCTTGCAGAGAAAACATTTGCTCAGTTTAGGAATCAAAATGGCTTCAGGTCGGTCTTCCTGTGCTGATCTATGTACATGCGGTTATGAACATTACCATATATTTAAGACCTCAGGAAGGAAGGAGCACGCATGGCTTTAGAAGACGGCCGTGCGCATGAAGATGATGGGTTTTTCGGAGCTAGCCGACCTGGCCAGGAGAGTCCGTGATCAGAAGGAGGAGGATTACCAGGAAGAAGACTATTTTAGTTAAATATGTTAAGTTCAACTAATTGGAAAAGCTTGCAAAGAACAGATAGGCTTAGGATTTAAATGCGTAATGTGATGAATTAATATGTTTCATGCTGAATTGGAAAGAAAGAAAGATGTTAAGTGATTAAGTTAATGTTATAAGAAGACTGGTTTTGGAAAACCATTAAAATGATATACACCGAAATTCAACCCCATGCTCTTTCTTTTCAAATTTTTTAAAATTTATTTTCCAGATTTAACACAACACAAAATAACAAACATATAAAAAGAAAAACAAACATACATTCACAGCTTCTTACAGTTAAAACTCAAAATTGCATTCCATTATTGGGTGACTTCCTCAAATCCTTCCTAACCGATTTTCATTGAATCTCATTTTAGCAGTTTTCCAATATCCACTTTCTAATAAAATTAACTTGTTCAAATGACTAACTTCCTTTCTTTTTGTAATATTCTCAATCCATCATTTTATACAACTGAACATAATTTAATCTTAAACCAAATTTAGTGCTTGCAAGTATTTCCACTTATGTTATATTATTACGTTTTACTAAATATTCCTTAAATTTCTTCCATTCTTCTTGATGTTCCTCCTCTTTCTGATCGCGGATTCTTCCAGTCAGGTCAGCCAGCTCCAAAAAGTCCAACATCTTCATCTGCCAGTCTCCCACTGTTGGTATTTCCTGTGATTTCCAATTTTGGGCAAGTAAAATTCTTGCTGCAGTTGTGGCATACAAAAACAATTGAACATCTTTTTAAGGCAATCTCCCCATGCTCTTATGGCGCAGAGCTCTCCGTCCTGGCGGAAAAGGCCGCCCTGTGGCTAATCTTCCGCCATGCAGGCTGATAGATGAGCTTAATTTTTGGGCACCTTGGCAAGAAATTCCGACATTTGGAAAGGGTGCATACCTTTGCCACGTTTCTCCGGCGAAAACGGGGGTGCCCTGTTCCGCGCCAGGAAGCTTCTCCCGCATTTATAATAATAATAATAATTTATTATTTATACCCCGCCCATCAGCCACTCTGGGCTGCTCCCTATCAAGTGTTTAAAACAGTACAGCGTTAAATATTAAAAACTTCCCTGAACAGGGCTGCCTTCAGATGTCTTTTAAAGATAGGAAAGCTGCTTATTTCCTTCACATCTGAAGGGAGGGTGTTCCACAGGGCGGGTGCCACCACCGAGAAGGCCCTCTGCCTGGTTCCCTGTAGCTTTGCTTCTTGCAGTGAGGGAACAGCCGGAAGGCCCTCGGAGCTGGACCTCAGTGTCCGGGCAGAATGATGGAAGTGGAGACGCTCCTTCAGATATACTGGACCGAGGCCGTTTAGGGCTTTAAAGGTCAGCCCCAACACTTTGAATGGTGCTCGGAAACGTACTGGGAGCCAATGTAGGTCTTTCAAGACCGGTGTTATATGGTCTCGGCGGCCGCTCCCAGTCACCATTCTAGCTGCCGCATTCTGGATTAATTGCAGTTTCCAGGTCACCTTCAAAGGTAGCCCCACGTAGAGTGCATTGCGGTAGTCCAAGCGGGAGATAACTAGAGCATGCACCACTCTGGCGAGACAATCCGCGGGCAGAGAGGGTCTCATCCTGCGTACCATATGGAGCTGGTAGACAGCTGCCCTGGACACAGAATTGACCTGTGCCTCCATGGACAGCTGTGAGTCCAGAATGACTCCCAGGCTGCGCACCTGGTCCTTCAGGGGCACAGTTACCCCATTCAGGACCAGGGAGTCCTCCACACCAGCCCGCCTCCTGTCCCCCAAGAACAGTACTTCTGTCTTGTCAGGATTCAACCTCAATCTGTTAGCCGCCATCCATTCTCCAACCATTTGATCTCGGCGCACATGCAGACGTCGTAGGCGCATTGACGCCGGCCGCCTTGAGCCAGTTGCAACCTCTCCGCCTCGCCTCCCTCTCTGGGTTGTTGCAAAGGAGGCGAATGGGCGAGGGAAGGGATCGTGTGCAACGCCTTCTGCGGATAAATGGAATGAAATAAAATTTTAGCTGTGATGTGTCAGGGAAAAAGGCAGAAAATAATAATAATAATATTAATAATAATAATAGAAACTGTGAGAATGATCAGGAGAGAGTAAATCCTCAAAGGGAGTAGAACTCAGGTCAGAGTAAAAATCCTTAGGATTTCATTTTTTTCCTTTTATTTTATTAACATATAAAACACATACATATACATTTACACAATACACGTACACAACACACTACCTAACTTTCATAACATAAAACATACCTACATTACTCTATATAATACCTACCTATATCAATATACCTACTCCATATGGACACCCACCACGTGACTTGACTTCCAGCCGTTCTTGTTACGCTACTTTATTTTTCCAACTAGATTAAACGCATTTCATTATTTCTTTAACCTCTTCTTGTATCTTAACTTTACTCTCCTTTCACTCTAATCATTTTCTGGATTCACTCAGTATCTGTCAGAAATTCTACTTTTCCCACATAAATGTCGATGTACTCCTTAAAGATAGCCCACTCCTTATTCACCTTTTGTACCCATTATCTCCTCTTATCCTCCCTGTTAGTTCGGCAATATGGAAGGATTCCATCATTTTAGATAACCAGTCTGTTTTAGTTTGGATGCTGTTGCTTTTCCAAATTTTGGCAATCAATAACCTTGCCGCCGTAGTTGCATACATACCGTATTTTTTGCTCTATAAGACTCACTTTTTCCCTCCTAAAAAGTAAGGGGAAATGTGTGTGCGTCTTATGGGGTGAATGCAGGCTGCGCAGCTATCGCTGAAGCCAGGAGAGCGAGAGGGGTTGCTGCTTTCGCTGCGCAGCGATCCCTCTTGCTGTTCTGGCTTCTGAAATTCAGAATATTTTTTTTCTTGTTTTCCTCCTCCAAAAACTAGGTGCGTCTTGTGGTCTGGTGCGTCTTATAGAGCGAAAAATACGGTAAATATTGGTCTGGCCATTCTTTTTATTTCCTCTGACACGATACCTAGGAAAAAGGATTCTGGTTTTTCCCCAAGTGAAAATCTAAACATCTTTTTCAATTCATTATAGATATTTCCCCAGAATCCCACTATCTCTTTGCACTCCCACCACATATGTAGAAAGGTTCCTGCCTCGTTGTTGCATCTCCAACATACATTACAACAGTTTTTGTACATTTTTGCCAATCTGGAAAACATCCTTAGGATTTCAGTGTAAGGCTGCACATTCTTTACCCAGCTACACGGGAGTAAGCTCCATCGAATACTGTGGGACTTACATTTGAGTTGACCTATAAAGGCTTGACAAGAAAGGAATCGACACTGCTAAGAAATGGTTGCCTCTTTGAAGCATCACAAATAAAGAATTTAAGGCGACCTTTTCCTTCGAAATTGTAGGAAGGGCTCTCGATTGGTGCAGGTATTTTATTTTCAGCATAAAGAGGACTCTCTTTTTTAAATAATATAATAATACATATTATTTTTTTTTGCGGGAGAAGCTTCCTGATGTAGAATAGGATGCCCCTATTTTCCTGGGAGAAATGTTGTAGGGTATGTAGCAGGGAGACGTTTATCACGGCCTATTGGAGCGCGTTGGAGCCTTCCGTGCCCAGTATACCAGTGCGAGATACTGGGTTTTGTGTGCGTGCAAACTGGGCGTGTGGAACTGTCCCATTTGGAAACCTGAGGTTGCATTCGACGGAGATGTGGGCTGATCCATCAGGGCTCTCCTCCGGCTCAGATCCGTAAGCAGAGGGGGCACCTCGTGAGTTACAATGCAGGACATATGGCGGACCTGGGCATCGGGAAACCAAAACCATGCGCCATTTCTAGCTCTCTGTAGGTTTAGGATGGGCCGAACCTGGAAACTTCAGCGCTCTTCCATCTAGCCCAGTGTTGCCAACTCAGACTCACAGCAGAGGGAAGCATTTCACATCATATGCTGCCAGCTGCCAGGATCGAACCCGAGTCCTGCATGCAGCCCATGCGCTTGGCAGCTTGAGATGCCTGCGTACCTTCATTCTCAAGAGACCAATCTCCCTGGCAACCTGGGATTTCCTCCTCTCACACCTGTCTCTTTCCTTCCCATTTCCAAGACACCAGCTACTGGCGCTCGGCCACCTTTGGCGTCCTACTCACCTCTGCCATTCTGGCCACGCTGGTGGCACTCATGTGCTTCCAAGGTAAGTGAGCGAGAGGGAAGGGGCTGACTGAGTCCCTTTACCTTAAAGAAAAACATGAACCTCGTTTTTGTGTTGACTTAAGGCATGGGTAGGGGATGCGGGTGGTGCTGTGGGTTAAACCACTGAGCCTAGGACTTGCCGATCAGAAGGTTGGCGGTTCGAATCCCCGCGACGGGGTGAGCTCCCGTTGCTCGGTCCCTGCTCCTTCCACCCTAGCAGTTCAAAAGCACGTCAAAGTGAAAGTAGATAAATAGATACCGCTCCAGTGGGAAGGTAAACGGCGTTTCTGTGGCTGCTGTGGTTCATCAGAAGCGGCTTAGTCCTGCTGGGCACATGACCCGGAAGCTGTACTCCGGCTCCTTTGGCCAGTAAAGCGAGATGAGCACCGTCGCAACCCCAGAGTCGTCCACGACTGGACCTAATGGTCAGGGGTCCCTTTACCTTTACTTTAAGGCATGGGTAGGCAAACTAAGGCCCAGGGGCCGGATGCGGCCCAATCGCCTTCTCAATCCGGCCCACGGATGGTCCGGGAATCAGCGTGTTTTTACATGAGTAGAATGTGTCCTTTTATTTCAAATGCATCTCTGGGTTATTTGCGGGGCATAGGAATTTGTTCATTCTTATTTTTTTCCAAAATATAGTCTGACCCCCCACAAGGTCTGAGGGACAGTGGACCGGCCCCCTGCTGAAAAAGTTTGCTGACCCCTGGCTTAAGGCATGGGTAGGGAAACTAAGGCCTGGGGGCCGGATCCAGCCCAATCGCCTTCTCAGTCCAGCCCACAGACGGTCCGGGAATCAGCGTGTTTTTACATGAGTAGAATGTGTCCTTTTATTTAAAATGCATCTCTGGGTTATTTGTGGGGCATAGGAATTCGTTCATTATTTCCCCCAAAAAAATATAGTCCGGCCCCCCACAAGGGATTTAAATTAAATTTAATTTTTTTAAAAAAATGCACCAAGTAGGAATGCACGCAAGTAGGAATGGGATTGGGGCTGCTTCGATGGGAAGGGAGGCTTCACGCTGCCTAACTGAGAGCTACTTGCCCCCCATTGCTTTCACACAAGTAGGAATGGGATCGGGGCTGCTCCGACAGGCAGCGCAAAGCCTCCCTTCCCAGCTGAGGGATCCCAACCCGAGAAGCCATGCGCGCCTCCCCGCCTCCTGCTCCTTCCCCTTTCGGAGGAGAAATAGAGATGGCAACAGCTAGAGCGGTGCCAGGGAGGTGCCGCCTGCGATGTTTCCTGCAATGGAAAGGGACTTGGGCTTCTCCTGTGCCCGTCTGCGCACAGCCCCTCCCGGGAAAGGCCCTCTCTGCCCCAAGTAATTCCTGACTCCGCAGCAAGGCTGCATCGCCACGTGGAGCTGCCCGAGCCGAAACGATTGCGTGCCCCGCTGCTCGCTCTGTCTGCAGCGCCAGGGCAATTGCCGGGCGCCGGCGGGCCGGGTTTAGAACCCTGGCGAGCCTGATCCAGTCCGGGAGCCGTAGTTTGCCGACCCCTGTTATAAACCGTGGGATCCTTCTGGGTCATCGCGGCAGGGTTAGGTCATTGTTATGTACTGAGTTGAATAGGATCCAAAAGGCAGCAGTCTGATTGGTCCTAGAACAATAGGATTCAGAATGCAGCAGTCTGATTGGTCCTAGAACAATAGGATTCAGAATGCAGCAGTCTGATTGGTCCTAGAACAATAGGATTCAGAATGCAGCAGTCTGATTGGTCCTAGAACAATAGGATTCAGAATGCAGCAGTCTGATTGGTCCTAGAACAATAGGATTCAGAATGCAGCTGTCTGACTGGTCCTAGAGCAATAGGGTCCAGAATGCAGCAGTCTGATTGGTCCTAGAACAATAGGGTCCAGAATGCAGCAGTCTGATTGGTCCTGGAACAATAGGGTCCAGAATGCAGCAGTCTGATTGGTCCACAGGAGCCACCCAATCCAGCTCCAGGTGAAAGTGAATCTGCAACCAGATTGGCCTACAGGTGAATCCCGGAATTAGCCAATCACGTGGGGCTCATTGTGTAAATAATGTATATAAAGCAGACATTCTGGGGGAACTTCCATTCCTCCTCACCACTATGAGCTGAATAAAGAGCATGAAATCCATACTTGACTCCGAGTATATTTCAGTCATCAAATGAACCAATGGGTTCAAAACCAGGGATGCTTCTTCACCATAGCTGTCAAGTATTCCCTTTTCTTGTGAGGAATCCTATTCAGAATAAGGGAATTTCCCTTAAAAAAGGGAAAATGTTGACAGCTATGTTTTTCACAGAGGCAGCCCGTGCTTCTCAGGGGCTTTGTGAGAATGGCACGGATGAATTTGGGTCTACAATCTACTCAACCTGCCTTGTCTTTGGTTCTCTTTTGAAGTGGACAAGCTGTCGAAACAGGCAGAGAGTCAGAAGGACGTGATGGAGCTGCAGATCATCATCCTGACTGAAATTCTGAGGCAGCTACAGATCGGCAAAGGTAGATGTGGGCATTGTTTTGTCTCCCCCCACCCTTCTCTTAAACCAGTTTATTCATTCGTTCATTAAAAAAAATAAAAATTGTATCACAGGAGAAACAACGGCCAAGGACTGCAAATGGGAAAAGTTTTTAGTAAGAAAGAAATTATTGGTACCGGTTCTAGTGATTTGTAAATTTACAGATAGGGTGTAATATATAGGACACTCTGGACAGAATTGTTGTAATTTGCAATAAAAGGAACCACAACCAATAAAGAACTAGACCGTGGTGATCTTCTGATCTCCTTGCACCTCCTGGGACCTCCAGCTATTGCAACAAACACCTCCCTATCTCCAGGGCCGGATTTTGGTTTGATGAGGCCCTAAGCTCCTGAAGGTAATGGGGCCCTTTATATGTCCAGCTGTCCTTTGTCAACAACAAATTGTCACTGATTTTTGTGTGTTGAATAAATGCTATATGGTCATTGATGGACCTCATAGTTATCTCAAGCCATTTGCACATGACAAAAAATGTATTTTATTAAAGTAATGGTTGAATTGAAATACAATTAAGAAGATCGTGAAGCTGACAGATCGTGAAGCTGAGGCTCCAATACTTTGGCCACCTCATGAGAAGAGAAGACTCCCTGGAAAAGACCCTGATGTTGGGAAAGATGGAGGGCACAAGGAGAAGGGGACGACAGAGGACGAGATGGTTGGACAGTGTTCTCGAAGCTACAGACATGAGTCTGACCAAACTGCGGGAGGCAGTGGAAGACAGGAGTGCCTGGCGTGCTCTGGTCCAGGGGGTCACAAAGAGTCGGACACGACTAAACTACTAAACAACAACAACATATTAATAGTGAAATACAAGTAAGAAGAAGTACAGTGGACGCTCAGGTTGCGAACGTGATCCATGCGGGATGCATGTTCGCAACCTGCAGCGGCGCATCTGTGCATGCACAAAGAGCAATTTAGTGCTTCTGCACATGCGCAGCCGCTGAAGCCCGGAAGTAACTCGTTCCAGGTTTTGGCGTGTCTGTAACCCGAAAAAGCTCAACATGAAGTGTCTGTAACCCGTGGTATGGCTGTATATTAATAGTAAACTAATTACTAAGCTCTAACTGTATGTAGGTTTTATTTTATTTGTTTTTTATCTTATATTTTGGAAGTGTATACTCAGTTTTTTTCCCATTAAATTTTTTGGGGGGGCCCAAGAGAGCGGGGCCCTAAGCTATAGCTTGTTTAGCTTATACGTAAATCCGGCACTGCTTGTCACCCTTTTGGCCCATTTAGGGGTAGGGAAGGGGGATAAATGATACTTCTGTACAACTGCCAAGCTTTTCATGCACAACCACCCCCCCTTTAGCTATCAACTGCAGTGTGTGCAAGATGCAGTGGTTGCAGCACAAAGATTCCTGCTACCTTTTCCGAGAAAGGAAGATGGGCTGGCGTTCCAGCATGGGCTTCTGCAGAGACGAGTTCTCCTCCCTGGCGGTCATCCACAACGACACAGAACAGATGGTACTGGGGCTTGTCCGGTTCGCTGCCGGGATGGAGATGGGCAAGGCTCGATAGCTTCAGGGTCCCCCCCTCCCCATGCCTCACCCCCATATCACGTAGCAGTAGTTCAGCTGTGCCCCCACCATATACCGTATTTTTTGCTCTATAAGACACACGTTTTCCCCTCCTAAAAAGTAAGGGGAAATGTGTGTGCGTCTTATGGAGCGAATGCAGGCTGCGCAGCTTTCGCTGAAGCCAGGAGAGCAAGAGGGATCGGTGCGCACGGATCCCTCATGCTTTCCTTGCTTCGCTTCGCTGGAGAGGCGCTGCGCAGCTTTCCCTCTCGGCGCAGCGCCCCTTCAGCGAAGCAGGAGGAGAAGCGGAGCTTTGCTGGAGAGGCGCTGTGCAGAGAGGGAGAGAATATTTTTTTTCTTGTTCTCCTCCTCTAAAACTAGGTGCGTCTTATGGTCGGGTGCGTCTTATAGAGCGAAGTATACAGTATTATACCTTTAAAGCAACCCATTTGATGACTGGACTGTGTCCTTAGAGAATAATCAGCGATTTTTAAAAAAACCAGAAACCTGATAGGTACTGTTACAAGTAAAAATACCAATCTCAAGGCCTGAAGCCCTAAACGGCCTCAGTCCAGTATACCTGAAGGAGCGTCTCCACCCCCATCATTCTGCCCTGGACACTGGGGTCCAGCTCTGAGGGTCTTCTGGTGGTTCCCTCCCTGCGGGAAGCCAAGTTACAGGGAACCAGGCAGAGGGCCTTCGCGGTGGTGGCACCCGCCCTGTGGAACGCCCTCCCTTCAGAGGTCAAGGAAATGGGAGGTCAAGAGGATCTCTGTGGGAGTGATCCGGCCCATGCCCAGTAAGCCTTGCTGACCCCTGACTCATTGCTTTCTGCCATCCCTTTGCTCCTCTCCTCTCATGTTTCGCTGAGCTGGTTGCAAGGGAAGAGAGGCAGATTTTTCTTGCCGGGGTCTTGAACTAACAGTTCACATACTTGGGTTTTTGAAAATGAGGTTGAAAGGCAGTGGTCTATCTCCCCTCCTGAAGGCAGGGTGCTTGTGGCTTTGCCTTGCAGAACTTCCTGAGGTTTGAATCAAAGAAACATTTCCGCCAGCGCCACGGCAAGAGTCAATACTACAAATTCTGGATGGGCCTGACGTACGACATCGTCACGAAGCAATGGAAATGGGCAGATGGCTCTCTCTATGACCCCAAAATGTAAGTGACTCTGGCATCCCCATACTCCCTAATTCATTTGTCACAAGATTGGGTAATCATTATTAAGCTATATTTCATTATTATTATTATTATTATTATTATTATGATTATGATTTTCAATTATATACATTTCAGTACAGTGGTACCTTGGTTTAAGAACAGCCCTGTTTACTAACTATTGGGTATGCAAACTCAGCAGTGTCCCGGTTTGCGAAAAGAAGCGGGACGGTGGAAGGGCACTGGCGGCGGGAGGCCTCATTAGGGAAAGCGCATCTTTAACATGTTAAAAAGCACGTTTTAACATTTCAAATCTCGACTTCCTTCCCTTTCTTTCTGCAGCTCCTTAATTTTTTTAAAAAAATATATTTTCTGCATATTCCAAATTAACTTAATTTCCTCATTTATTCATCTACTTTAAATATATGCTCTTATAAAACTGGAGGTTATTACAATAATCCTGTCAGTGTTCTTATCTGTTTACAGTTTACAGTGGTACTTTGGTCCTCAATCCGTTCCGGGAGTCCGTTTGCCTCCCGAAACTATACAAAAACCAAGGCGCGACTTCCGTTTGGCTGCAGGAAATTCCTGCACTCAAGTGGAGGCCACGTCGGACGTTCGGCTTCCAAAAATCGTTCGCAAACCGGAACACTTACTTACGGTATTCAGGAGCCGATTTGTTCAGCAGATAAGCCGTTTGAGAATCAAGGTACCACTGTACTTGTAAATATTCAATAAACCATGAGGTGGGGGGGGCAGTGGGAGGAGGCCGGCTCCGTGCAAGGTGGTGGAGAAGCAGGGGAAGGAGGGAGGGGTGCTGGAGGAGGCACCAGTTGCAGTGTGTAGCCTCGAGCGAGGGGATCTTTCAAGGTAGAGTGGACAGGGGGAGCAATGATAGAGTCACATCTATCATCGTATTTTTCGCTCTATAAGACGCACCAGACCATAAGACGCACCTAGTTTTTGGAAGATGAAAACAAGAAAAAAAATATTCTGATTCCCAGAAGCCAGGACAGCCAGCGGCATCGCTGCGATCCCGCTGGCTGCCCTGGCTTATGGGATAGCCGCGAGCAGCCTCTTCCGAACTAGGGAGGCTGCGTGCAGCTAAGCAAGAAGCCAGGACAGCCAGTGGGATCGCAGCGCAGCGATCCCGCTGGCTGTCCTGGCTTCTTGCTTGGCCGCGCGCAGCCTCTCCCGGGCAAGGGAAGCCTTCATCCCCTGCCCAGGAGAGGCTGCACGCAGCTAAGGCCTCCCCAAGAGCCGCACTCCCTTTAAAGAGCACGCGGAGTTTCTCTCCTTGAGAAAAAGCCCCCAAGAGCCGCACACACGCTCCACACGGCTCTTTAAAGGGAGTGCTGATCAGAGCCTCCCGCCTGCACTCGCTCCATAAGACGCACACACACTTCCCCTTTTTAGGAGGGGAAAAGTGTGTCTTATTGAGCGGAAAATACTGTATGCGCAGAGCTTGGGATGCAAGCACACACCACACAGCCGAGGAGGTGGTGTGTTGCGGAGCCAGCAGAGAAAGCTCTGGACCGCGGGAAAGCACCCGAAGCCTTCCCGCCTCCGATGGGCACTGGAGGTGCGTAGGCACCAAGCCCCCGCTCCGCCTCGCTTACCTCCCCGGACTCTCCGCCTGGCGCCCTGGCTCGCTGCGCCACCACGCCCGATGGTAAAGACGGCCCTGCATAGAAATAAAAGGCTGTCCACAATATCTTTGCTTAGTTTTATTTTCAAAAATGTAACCGTCAAAAACTGCAAGCCATCACTCCTCCTCACCAGCAGCATACAAAACATTTACAGTGGTACCTTGGGTTACAGATGCTTCAGGTTACATACGCTTCAGGTTACAGACTCCGCTAACCCAGAAATAGCACCTCGGGTTAAGAACTTTGCTTCAGGATGAGAACAGAAATTGTGTGGCAGCGGCAGCAGGAAGCCCCATTAGCTAAAATGGTGCTTCAGGCTAAGAACAGTTTCAGGTTAAGAACGGACCTCCAGAACGAATTAAGTACTTAACCCAAGGTACCACTGTAATCAACTTAAATACAGTTTTCAAATAATCAGTTATCCTATCACATCCCTTCCTGCATCCGGTGCAGAAAGTAAACTCCCCGTTTAATTAGTCAAACAGTCAAGAGACCGCAGGTGTGCATAAGTGCATAACTTACGGAATATGCAGAACTGGCAAAATTAACAGATAAATTATATGAAAAGGATAACGAAGACTTTAAGAGAGAATGGGAACCATTTACAAGATATACGAAGAAGCAACGTGAAGAATTGGACTCACTGGCAGGGTTTGAATAAACAAACACAATTGTATATAACAAAAAGTAAGATGATATGGATTGGGGAAATTTTGGGAAACAACATGCAGGGTGAGTAATATGGAAATAAAACAAAATGGGAATATGAGGGAAGTCCAGAGGAGGAGGAGGATATGGAAAATTGTTAGAGAAATATTGTTAGAGGATGTATACATGGAAAAACCAATTACCGTATTTTTCGCTCCATAAGATGCACCTGACCATAAGACACGCCTAGTTTTTAGAGGAGGAAAAGAAGAAAAAAAAATATTCTGAATGAAACAGTGGATGTATGATTTTTGTGGTTCATGCTGTGACCACAGACATGATGGTGAGTTTGGGGTAGCTCAATGCAAAAATCCTGAGGATTCATGTGGATCCTTGCTTTGTAACCACGTTTTTGCGCCATTGCGGCCCCACGAAACAGTGGATGCGTGATTTTTTTGGTGTAGGCTGTAGCCATAGACATGCTATGTGATCTGATGGTGAATTTGGGGTGACCCGATGTAAAAATCCTGAGGATCCATGGGCTTTTATCTTCCCCCCCCCAGCAGCCTCTTTTATCGTGTCCCTTATCTCTCTTCCGATCCCATCAATCAGCTGTTTCCTTTCAACACTCCCTTCCCTCTTGTTCGCCTTAGTGTCTTTTCCTTAGCTGGAACAGTTTTTTGCTCCTCATTTTCTTCTAATTTCTCTCCTCATTGATTTAGTCTTCCTGTCTCCTCTGCTTGCAAGTTTGCTGTCTTTACCTCCCCCTCCCAGGCAGCCTCCTTTATCTCTAGCGTCCCTTATCTCCCTCCCTGATCGCTTGCCAATTAGCGGCTTTGTTTCAACACCCACTTCCCTCTTTCAAAAAAAGAAAAGGGAAAAAAAAGAACATAATTTGCTTTTTGCCCCTGGGCAATTCTGCTCCAGGGACCACGCATTCGCTCTATAAGACGCACAGACATATCCCCTTACTTTTTAGGAAGAAAAAAGTGTGTCTTATGGAGCGAAAAATACGGTAATTATTTTTTTTTAAAAAAAGAGAGAGAGACCACAGGTGTGCAGCTAAGTAGGTCAAGCTGCAAACATGCACCTCTGAGTAGCACCATTGACCTTAAGATAAAGAAAAACCGACATCATCTCCTTTTCTGTGTTGCAGGCATGGAAAGCTGCCGCCCAAGGGCTGCGGCTACCTCCAAAACGAATCGCTTTTCTCCCAGGAGTGTGAGGAATTGGCTTACGTCATGTGTCAGACTGCGCTTCGGTTTGGCTGGAGTTGAGCAGCTGTGGAAGAGGAGAAGGAGGCGCAGAAGCCGGTGTGGGTATGTGGTTGTGATCCGTGTTGTGGCCGTTTCCCTTCAGAAGTCCCCAGAACGTTAAAGTAAATAAATTTTCATTTCTCAGAATGTCTTGAGACTATTGATTCCCCCCCCCCTTATTTTTTATTGTTTTACCACGTTTACAAATCGGTCCAAATTATTTAAATTTAATACAATTTCTTTTTTAAAAAATCAGGTTTTCCGCTCCTGTTGCAAACCTACGTCTATTACTTTCTGATGTAGCGACTTCATTCTTCTTTAATAATAATAATAATAAATTTTTATTTATACCCCGCCCTTCCCGGTTCAGAAAACCGGGCTCAGGGCGGCTAACAGCAAATTGAAAACACTTAATTGATGCAACAAGAAACAGCATAAAATACAGTATAAAACATGAATAACAATAAATTCAGAATTCAAAAATCAATTTAGGGGGATTTAGGGGGGAATAAACATTTGATGATCACCAGGGCTAGCTGGCTAAATTAGTCCTATATGGGCCAGCGAGGAGACCAGGGGAGAATTGCTGTGGGATCCCAGAGTGGGTAATCTTCATAAAAGGGGAGGGGGAGGGAAGGAAGGGGAATAAAAGATCAGGCTAAGTTCAAGTTGAAAGCCAGGCGGAATAGCTTGTCTTACAGGCCCTGCGGAAGGAAGTTAAATCCTGCAGGGCCCTGGTCTCATGGGACAGAGCATTCCACCAGGTCGGAGCCATCACTGAGAAGGCCCTGGCCCTGGTGGAGGGGGTCCATAGCAGGGAGTCCATAGATCAACCAGGATCGACCAGGGAAATCCCGCAATCGACCAGTACATTGTGATTGACCTGTTGGACATGCCTCCATAGCACAATTCCACTTAAAATAGCCACAGATGAAAATGCATTGGGAAATGTGTGGTGAACGAATGAATAACAGCAATACATGTGAACATCCTGCAAGCAAATCAGGATGAAGGCAGAATGAATATAACTGCCCCGATTAAGCTGAAAAAATGCTCAGTGAAGTCTGGACATTTTCTAACCTCCACTTAAGCTTTGAGGGAGGGAAGGGAAGGGGGAAATCAAGAATTAAATAAAAACATTAAAAAATCGGGTGATTTGGAGGAGCTAGAATGGGGGCAAATGGATTTAGTTTGCATTTAGAGGTGAACTCAACTCATTTGAACTTTCCGGAACAACATGAGACCCAAAACAGCCATCCTTCGAAATCCAAATTTCTTTGAATTCTTGCAATATTAGACACAGTGGTCCTGGAAGGGTGATTGGTGCACAAAGCAAAGACAACGGTCTTTGCTGCTTAACAGCAAAGGACCTGGTTAATTTGTTTGTTAATTGCATTTCTACCCCACCTTTTCCTTCAAGGAGCCTCATTTTTTTAAAAAAATAATCTTTATTGCTTTTAAAACTTACAAGAAAAGAAAAAGGAAGAAAATAGGCGAAAGAAAAAGACAAAATAGAACAGAGAAGAAAAAAAAGAGAGAGAAAAGAAAAAACAAATACAATAAACAATACAAAACACAACCTTACCCCATTAACCTAAACAAAGCAAAAGGACAACAATTTAAAAACATATACCATACCATTTCATTACTCTATCTTTCATTCCCTTATTTCATCGACCTCCTCTCACCTCCCTTTTTGTATTCCACTTCTATTACTTGTTTCAGCAATTCCTTTCCATCTTTCTCTATTTTTATCATTATGAATATCTTAACATATTTTGTACCTTATTTTCCATTAATACTGAAATACTTATTTATACCTAACTCCTTATAACATTTCTGCTAAAGCCATAAAATTTCATTCCAACAATTTTCTAACACTCATTAAATTTACAATATTTCTATATATAAACTTTCCCAATCTTCTACCACCATCTCTTCTCCCTGGTCTCTGATTCTGCCAGTCATTTCCATCCATTCCATATAGTTCATCAACCTGGAAATCTTCTGTCCGAGGCTCTTAAATCTTTTCCAAGTCCCTTCTGCAGTTTTTCTTCATATTCTTTGATACTGAGGGTGCTGAAGCGCAGGTTTTCGGGGGCCCCCGATCCAACCATGCCCCCATTCCCTCTCGACAGACCAACCAACTCTCCACAGCTAAAACCAGTGTCCATACAATGTCTCAAATCATGTTTCAAGGCTCCTCCAGATCCAAAGGCCCCACAACTCCAATCACCTCCTGACCCAGATTCAGGACCCAAAGGTCAGTAAATCTCTGCTTGAAAGAGTCTATCCAACCTTCCTTCTTCAATCCAAGCAGGGCTCCAATCTTCAAATTCTGACTTTTTCTATATTCATTCATAAAAGGCCTCCACTTATAGTCCTCAGTTTGCCTCTGTAAAACTGGGGCTTCCACTTGTATTATTTTAGGTTTAACAACACCAACATTCTCCTTCTTCTTCTCCCCAGTTTGTCCTGTCAAGGTAGGTTCCTGTGTCAAATCCTGAACAATTTCTGTATTAATGGTCACTTTTTGTTCCAAATTAGTCACTTTTTGTCCCAAGTTCTCAAGTTTGGTATTCATAGCGTCCGTCTTCTTGTGGAGCTGTTCCAACGAATAGCTTATCTTACATAATACAGTCACTAAGGCTCCTTCTGTCAACATTCTTAAAGTCCAAGGTCAATCTCTATTTCACACAGTTCTTATCTTGCGACTGGAAAAACCCCAGCTCCACTCTTGTAACAGTTTCAAAAGCTCCCTCTAGAGGGAAACAGTCTCCACTTGTATCAATCCTTTCAAACACAATTTAAACTATAAAGTTAGTTTCTTTTCCTACTTTTTAAACACAGATGAGTACAATGGAAACAACATATTTCTCTTATTGCTAGCTGTCAAAAAACGTCACTCTTTCTGGCAGCCCGTTTCCAGGTTCGGAGCAGTGGTAATTTGGTTTTTCACTCTCTCCTGCAGGCTCACTAGGTCCAAAATTTCCCCCCCTCTTCTCCTGCTTCCAAGGGGGGTTTAATAGTTTTAACCGATGGAGATTTAATCCTTTACAAAAATAAACTTTCCAAGGCTTTAACTTGCAACTTCTTTGCTTCAATCTGTTTACAAAAAAGGAAGGCGGACTTCCTGTTTAGAACCTTCCCGTTTCGATGCCAAATTAATGAATTTAAGGATCTAATTTTCCGTTCTACTCATGGGTAGTTGTTTAAAATCCAATTGTCCACAGGAAAAGTCAGCGCTCTCCGGCAACAGCGATGCGGCTTCACTCCGTGAAAGAAGCAGTCAATTCGAAGCACCGCGCCACTCACCCCACTTCGCTCCGGATCCCCAAATCAGGGTTTCCCCGCGAGTAGGGGAGGCGCAAAGGGTGCCAGCCGAATCCCAAGTTCACAGGCTTCTCCTGCCTGTGATTTCAGTGGGCTCCGCCTTCGCCGTGGCGGTCAGACCCTAATTTCCACGGAGCAAATTCCTCCCGATCGGAGGAACTCCACCATTGCCTGGAGGCGCCAACCCAGAAGTCTCTTCAAGGAGCCTCATTTAACCAACAGTGAACCAGCAGTAAATCACACCGAATGAGTTGCAGTTAACTCTTTATTAGCAAAATGGGATCTGCAAAGGAGTGTCAGGCCTAATGAACAAAGCAGCTCAGGTCTTGCCCCCCAGGCAGCAGTTGCTGAGACTACAGCTTCTGGGCCTCCCCCCAGCTGTCTCCTCCTCTCCAGGGTTCCCCCCAAGCAATCGGAGACTGTGCAAGTCTGTCTTTGCTCCCCCATCTTCATGCCACTCCTGGTTCTGGGAGACCAGGGAGAGGAGAGCTTGTCTCAGCAGCAGGAGGGGATACCCATGACTCTTCACCAGACTGATTCCTGCCTGCCTCTTGTACCCCTTCCTCTCCTGCTTCAGCTTCCGCCTCTGATTCTGGACTCCTCTCTGCCACCGACTCTCTCAGCTCACTAAGCCCTGTTGCCTCTTCTGCTTACGACACCTCCTTCTCCTCCCAGTCCTCTCCTTCTGACCCCTCATCGTTGTCTCACCACCCCTTCCTGGGATCTGAGCCTCCTTCCCTTGGGGGCTCCCCAGCTGCCCCCCCCCCCCGCTGTTCCTCTGCATCCAACCAGTCCATGATCTTGAGATAGGTTAGGCCAGGGGTCTGCAAAATTTTTCAGCGGGGGAATGGTCCACTGTCCCTCAGACCTTGTGGGGGTGGTGGACTATATTTTTTTGGGGGGGGATGAATGAGGGACGATGAGCGGTGTGCGAAAGGGCTCCGGTGTGATGGCCTGGGACTCAGGCTTGGGCTCGGAACCAGAGGAGTCTCAGTCTGCATCGGATCCTTTGCCTCAGGTGGCATCTGAACCCAGTCTGGGGCCTGATCCTGAAGAGTCCCAGTCTGCGGAGGTTTCCCTGCAACAAGCACCAGCTGAGCCGAGTCAGGGGCCTGAGCCTGCCCTGGCTCCAGATGCGGGGATGACCTCGTTGCCTCCAGCTGGGCCGTCACTTACAGCTGCTCCACTACCGGTTGGGTCAGGAGAGGCTAAGGCAGCCTCTGGGTCTAGTAACCCACCAACGTCTCCCGAGCTGCAGAGACTGAGGTCTGAGAGAAGGAGAGACCTGAGTACTCACAGGAGGAGTGGTCGCCTTCAGGCAAGACAGGGAGGTGAGTCGCCAGGGGACCAGGACCGGCCGTTACCCCGACAGAGATAAAAGGCTACTGGACCCCGCCCCGGGTTGCGGGAGCAATGTTGCTGTTTGCCAGAACCTGCCTGATTCTGTGCCTGACCTTGCCTGGTTTCCTGCCTCGTGTCCTGCCTTGGCCCCATTGTACTGACTCCTAGCGGAACCCTTGGATTCGGGACCGGACCTGGACTGCGTTACTCGGGTTACGCCCCCCCCCCGGGCTCAGCACATCCAGAGAGGGGCTGCTTTAAATGGCGGCCGTTCGAGGGGGCGCTCAGCCAACCATGGCTCCTGTCTTACGAGTAGCAGGGGCTGGCGGCGGCGGTGGTGGAGGGATGATGAGCAGTGCACGAAAGGGCTCTGGAGAGGGGCTGGAACCCACAAAGCCCAGCCCCCTTCCTCCTCTAGGCAGGGCGGGGAGAAGCCAGGAGGA